GTAATCCAAGACCATGAGCCCTGTTATCCAATGCACATACCTGCCCGTCCACCACCACGGGGTGTGTCAGCCAGCGGCAGCGACAACCAGATCCAGAGTCATCCCAGGCCCCGTCTGGTGGTCCTTGTGGCTGTCGCCGGTTCAGCCCAGGGCTCCATTTATGACGCAAAACCTCACCAAACTTGATGGGGACCACGGCTGTCGAGACCACACAGCTGCGACGGGCAAGGGCCAAGCCTCCAAGCTTCGGCCGGATATCCGCCCCGTGGAGCTATGGACGCTCCCGAGCACCCCGACTCCGAACTATCTGGGCTGCGACAGTCTCATCGTGCATTGGTTCATTGCCTTGCTCCATCCCATTTCGTCTGAAGTATGATGCTTTGCTAACTTTCGCGCTTGGCGTGGGTCGAGGCCCCTTGTACCACCTCTGGCTCAGCGCTCCCACGTTGGCATGGCTTTGATGAGGTCAAACTTCTCTAGTTTGCCGCTTAATCTAAGTCGCAGAACTCATACTAGGGCTACCAGTGTTGGCAACCGGTCACGAAACATGACGTCTCGTGGACGGTCTTGGCTGTGCTGTTCTCGGTACCAAACGCTCCTTGATACGATGACTATCCTGCTGGCGCCCGCTCCAACGGTCAAACCAGCGGGAAACATTGTCAATACCACGGGTCAAACAACGGCCGCGTCGGCTCGTCCCGGTTTTGATATGGCTATTTCCAACTCTTTGGGATGATATCTGCGAATACATGATGAAACAACCTGGAGACTCGGTCAGCCATGTGTACAGCTTGACACGAGACAACCAAGGTGTTCTTTAAGTACAGTTGTGTGCCCTACACACTGTCTCTCGTCACGACACAGTCAACGATCGAGTCGTGATACCCCACGGCCGTCTAATCTGGCACTAAGTGTGTCTAGCTGGGAGTGAGGTTGTAGGGATGTAGGCATAACCGTGTGCACCCAACCATTGAGTGACCAAATTCGAAATCGACGCCCCGTTAGGCGCGAGTCCAAGGGAAAAGAGATGTAGGGTTTCTCTTTCGAGTGAGTTTACCCGATCTCGTCTTTAAGTCTCCCCAGACTTGAGATGCCAAGCACTTCATCCTTCTTCCGTCTTGACTCTATTCCCATCGCCTTTTTGTATCTACCAGAACTTGCCAGAACTTTTCCGTGTCAACTGATGTCTCTCCCCTCGGGTCATGCCAAGGCGGTTCTGATTGTTGCGTAAAGTTAGCTGGTTACAAACGTCAAAACGCACTGGCTTCTTTGATTGGCAAGCGAACGAAAGCTCGCGGAGTACACAGTGCCGTCTGCGCGATCATCCTGTTGTAAATTGAACAACTCCCTGGATCTGTCTTCCAACGTCCCTTCGCCCAGTACCGTCGTAAAGATGGCCGCAGCCGAGGTCGAGCTCTGGAGGCTTCTCTTGTGGCATGGCTAGGACCGTCACGCGTCTCAACTTCCGGGTGTCGTGGGCCTATCACACCCAGTCACAGATGATGATGGAGCTAGTATTGAAGTGGAGGTTTTGTAGAAATCCATACGCTATGCAGTTTTTATTTCTATTTGTCTCCGCATTGAATAAGTCATAACTTAACCAAGTATCGCAGTAGATATCACCGATGAGGAGCTGCGGTAGATATGTCGCACGTAGGTACTGGAGACCCGACGACAGCCCCTTGGCATTTGTATCAGCATGTGAACACGATAGCAAAGTTGCTGGCACTGGGCCTTTCAGCTCCAGCTTCCCAGGTAAATACATGGATCTAGAGTTCTGGGGAGGTAGAGCTCGGACAGCCCTTTTTTCGATATGGTTCTCCTTTTCGGAAATGCTCTCGACCAGCACCTCGCTTCCTGGCTTTGCCTGGGTCGTCAGTTGCAGATAACCTACGCTTACCATACCGTAACAATAATATCTGCTTTAGACTCCTTTATCATCACTGCCGCCATTGTTGTCTTGACCATCCTCATTTACTGCTTCTGCCTTGAGTGTTCTCTTGGAGTTATCAGCGACTACGATTTGTCCGCAGACATTGGATCAATATAGTTGGCAAGTCGGCGTCACTAAAATGTCGACATTCAAATCACTAAGCGAGACTTCTAATAAAGAAGAACGAATACTTATGGGGAAAGCGTAAGGTCTGTGATCCTAACGATTAATCCAGGAATCTTTGCACTGAGGTTCAGATCATGATTAGAAAAAAACACCTTTCCCAAAAAAGTACATAAATGAAAAGGGAAAGGCTACACAAAAAAACAAAAAGGGTTCAAGTGTCAAGAGAATCCACTTGAACCCTTAAACTCCAACGATCAGATAATGGATCACCAGGGCGCTGCGATTGCGCTGACCTGACTACTGGGCCATTTTGTTCTTCTCGTCGGTTGAGAGCAAAGGAGCAGGAGCATACTTGTATAGGCTGCCATCTGAGGCTACCACAAGGCCCAACAACAGGAAAGAGACACCGGCAAGCGCAGCTCAAAAGTCCGTTGGCAAGCACCTACCCTCACAATATCGACCGTCAAAGTCACTTCAATATTCTCGCGACTGATGTGTTCAACACAACATAGATACTGACAACTGTCTAAAACTTTGTACAAGAAGCGTCTCCAAGATACGCATGAAAAATCCTCAACTTTCACCACTTGGTTCTTATCCCCTCTTACATGGCCATCCTGTTCTTCATATCAACCCTTCTCTTGGCCATCTGCTTGACGCTCTCCGCATAATCGTTCGTGCCGTTGTTGGGGTCCGCATCGGTAGCCTTGTCCTTGCACTTGGAGCCCGCCTTAGCCTTGCCGTTCGGCCCGTCGACGGCCTGCCACTTCCTCTTCTCCGTCAGCGCGGTGACCATCGTCTGGGCCGCCTCCTCCAGCCAGCCGTTGATGAAGTCGCCGTGGAAGCAGTGGCTCGGCCCGCACGCGAGCTCCAGGGGCGGCGCGCCCTTCCAGCCGTCGGGGATGGCCTTCTTGGTGTCGTAGCGGATGCTGAAGCGCAGCTGCGGCATGCGCTTCATGCCGTCGGCGCAGGTGCCCTTGTTCGAGTACGCGCTCTTGAGCGTGGTCGTGTCGACGCAGTCCGGGAACCAGAGGACCGACTGGAGCGAGGTGGAGCAGGTGCTCTGCGGGAAGTCCGAGTTCTTCTTGCCGCCGGCGTCGAAGTCCTGGTTCTGGCAGAGCCAGGCGACGTCGGAGCCTTCGACGAGGTCGTCCACGGTCTTGGCCTGGGCGTTGCCGGCAACGACGTTGAAGTTGGGCGGGATCGCGACCTCGGCCGGATCCTTGTCGAAGTTGTAGTAGGCCGTGAAGGCGACGGGCTCGATGGGGGTGCGCTTGTCGCCCTCGACGTGGTAGAGAGTCGGGATCCCTGTTTCTGGTGTAAGTGACCAACTTCTCATGTCGAACTCGTTGAACATATTCCACGGGGAGGGGGCACTTACAGTAAACGGACAGGTCGTTTGGGTTCTGGGCAGTGGCGCAGCCCTGTTGGAGTTCCGCCGTGGTGCTCAGGTTGACGTTCACGGCATCGCTACCGAAGAAGCTGTGCATGTGGCTCTTGTACTGGCCCGGGATGACGATGGGATCGATGTTCTTGCGCATGAAGAAGTCGACCTTTGTGTTCGTAAAGGCGCTCGCCAGGCCGGCGGCGGCGAGGAGGAGGGTCGATGAGTGGTACATCTTTGACTTTGGTAAGTTGTAACGAGTGACGGGTCTTGTTCAAGCAACGAAGGTGAAGACCGCGAAGAAGAAGAAGTAGAAAAGAGCTACTACGTTCCTCTCCAGCGGACGTAGGTTGCTAAATTTGAATGGGATGGTGAAAGAAAGTTAACGACGAAACAGGCCTGACAGGATGAACGATACGTGTGGCTTTAAATGTGAGTCTATCTGACTTTGACATCTCGTAGGAGGTTGATGATCTGTATATCCCTGTCTTGACAGGTAGGTTAGTTAGGGCGTTCCCAGCAGGGCGCTTCCCCAATGGAGAAGGGAAGGCATTCAGGTGGTCTTGGCGTTGTTTGAAGCATATCGTTGTTAACCGCTGTCATTCCCCACGTTTCAATGTACATCAGATGCCCTCTGTCGCCTTTAGATTTGACAGAGCCCCCCTTGAGGCTGAGAACACCGGCAGCAGCTGCCTTCTTCACATAAGCGTAAACCCCGAGGTGGACAAGAGAGGGCAGAGTGCCCATGCAAGTCGACCGCATTGGGAAACCTATTCGGGGATATTGGATCTTGGAATTCGGGAGTGGCTCCCGATTAGATCTCTGCCCAGATCCCAAGAAGTTTTACAACACCCCCGTCCCTGGTCCTGATCCTGCGTTTTTATATTGTTTCCCCTGAAACCTGGGACTCTGCATTGCCATCCAACATAACTGCGGTTTTTTTTCCGTTTTTGAAGAGACGTCAGAGACGTCAGAGACGGGACGAACTCATCGACACCTTGTTCGGTGTGGAGCGGTACGATGATCATTCCCACATTTCCCCACCCAAGATTGAGCTGAAACAAAGGGGCAGCGTGGGAGCCCGTACGGGCGGCGTACCCGGGTCGCGATCTAATCTGTGTGAGGTAAACCGATTCTTGGCTGGCAGAATACGAACCCGAGACCGGCGCCTAGGTAGATGAGCGGCAAAGACTTTTCTCCTTCCGCGGATGCCATTGCGGCCAGCCCTTAGGAACGGGGTTCCCTGGAAAATAGCAAAGTGTAAAGACATGAGTAGAAATCATGCAACCCAGGGGCTGGGTAAAAACTTAGATATTTCATACACCTGCTAGTCACAATTCACAGTGGTATTGAAGTAAGGTGTAACAGTAAGCAATTTTTTCTTTCCTCTAACCTAGATCTGTTTAACCATCTTCTGGTGTAATATCTTCTGATTTAATGTCCAACCTGTCCCGACCAAGCGCCAGCCCAACCGAATCCCATCAAATCGCTCGCTATGCATTCCCTCGTATACATGAACACCTATTAAATTCCCAAAGCCGAAAGAAGACTGCCATTCTAGGCCAAGACGGGAGCGACCATGGTCTTCTCGATGCTGGGAGACATGACGCTGAAGACGTTGGGCCACAGGAACATCTTCTCCTCCGCAGGCGACATGGCGACCATGCGAGGGATGGCGGACTTGCTGGACATGCGGCGCCACATGTTGGCACGGGGGTTGAAGGCCGCAGGCATACCCTTGCCGCCGGTCTTCTTCTCGTCCTCCTCCCTGATTCGCTCAATCTCTTTCTGGATGTCGGCGAAGGTGTCAAAGGGAATGTAGGAGATGTCGTTCTCGACGCAGTACTCCTCCAATCTCAGACCCTTGCGGGCGAAAAGGACGTCAGCCTGGCGCGCGGCGGGCAAGTCTGAGACACCGTCGCCGATGAAGACGATGAGGGGGATGCTGCCGTCTTCACACTCCATCTCGGCCTCCTTGCGGGCAACTCCCATAGAGAGAGCCTTGTCGTGGCCGAGCTCGTTGTCGTGAAGCCAAATTGGCTTCCAGGCGGTACCGTCCTCAGTAATCTCGGCCTCGTTGGCGACGATATCGATGTGAGCGGACTCCTCCTCGCCCAGGAATGTATCAAGAACCCTTCTCAGGATGGGCTTGAGTCCGGCGGAGATGACGTTGAAGGGGATGGAGTTGCTGATGCAGAACTTGTGGAACTCTTGGAAGGCAGGGTCGATCTCGAGGGTCTTCTCCATCACCTCGAAGCCATCGTCGAAGGGGACGTTGAGAGAACCCCACATTTCTTCGGAGACATCGCGAAACGACCGTTCGCCGGTCTTGATCTGCTCGTCAAGGACCTCGCGCTGCTTGGAGCCGCAGCCATGGTTGTCGAAGAGGATGTGGCCAGTGTCCTGCATGAAGATGGTTCCATCAAAGTCTAGGTCGCTGTTAGCGGCGTGGCGAAGACCCACGTTGGGGTTGTCGATCGTTCGTACCTGAGAAACAGATGATCTTGCGCTTCTTGTTCTCAGTAAGAGGAAGACCGCCGTTGGCAACGACCATGGCTTCGGGGGGAGTGAGTGCGATAGGCATGTTGGCGGTGGTGTATATCTGTGTATGACAGGTTTGATGCGTGTAGGTCGGCAGTGATTTTTCGTCTTCAGGCTTTATAGTCTCGTGTTTTCAGAAAAGTCGAATGCTAACGAATAAAGTTGTCACGAACAGGTTTCAACGGGATGGTGTCCGACTTTATAGAAGTCAATGCCCACACGATGTCGCCGAACTCTCGACCGATCCGCGAGCGGTAGCGGCGATAAAGCGCGCACAGCCCATCCATCCTCCACGATGACGGGCTAAGAGTAGATTCCACCATCGTGTTCCCCCGCGGACACGGTGGGCACGTCACGGCGCGCCATGCTGCATGAGGACAATGAGCATGGGCGGCCTGGCGAAGAGAAAGCCAGGCCAGAAGCCGCTTCCGGGATGCTAAAGAGAAATGGCACGCCGTCGCGGACGGCGGCGTAACGGGCGTACCGCAGACTGGGCATGCTACTACGATGACGGCGTCTTACAGGGCCCATAGCATCTGGCTTTCTTTTTGATTTTTCCAAACCATGCCCAATCGGGGGCTCTAGCGCGGCGATGGCTGACTGGGATGACTGGAAGACTCTGGTCTTTTGTCGGTGGATGAACGGGAGCGCAGCCACGCTCCCACCATCACGGGAAGCGGCCGGCAGTGTTCCTGACAAATCGGCCGGGTTGATGAAGTGGCAGACTGCCACTCGGACGAGAGCCTCCAGCCTTCTCAGCCTCTCTTTCCACTCGCCGAGTTTCGCAGAGCCGCTGCTGATCGGCATGCCGTTCCCTCCAATGTCGCGCCCGGGAACAGGAATGGACGTGTTCTCGACCAACTCCTGTTTTCCTACAGATAAGCATCAGAGACAAGCGAAAAGACAAAACTGTTTCCGATCCGGTACGCAGCTACTCGCTGGTGCAGAATTTCGATGCTTCGGACAGCGGCCCCTCCGTCTCTCTCTACAGGGGATCGGGAGGCGAGGTGATACATCCGTCCGAAAGTCGAGCGAACAGAACATTCCAGCCCCGGCGAACAGCCAAGCCCCGGCCGCATCCAAACTGCGCTGAACCATCGACATGGGGCTGACGACACAATGTTGCCAAGGGCGGTAGGTATTCCCAGCCCCCTGCTTGAGTTGGCTGAGTGAGTAAAAAGCAAGAGGGAGGATTGGATTGCAAAAGTCAAACGAACATTGATGCCGGTAGCAATGTGCATGCAGTGTAGCCCTCGGGAGCCTGGTCGTCCATGATGCGCACAACAGTCAAGACACTAACACTTTGAAAATTTACCCATGATTTCCCACATCGGAAAGGTGCTTTGAGCATGTGCCATTTGTTGGACAGCGGGGAATCGCAGAAATCAAAGACTCGAAGCTATGATGTCATTCTGTCTTTAGTGGGGCTTTTTGACTCCTACCTTTGCCTGCATCGTGCTGCAGTTCGCCTGTACTCGACCTCCTCCTCCTCCGCGAAGCAGAACACTAGCCAGGTTGCTCCGCTTCTGCAGGCTAGACTGCATTGTCGGCATCTTCGTTCTGCACTCCAGCCTGTCTAGACATAGTCCGTGGAGTCCTGCATATGCATTGTCAAAGGGGCTTGAGGCCCAGATCGAAACAAGCGAGGTCGGGGATGCTGGGGCGGCAGGGAGAACTTCTGTCGAATCGTCGAATCCTAGACTCCATCCCATCTGCAGTGGGCCGCGCTTCCAATTCACCCGGCCTGCCTACGGCTCTGCAGAGAGCCCGTCTCGAAAATGCAACTGCAACTGCAACTCCATGCGCAGCACCCTCCAACTGTTAGATTCCGTGCCGCCATGGCGGTGAGGCACAACATGCCTGTCGTGTCGTGGTGCCTTGGCCACCTCCGCTCACCCTCGTGAGGGGTCCTTATCGTTACCTTCACCTGCGTCCACTCCTCATTTGGCTTCATGTTCAGTCTAGGTTATCAATGGCAACTTGCACTGGGCGATGACGACAGAGGCTGCTTGAACCTCTTCGAAATCAGCATGTGCTCGACAGTGTTCCGAAAATCATCCAATCTCCTCACGATGTGACGGAGCATCATCACTCATCGCTGGACTTGCGTTCACTATGCTCTTGGCATCGAGAAGAGATACCGGGCACCGAGTGTCTTCGGACGTCTCTCCACAGCACTAACAACCAGCCAGTCAGACGGAATATCGTATTGTGCGATGCAAAAAGATAGTGGCGAATTCACAGTTCCCTTTGTCGCCCTAGCTCGCACCCACCGGAAATTCCACTCCGCGGGGGAAAACATTAGACCACAAAGCCCCGTCTGAGAGCACTGCAGGTAAGACTTAGCCAACCACTCTCACAACTCTTGACGGTTGCCAGAAGCCTAAGCCCTGCTTGCCCTGACTCAGGAGGAAGAGGCCATGCAGAGAGCGCTTGGTACTAGTGAGGAAATGGAAGGCCATGATGTCAATCATCCTCCTACAAGACGCCGGGCCGTCACTTCGGGCGGCTTCGGTAGACCCGACCTTCACAAGCCGGCCGCGCTACCATGCCCGGGGCCAGACCATGCACTCTCCGTGGCCAACAGTTGTCCAGACCAGAACGACAAACATCGGCCCCTTCGAGGCCTGCCGATCACTGGCGGGTCGCGCGCCTCTAGCCGAGAGCGAATTTTGGAATACCGAGTAGAACGGGATGGGTATCTTCAAGCGGAAAGTAGTAATTCGGGTGGTCTCGTTGCGCTTTTCCGAGCCGATGTATCCATTTGAGTTCCTCTAAACCGTACGCCTAACATTATGCCTCATCAGCAGTACATCACACCACAGCCTATGCTGACACCTTGGCGCTGTACTTGGTTGCCGCCTTGTCGAACAACGCGCTCTTTTCCTCCAAATCCACAAGGAACTGGTGCTGGGGATCCGCTGCCTTGAGCTTCCTGTGTTCAAGTGGTTAGCAACTCGGCCTCATTGCCTCGGACAGGGGCGACACTTACTCCGTGAACTCCTTGGGATCTTTGCCAGAGATCACTGTCAACACAAGCAGGTTGGCAATGGCCTCGGCGTAGTTGGGGTTCTTCGAGACAGCCTGGTCCAGGGCAGACTGTGCCTCCTCTGCACGTCCGAGGTGCAGCTCAGCAACAGCCTGGGACACCAGCGTCGCGATCGAAGATGTTGCTGGCGCCTGCGCAAGCTCCTCAAACACGTAGAAAGCCTGTTGGTATTTGTCTCCGCCCTATCACATTTTAGCACAGTATCTCCGTTGGAGGTATGGATATCGTACCTGTCGCAGACCAACCCACGACTCAGCCAGGTTAACCAGCAAGCTATCCTGGGCCCATCTCCTGGCGGCGGTGACCTCCTTCAGGGCGAGGTCGTTTCGGTTCTGCTGGAGTTGGATCTGGACAATCAAAGCAACGGCGTCAACTGCATAACATAGGTTAGCCGGAGTCAATCTAAGCCACGCATTCATAACTTACGGCTGCCCTGGTGCTGCGACAACAGCGCAAGAGCCTCCTCTGACTTTCCTGCCGCCTGCAAGACGGTACCTCCAACAATCTGGACTGTGACATTCTCTCCCTCGGACGCGGCGAGCTTCTCGATCGTCTTCACTGCAGACTCCGTCTTTCCCAACGCACTCTCGGCCAGAGCACCAATTGCAACCAGCTCGGGCTCCTTCTCTCCCTGGACGTCGGCGATGACATCTTCGGCTTGGCCCAGAGCAACGCGGGCGCGGAGGACTAGGACTCGGGCAGGAAGCTCATTCTCGGGAGAAAGGGCGGAGGTGTCGTAATCGATGACCTCTTGGTATTGACCCTGATGGAAGTGGTTGTGGATGTTGATCAATTCGCCTTCGGCAGAGTAGGGGTCCATGTTGGCGGTTGTGTTGAGGTCGGATGCTCGTCGTTGATGTCGAACGCCAAATGCTAGACAGCTGCGATGTGTTCCCCTTGGCTCACTGATGTGGGGGACTTTCGAGCAACGTGGAACCCTGAGAAGGCACGGAGGATGCCGCTGCCGGGATGGTGGGTCTTTGGTATGGTCCGTGCACCGCAATGCTGAGCTTAGGTAGGAAAGAGCGATGCCAGCAACACCATTGATTCAAACACCACCTCGACCCACGATCTTTCTGCAGCCTTTCAGCATGACACTCCCGTTCATGACCTTTCCCGGAACTCAACGCTGGAATCTCATCCAGTGCCCCCAAATCAAGCACCAGATTGCGATTCGTGATGCTTGCGCTCTCATTACCATTTGATGCTCCTCCTATCTCGGGCTTGCAATGTCACTCGGTCAAGTGGCCTAATGTTGAAGACCATGAATATTTGTTGCTCATATCAAATCTGTTTTTTTTATGAAAACCCACGGCGCAATTAACAACATTTGATGCTTGTGGTTTGGGCCATTATGGACGGAGTTTTCACCACCTGGTAGAAGGAAGCTTGAAGGCTGGGTTTTATAATCCCTACTGATCAGTCTTCCAAGCTGAATAGCTCATTACAACTTGGAAAAACCCATTTGAAAAGATCTTTGGCTTGATCTTCAGTTGTCCACATAACCAGGATTTCTATCAGGGTTGCCTTGCTGAGATCATAGCATGCCTCCCTACCCTCCTGTTGGTTTTCATAGATAGATCCAGTGGTTGCCAATCATGAGCCCCCTTAGTATCCGTCTGCTGAGTGGTCTAGTGCAGAATCTTTCAAAGTTGAAAGGTGCATGGGAGGGTGCTCCTTCTTGCGCCTACTCCTTCTGGCTTTCACATTTTCTCACGCCCACCTTAGAGAAACCACAACAAAAAAAGCCACTCTCGATTTTCACAAACCCATCTCTCCCAAGGGTTGTGAAGATCCCCTCACGCCCCTTGCTTTTCCGCACATTTCTCTCTTCTCCCCATCCTCATCATTGCTATTACAATTACCAAGCGTGCTCCTATTTTTGCAGCATCACTCACACAGTCTCTCGTTGCTGTGAGTATCCTCCCTGAACTCATCTTGTTATCTCACTAACGCGCCTCATCTCAGTTACTCATTCCATAAGCGCGCCTGGCACCCGCATACTTATCACCGTGGCGATGAACTGGATGACTCCCCACGAAGCGTCCCTGCAGAAGCTTCCGGCTGAAGCTGATGCTGAAGCAGAGACCAGCGTCCTCGATAGGAAGCGCCCAGTTCCTCGATTTCCTGATAGCTTTTCTGCAAATCTGGGCCGCAATGTTTCCTCGCCCTCCTCTCCCCAGGAAATATCTGCATCTGCAACTCATCGCACCCTTCCCTCTCCTCTCCCAGAGAGCCAGAGTGTCGTCAATCGCAAGCGAGACGTTGTCGCTGGCATAGCACCTCCGCTTCCTACAACTCCTCTGCCCACCTCACGCAATCGACAAGTTTCTACCGCCTCCTCAGTCAAGGCCATGGTAGCGAAGTTTGAGGGCGGTGGCTGCGACGACGCTCCTGACAAATTCGACACAATGGCAGATTTGATGAACGACGCGCCATCCTCGCCCATTGACAGCATCAAGACAAAGGCACCTGTCGATGATTCAATCAATACGGTCAGCTCTACGCTTGCTCCTAGCTCAACCTCTCGCGCAGGCGTTCCCAAGACCCAGACCATCGAAGAGGGTGAATTGGAGCTGCTCAAGATGCAGGAGTTCTACAAAACCGAGCCCCTCGCTCGTTGCTTGGATAACTATGTTCCTCCCAAGCGAAACAAGGAGAAGGTGAAGGTTCTTTTTATTGAGGAGGATGAAAGTGCTTCGATGCTGAAGGCGGCTAAGCTCGAGCTGCACAACACGCTCGCCAAGTCTCACGAGGCCTACGAGGAGCGCCACCCATCCGCCAAGGAGGAACGTCTACAGCGTGAGGCAGCTGAGGCATTCAAGAAGGGAGAGCCGTCCAAGAACAATGTCTCGAGCAGCACACCATCTGAGGCTAGCACCAAGTCCTCTCGTCGCGCCAAAAAGAAGGCTCTGCAGAAGGCCCAGAAGAAGGCAGAGAAGGTGGCAAAGCGCGAGGGCATCGATCCCATCGACCCGAAGCCTTCGTCTTCGACTACCACGCAGCCTCCCCAAAAAGAATGGACGCTGCGAGGCCAGTATCCCGAGACGTTCGCCAAGATCGACTATTGGCGGTCTCTACCTGATCCCGATGCGCCGCAGTCATCTTCTGCTACCCAGACGCCCGGCCTGGTCAATCAGTCTATCTCTAGCAAGGATCGGGCCCCTCGCTACGGCGCAGTTTCTCACGCGGCTTCTCACGACGATAGCCTCGCCAGCTCTGCCTCATCCTCCGCCACCTTGGTCCCTTCGCAGAACCAGTCGATCTCGGTCACGCCTGCTGACAGTCACTCGTCCGACAGCGATAGCACCGACTACGATCAGGACAACACCTCCCAGACTATCAATGAGTCCGATGAAGCAGCCATTCCGTCTTCCCAGGGTGCTAATAAGCCGATGAGCCAGCACTTCACTCAGAAGGTCGGCGCCGTGGTGAAGAAAGACAGCGAAGCCGGCAAAGGTGGAGAGGCATTCCCGTTCATCCAGAGAAACCCGGAGGAAGTTGCTGCGTTCTAGGGCGGCGTGCGCAACTACCTCCACATCTCAGATGACGAGCTCTCTGACGGTGAATCTGCGAAGGTCACAAAGGCCGTCGCGAAGCAGAAGGAGAAGAGAGACGCTGATCGCCAAGCTCATGAAGCCGTCAACGCTGCTCATGCCGCGGGTCGCATTGTTCATCTCGAGAATATCAAGTCAATCCGCGACCAGATCTCGACTAATGTGAAGAAGTCCGACATCAAGCCCGGCTTTGGAAATAAGGCTCAGCCTGCTCCTGCTTTTGACGAAATGGCTTACAGCGCTGACTCCATTGCCTGCCACACCTTGAAGCCGGCTCCCCTTCGGATTCCGTCGCGCACGAAGCAGCCTTCCGTCGAAGGCTCCGAGAAGAAGGAAAGGGTCACTCCTCGGACGCCGGCTGCTCAGCTCCCCGGCGAGCTCAAGGTAAACAAGGGCAAGCATCGCGTGGGAAATGTGCTTTCTGAGGCTCCTGGAATTGATGTTAGCGAGACTGGTATTCAGAACAATCGCAACCAAATTGCGTCTTCCACCCGTCAGAAGACTGGCTCCATCAACTTCAGCCGGCCCCAGAACAAGAATGGTCAAAACCACAAGCAGTCGGACGCTCCTTCCAACAAGTCCTCTTCCCCTGCCGGTGGTAAGAAGAACAAAGCTTCTGCCCGCGACAAGCGCGGGAAGAAATCGGCCTCCAGCGCTTCAGAGAAGGAGACACAGCCCGGCGGTTACCAGGTACCTTCCAGAGATGAGCTCAACAGCTTCTTCGGCACGAAGAACCAGCCTGGCCCGGTTGATGCCTGGCTCAAGGAGGCTGCATATCGTCAGAAGCGCAAGGAGGTTGAGGCCGCTGTCGCGGCCGCCAAGGCTGCGCAAGCTGCGAAGGCTTCGCAGGCTTCTCAACCCGCTCAAGTATCCCGGCCTACTACTCATACTTCTCATGTCGCTCAGAACTCAGATCGCCAGAGCTTTACTGCTGGCGACTACCAGGACCTGATCCAGGATGACTACAATGACCTGATCCGAGAGTCTCCTGAGAAGAAGCAGGCTACTCACACGCAGGGAGATACCTCTCGTGTCGTCTCTCAGACCGTCGACTTCAACGGCCAGTACCCCCAGACTCAGCAGCTCGCCGGAGCTCGTCACCATGGTGGTGGACCAGCGCTCCCGCCCACCCCCGCTTCTGCCTACCGGCCCCGCGTTGCCGCCGCCAAGACCACGGACGAGATGATGGGCGAGCTTGATGACTTCTTCGCTGAGGAGAACGATCACCTGTACGAGAAGCCCGGCCGCGCCTCGACTTCCACCGCTGGCTCTTCTAAGCAGCAGGAGCCCTGGGACGATCCTGCCTACAACGAGGAGGCTCTGCGGTACGGCTACGCCTACATGCAGAACAACCACACCCCTCTGCCCGACAACTTCGAGCCCGTCCCTCTGACCCGTGATCAGCGCCGCCAGGTCCTGGCCGCCAACAGCATCGCCGAGGCCGACTACCCCGTCCCTCCCGCCGGCTACCCTACTCCGGCTGGCCCTGCCGATGGCGAGAACACGCCTCCCTGCCCGACCCGCCCCCCTCCTTCCGTCCCTGCTCCTGGCACTGGCACTGGCACCGGTGGAGGCACTGGTCAAGGACGCCAGAGAGGAAGCGCCGAGCAGGTCCAGAGCCTCCGTCGAGCCCCTCGTCGCTTCCAGCGTGCCGCGACTGCTCCTACCTCCGCTCCCAAGAGCCCTGCTCCCGGCTACGACGACGACTGGTTCTAGATCACTCGATAAATCACTCGACTATGCCCCCTGCATTCTCGCTCATCTTGCTCTTTTGCAGTCTTAGCAGCAGGCACCCTAGTCTGGGCCCTCACACCTCGTCTTGGCCGATTGGAATGGCAATCTTATACGACGATAAGGATCGCGAGTCTACTTGGTATGGAAGCCTTCGAGTAATTGCACCTGGAATGGATCAGGGATGGAAAGGAAACGATAGGAAGGAAGGCCTTGGAATTTTTCTCTTGCATTTGTTGTTGGGTTACCGAAATAATTGGTCTTTTGTGGATTGACCTTTCGTTTGGGCAGGCATTTTTTGATATGCTTGCGCTTGTAACGCGAGGACGATTATGGAAAAGCAATAGGTAGTTCGGTAAAAAAGGCAGCAACAGCTCTATACTCTACTCTACAATGCGGTGTTGTGGTTTAGCGACATGGTGATGCGTCTTCGCCCCTGAGCGGTTTGTGAGCCATCAGTGAGTGCGGCAAGACCGTGCAGCACTCACATAATGTCGCACCCGGAAGATAAACATGGGCATCAATAGGGCATATCTGTCATCCGTGAGCTGGTTTGCACAGTGTACCATACACCTCGCGGGCTCAGAGTTCAGTTGTGGCTGGTCTGGCCACGAGTGCCCCCAGCACCAAGCTTGCAGCGCACACAATGAATCACTTATTCAGACAGCCAAGGCTTAGGAAATTGGTTGATTATCATCCACTATTCATGGCATGCGTACCCGCCGTCTTGGGGTATAGGAGGCTCCTTTTGCCGACTCCAGTCGTCGGCTTTTTTGCCTCAGGGCACATCAAGACTCCTCTTCCTAAACTTCCAAAAAGCCCCCTCCATCCCTACCTACTCCTGCGTATGTACAGCCCCATCCTGTGCTGCCACTTGAGCCCGCCACCTCTGATGGGGTCTGAACTCAGTGACCGGAAGGCAAGGAAAAGCTAAAAACAAAGGGAATAGCCTGTGTGTGTGAAAATTATCCGCTTGTATGTCCAGTGTCCACGGCCCTCGTTGCTGGATCTCTCTCGACTCTCTTCAAGCAGTCCCAAATACGCCGCCCCTATGCGGATTCGTGTCCCTCATACATGACAAAGGTATATATAGAAAGTTGCATGGTACAAGAAACGAAGGAAAAGGGAACCCAATTAAGCGCTGTGAACGACCTCACCACAATCAACATCCTCAAGCACTTTGTGGTGGTGCTCCAGCCACGCCGTTATTCTCCTGGTCAAAGGCCAACTTCCTTGCACTTGCCGGCTCAACCTTGAAGGTCGGCTTCTCCAGACCTGAAACTCCACTATCAGTCTCACCAAATGTGATGCCCAGGACATCTGGATTCTTCTTCGCCTCCAGTCGCTTCCTCTCCTCTTCCGCATCGTTGAGATTCATCAGTGCGGGTGGACGGTGGCGCTGTTGCTGAGCCTTGGCCAAGGAAATCGTCTTTTGTTGATACGTCGTTGTTATCGCCTGGGTATCATCTCGGTCGATCGTGGCCTTCATGAGGGCAGCCATCCACAGCCTGCCTTGCTTGAGGTTGGGGACAGCAAAGTAGTGGACGGTTGGCTTAGTGAAGTTGACAGCACGGGAGAGGCCTGCGCGCGGTGGGACAAGCTTGAAGATGAACATGGCGTCGTCGCCCTTCTCCACTGAGGAATCGTTGTGTGCCGCAGCGCCAGCACCAGTGAGTGTGGCATGGAGTCCAGTCAGTCGCTCGTTGTCAGCCGGGAGTACACGGTGGAAGGAGATGTCGATGAGGCCCTTCTCCTGGTCATCGTTCTCTGAGTAGTAGTAGGCCAGGCGACGTCCCTTGAGGACGAACAGTCTGGGTTTCCAGGTCGTCATGAGGTTAGAACTCTTCTTGCGCATCCAACCACTGTAATCTGCTTCTTTCACAGCCTCTGCAGGGCTGACCTTTTGCAGACCACGTTGGTAGGCACTGGTCTCCTTCTTGCCCTTCTTCCTGCTGCCCTTGCTTGCGATGGTGGTAGCGGTGCTCGGGCTCTTCGCAGCATCCGGCGAATCCAGCTCGAAGCTTGGCCCAGCTGAAGGAGTACTCGATCCGGTTCTAGCGGGCGAGTGCATAGGCGAGTCCGCCTTCAGAGGAGAGTCGACAGAGGATGTGATGACAGGTGAAGGGGAGGACATTTTGTTGCGGTCTCCAGAAACCGAATCGGAGATGGCACGGAGGCCAGTGACCTTCACGGAAGGCTTGACCACAGCAGACAACCATTCCGCATGAATGCCTTGGCGTGCTGCTGGAGACATTGGCGCTGGCGATTCGCGGGTCTTCGAGGTGGCGCCGTCGAGCTTGGTGACGCTAGGGGCTCCTGTGTCCTTAACCGGAGGTGCAGGACGGGCTGATTGAGTGGTGCTGGTCGAGGCAGTCCTCCTGTGGCTGTTGGACTGCAAACCGTAATACTTCTGGGCGGCTGGCGAAGCGACGGAGTCGCGGGTTGAGTCGATGCTGCCGAATCTAGAGTGTCTCGAGATGGCAGTTGCGCTGCGGACTCGTTGCTCGTCGGCGTAGCTGGCCGTGCTGTCACGCTTCTTAAGTACGTTTCGGCGTCGGCCGTCAACATCAGTGCCGCTGAAGTATCCGCGATCGGTGTCGAGATTAGAATACGGGGCATGGAGACCAGACTGCTGCATAACGTCTTGGAAACCAGTGGAGGAAAGCGGTCTCTGGGAAGCACTGCCGAGGGTCCAGTTCCTGTCGAATGAAGGCTGCTTCTTATGGGCCCCATCTGCTGCCTGAGGAAACGTCCCGCTCGTGGCTAACTTGGGTGTTACGGCATTGCCCATTGTCGTTCCTGTCAAACGGAAGTCGGTCGATGATGAGTGTCGGCGGGAGTGATGCAAATCCCTGACGGAGGCAGCCGAAGGTCGTTTCATGTGCGAAGGCCGCGTAGGGCTATCAGCAATGGGTGATACCGGTGATACCAGAGAGGTGTCCAACTTGGGCGTTTGGGAGAAGGACAACCGTTTGCTACTCAGTGACATGGACCTGTCGTCAACCGGTGTCATCCTGGGCATGGAGTTCGTCAGGGTATCCGCCCGACTCCGCGAACGCTTGGCATCTTCCGAACCGATCTCGCTACCGTAAGTCTGCGTCGTGCGTCTAGTCGCGACCCCGATATTGTTGCACTCGTCTTGAAGACTCTTAATCTTCTGCCACGTCTTGAGTCTCCTTCCGACGGAACCCAGCTCGAAGGCCTTGATGAACAGGGAGCTCTGGTCCATGCCCAAAAGGACTTCGCCGGAGATCTCCTGGTCTCGGAACACCTCGCAATGCGACTTCTCGACACCGACCGTGAATAGGTATTCGGCGACCTCGTCAGCCGACCAAGCCTCAACTTCCGACCGGCTGTGCATGCCCTCCTCCTCCTCGTCGGTCTCCTCACCATGGATGTATGATAAACGGTGGTCGATAGTGGCACTGTATTCGCTTCCAGAATCAGTTGGAGGGGCGCGCATTCCACCGTTGCTGGGCTTGGAGCGTAGATCGGTGATGTGCTCCTCGATGACATTAAGCGTCTCGTTCAAAACATGGTCTTGGTTCGTATTCAAACGGCCGAGGGAGGCTGACGGCGGATGGGCCACAGGTGGCGCACTCTCACTCGGAGGGACATCCTGCTTGATGCTGTTCAAGGGAAGGGTGACTGGAGCGATCGATTCGGCAGGGGACACGGGAGCCGGCGGAGGGGTGGGCGTGTCAGCCTGGTTATCAATCGGGGATGCAACGGATGGGTGCTTGGGTTCGTTTGCTCCTTCAGGGAGCGTGGCCAGCGGCTTCGAGAAATTATTCGTAGGAGACGTCTTCGGGGCTGGTCTGGTGTAGACTAGGAAGGGCAAATCAGTTGCGCGTCGTTTGCGGCGGGGGCCAGTCGAGCCTACCTTCGGGAAACAGGCCGCTGTTGCCGTTCACCAAATGCTTGCCAAGAAACCATCCATCGCCAAATTCATCGTCTCTCTCAATGAGTTCGACTCGGTCGCCCTTGGCCAAGCTCAATTCGTCGGAGCTACGAGCAATGAAGTCGTCTGCGACAAGAACACATCAGCTCAGAGAACGCGGGTCAGGGGGGTGAGTTGTGCTGAAGGCGGGGAGAAGATGAAGCTGCATGACGCGAATGCAGCGGCGGGCGGGACGAGGGCGGCAGGTGGGCTCAGGAGGAGCAAGTCAGTATGGGCGGATAGAGAGGATGGACGTACGTATGACGAGAAGGATATCGCCAACTTCAGGCCTTGGAGCAGCCATGTTGCCGACGATGCCAGGCGCCGCGACAGATGCGGGTGGCGTTTGCTGAAGAGAATGGTTTGTGACGGGATTAATACATAGGAGACGAAGTGCTGGCTGGGCAGCCTGGCCTGGGCTCGAGATGACTTGGGTGCGACGACCGGGGGGCGGAGAAATGCTGGCGAAGCGAAAAAAAAGCGGCAGAAGCCAGGGATTGTCAGTTGTTCGGCAGCTGGGACCAGGTATGGTAAGTGTGCGCAGTAGTGACCGCGCAAGAGCGGATAAGGTGAGGAGTCGATGAGGGTCTGGTGAGATTGATGGCGACCAGGGTGGTAGGGAGGAAAGGGAAGGAGGGAGACAGAGAGGTGTGTAAGGAGAGGAATTCGATGCCGCGACGATGGGCCCCCAAAAGGTGTGCGTGTGTGTTGTTGTTGTTGTTATTTTCTGGGATGCTGATGAGGGGGGGGGGTAATTTCACTGTCTTCACTTTTTCCCCCTTCCTTCAATCGCTGGTGCCCTTGTGTGTTTTTTTCTTCGTTCCCTTCCTTCCTTGGCTCGGCGCTCTTTCCCTTTCGCTTGTGAGTGAGGTTGAAGAAGCCGAAAGGTGGGCTGACAGATTGGACACGCAGCTGGCAAGAAAGTGGCGACGAATGCAAATAGAAAAGGGTCGTCGGTCGGCAAGGCACGCTGTAAGATCAAGTCCCGGTCTTGACGGCAGACGAGACCAGACCAGACCAGACGGGGAGGTAGAAGAAGTTGGAGGTTGGAGTTGCTCAAGACGGGCGCTGTGAGATGTGATTGGGGGACACTGGATTTGGCGTGGAGTGACGCTATTGGATCATTGCAACGCAAGTGTAAGGCGCATAGACGGTGCTGGGGATGTGGTGGAGGACAGACGAAGGGTGACGGTCCACGTCTGGGTCCAGGAGCCGCTGTCCCGTCCTGGTGCTGCGCGCTGCCTGCAACCTGCACAAGTGTCCTGCAGATTCTGCTGTTGGCTGAGAGGTGCACCGAGGCCGTCCCGTTGACTGGGGGTACCGCCGCACCTTAGTGTCTTTTGTCCAGGGGTTCCTCAGGCTCAGGGCCACCTCGTAATTAGGTGGTCACAATCCCGTTCTCCGAGGCGGATGTCTTGGACAATGTCTTGGATGTCGAATTGACTGTCGTGGAGCTGCGTGTGTGGTTTGGACTTTGGGAGTTCCTGTGTCTTGCGCCTGGCGAACGAACTGCCAGACAGAAGTCTAATTGCAGCTGTCGGCCGAATGGACAGCGACTGCGAGTGCGAGATCTTAATGCACTGAATCACAGGAGCAGATGAAGGTCTGCAGGTACCGTACCAGGCGTTGGCCAGGCTGTTGGTCTAAGTGTACCTAGGTAAGAAGCTCGAAGTCCTGTGCTTCAATGCGGTGTCGTGGCCTTGGAAACCAGAGACAACCTGAAATGTCTTGGTATTGGGCCCCAGAAGGAAGGAATGGAAGGACCCCCAAAGAAGGAAGGGGTCGTTGTCGGTGGTGGCCCGTGTAACGAAAGCTGACGATGCTATGCGATGCGATGCAATGTGCGCGAGGCACGGCGGGGAGGACGGAGGACGGAGGACGACGACGGGGACGGGTGCGTCTGTGGACTGGCCCTGTAGGTAACCTGCCTAACTGGCTGGCTGGACGTACGGATACCGAGCGGTCAGACCGGGCTCAGAGCTGCGCAGAGGAACTGGTGCCGCACGCCGAGCGGACTTGTAGGTCGTCAGGGCGATAATCTGCTGCACGTTATGCGGACCTAGAGGTTTGCGACCTGGAGTAGACGGATGAGATCCCGGAGAGGGGAGACGTGTAGGCGCTATTCTTCTTATTTATTCAGGAGGCGAGGTCGAGGCAAGGAGATGCCACTAATTAGCCAGTTTGAGGCTGTAAAGGGGACGAGAACGCGAGGATAAAGAACAGCCTTTGGTTGAGGATGTGGCTGCCAGAGGCGCCTCAAGCTAAAGTCAACGGGCGCCGGGTGGGGGAGGATAGGTAGACAGTGAGCTACCGGTAGATGCCCTGGTCCTACCTGGGTCACTAAAGCAATTCGGTCTTGTCCGTTTCTCGTGTTATCCCGCCTGGGCAGGTCCCTTAAAACCCGTGATAATGATGGGGAGAGGTGAGATGGAGTGTGCAATGAATGTGTTTGGATGTTGTTCTTGCCGTCCGGAACTGCTGGGGAATCACAAATAGAGTTCGTTGCTGCAAGCCGCAGATGGCGAATGACTTTGCAGATTTGCAGATGGCAGGCAGGTCTTCACCACGGCCTGGCACTATTCCGACTCCTCTGGGTTTTGTTTCGTCTTTCATTTGTTTCCCTGTCCATGATGAATCCGCGTCGTCGTCCGTCCGCCAACTTCAATACCCGTGAACCACTTCATTTCGACGCTCTCGGTGCTTACGTCTCCTGCGTTTCTGCCGTTGCTGGTACACGCATGTCCCGGCCCATCCCTTGCGTAAGGTAAGGTAGATGACCGAACGCACACTGGTGTTCATGTCCGCCCACGATCCCCCGCCTTGCTCCGAGCCATCGGCGTCCTCGAGCCGTCACCGGTTTCGCCATGGCCAAAGACAAGACCGAACACGCACCACAAGACCCAGGTCTACCAGGACTTTCCTCGCGGGTGCACTGCGAAGGATTGCATCTCCCGCGGGCTGGTTCCCCGGCTCTGCAAGGGTGACCTAGAGCACGAAAGCCGGGCCCTCTGCCAGATGAACCAATCATTCCGCCCAAGCACATCGGTTAACACCTCGTCTGCAAGGTGATGCTGGCCTCGTCGCTGCATTTCATCTACTTATTTTTTCTGTCATGAGCGCGTCCCGCCGTAATCACGGCAGACCCGCGAAATTGACAAGCCAGGGCACGCTGGAAGGTGTTCAAACTCACGTGTTGACCAGTCTTCAAGTTCCACAAGCCGGCGGCCGAGCAAAGCCTCCAGTCCACAAGCTGTCTGATAATGCAGCCACATCACGTACTCACTCGTAAAAGGTAAAGGTTAGGTACGGGGATGGGGTGGCTGGCTTACCTAATGAGCAGCTTGAACAGAGATTCGACTCTACTCTTGACGCTTGGAGCCCAGATGCATCCAAACCCCCAGGTCAAGCAACCAAGCAAGCACCTCAATCGGGGCTAGTAAAAGGGGACCATCGGGGGCGTTTCTCCAACTGGCCAGCTTTCACCGTGATCCGTATGAGATAATAAGGGCCCTATGATCCGCGACCCCAACAACAACCACCCTCCGAGATGGGTATGCGAAAGTGCAAAAATGGCGTGCACTACCTGATGGACCTATAATAGAGCTGTATGGTACTAATGATAGACACGCGAACGCCGAACTGGTGGTGTGCGGTGTCAAGCTAAAGGTGCGGCATCAATAGAAACAAACACCTTGACAAGTCGAGGGCCAGCGAAACAAAGGACACACAAAGAAACGTTCTTGTCGCCACCTGACACTTGCACCGTCTTTATCCCTCACAAATGTATGACTGCACATTGTCAATGATGAGCCAAGCCTCGAGAGCTGGGATGTGGACGCAAGGGGGGTAAGGTGATTGGGGGATATCAGGGGATGACCATACCTTGAGAGAGAAAACAACTCGGAAATCGGATTGTGTTGCGGGAATCTGGGGCGCAGAGGGAACATTGTATTGTGCTCGATATGCTTCCAGCTGCAAGCCATGATTCAAGGTGCGAGAATCCCGTCGAATTCTGGCTATCTGTACATGCGTACATGCAGAAAGTCAATCACATCATACGTGCTGATTACAACGATGGAAGGAGGTAATGAAGCGGCTGCGTTTGTGACTGGTGGTTCGACGTTATCATGACTCCATATTTACATGTCCATTGAGACGTCCTAAGCATGATGCTTTCTTTTTCCCTACCTAGTCTTGTCCGCAATCAGGAAAGTGTCTCGTCGCGCTTCGTCAGAACCCCCAAAATTGGCCTATTGCGTGCAACATGCTAACGGGCTGCAGCAGGTGGGAACATGTGGTCGCCCGAAGGCCAAGTTGCTGAACACCACAGCAAACAGCCATACTGCAATCTTCCATTACCAGCTCTGCCTCCCTCCCTCGGAGTTGGGGAAGCTTGCCGTATATCCGAATGGATACAGAGGCTGGTGCAGGTCACAGTGGGAAAGCTAGAAAAACTACTTTTTATTTTCCCTATGAGATTGACTTTGAATTCGAATGCGGCAGCGCAGGTCAGTGACAGAAATTCGTGATCCCATGTTGAAAAGGGACAGCGCTGTGCCCCAATCAGAGCCCGACCCGTCCTGCCCGCGTGCGGCTAGTGCGCAATAGGACTAGAGGACCTCCACCACCTGCCAAGGTCCCCCAGTCGCGGGCAGCCTTAGCCTACCACCTCAGCAAACACCACCTCACCTTCCATCCCACTCTAAATCTTACGCTGTTTGACTGTGGCTTTCTCAGCGCCGTGTGAAAGCTGGGCTCTCATCGTTTGGGTGCACCGTGCACGTACCCTTCGGCCACCACCACCACCGCTTCACATTTGGACAATAAGGTACGGCTGTCTGACATTACCTTACCCGCGTTCAGAATACCTTCCGACGACCATCTCTCCTCACCGACGACCGTCATCCGACGCCGCATCGCCCTAACACCTGCCATCGACCCCGAGTGCACGTTTCGTCTAGATCGACGGTTGAGTGATTTGCGAATTCCCTTGGCGCCTCAAACTTCACGATCACCAGGGGGCAGGCGACACGGCCAGTCGTAGCCTCCTGGAAAACCTCAGAACGCGACAAATCCGAGCTCCAGATCGCGAAACCCATCAAACAACCCGTTCGAGAAGCACCTTTCCGAGACGTACAACCACCCGTTGCTCCTGCCCTCCTGGCAAATACACCCACGGTCTGCAGAGGTATCCAAATCTGGACGAAAAAAAGGGACAGAAAAGGCAGTCGCTCTGGACCGATTTTTGTCACAGTGCGACCCGTGACGGCAACGACGCCAGCCTCGCCTTCCCCCGAATCCATACCTAGGGACTGGCTCTGCTCCTCGCTACTTCCAGACAACATCTAAGGAAACCCGCGTCACTATTGCCTCTTAAAAGGCTCAAGTTTCTTCGACGCATCGGGACCTAGTCCTCATGGTGGGCATTCAACCCCCCCTCATCTCATCGCAGCTGTTGACCAAGACCCTCCAGTCTCGTCGAAGGTTCTCATCCGACCCCGCTGCGTCGTCGCCGCAAACCTCCTGAACGAGCCAACACTTGGGAAATGACGCCGCAAGGTGGCCAGCAAGATTCGGTCGGCGGTTTTATGTCAGGCGCGCGCGTCGCTGCCTCGAACTCAACCCTCAACGCCTGGATGGGCCGTCGACAAAAATCGTGGATGACTTCACAACCGGGCGCTTCACCGTCAACCTCGACCTGCCAGCATGAAAAGTCCGGTCGCTTGGGAAGACCACCCTCTCGGTCCCAGCATCCTCCACCACAAGATACCACGAACCCGACCCCCTCGACTCACGACAACGTCTCGCCGCAAACCGCTAGACCCCCTAATACCACACAACCCGATCCTGAGTTCTTGCCTACCTCCGAGCTCGGCAAACAGACACTGTACGCTACCACCCCTCTGTCTACAGACGATTTTCTTTTCTGACTGTTCATTTGCAGTGATAGTGCGGCCGCTCTCCCCTCTCCAGCCCCGACTGATCAACCGAGTCCGCCGACTCCAGCGTCGAACCAGCTTCAGCAGCAGACTCGAGATCAGGACCGTCAAAGCCCCGGTTTTGTTCTTAGGCCAAGCAACATCGCGGCTGGCGTTGCCGAATTCTTTGCGCAACAAGCTGCTGCCAATCGTCCCCCAGAGATCCTAGGCGGAGGAGGAGCGCCCTCTGGGCAAGAGGCGTCGAATACGGACGACTATTCAGGATCGATGTTCGCACTCAATGAGAGTGATGTCAGAGATGTCGAGGTTGCTCTTAGCGGTGCTTCACCATCGCTGCAAAACCGATCTGCAACCCAAATACCCGCTCTCCAGAGCCCTGGAATACAAGAAAGAAGGCCAAGCGCGGCATCAATGCCAGAACCGCAAACTTATCCAGGCCAACCTTCGAATCCCGCCGTGCAGAATAGTTCCCCGGCTTCAAGTGTTACTCAACAACCAGTTCCACAGCAAGTTGTTTCTCAGCATGCTGTCTCTCAGCAGGCCGCCCCTCCGCTTCCGCCCGCAGCGCAGAACATCAACCAAGCAGGAATCGCAAACTGTTTACGCCCTGATGTAATGTCTCTTCAGCTCGAGAAGATTGTCCAAACATGTGTTGGTCAAGCGAATTCAACTCCTGATAACACAACGGGGCCTAGACTCAAGCTCCTCAAAGACGCTATTGAAGTGGGCGATTACTTCTACATTGCGTTGCATCAGCTTCTTTGTTCTTGGTCTTCCAGCAGGGAATGGGTAATTCACACTCTTCAGATAGACCCCTTAGTGGCAGATGGCGGCATGAAGGTTGTGCAGAACACTCTCAGAAGAAACGACAACATGGCAAAGGAATTTGTCTTCTTGTTCGCCAACTTCCCGGAGTCACCCAGGTCAGGCTTGTGGAATCTGCCCTTCTATCGACAGCACATCGACAACGTTGGTGTGTTTCTCCGCTGTCTTCACAGCCAGTGGAATCGGGTCTTGATCCCGACTATGAAACCTGACAACGGCAGAGGCTATCCTATTCTCGCGACTGAGCTGCACTATCAACTGAGGCTTCGGTCTCCTGTGCTCGAGCCTGTGATCTTCACCGTCACACGGAGGCACATGGGTATTGCGGATGGTCCTGTTGCAGACAAGATGCAACAGCTGTTCCAAACGGACCTGAAGACCGACTATTCTAGGATGTCAGAATCGGATCAGAGCAACCTGAGAGACACGTTGATCAAGCGCTACAAACAACTTGTGCGCGAGTACCGGCAGTCTCAATCTTCTCCCCAAGCACCATCCTTCATGTCTTCAGCACAGTCGATGCCAGCACTAACGGCGCCGACCCCGATGCCTTCTAATGTGGCAATGACGCCGGCCATGGTCAGACAACAGCAGATGATGAACAACGCAAGACGTCTTTCAGCTGGTTATCCCGGCACCCAGCTCACTGCCCCAAATCTGAATGCTCCTGAAGGGTTCGATATGTACCCATCTCCTGCAGCCCCGGGTAACTTCTCTCCTATTCCGCCGCAATACACCCTTCACAACCAAGGTCGAGTGGCCCAGGTTCGTGGATTGCAGATGCCCATGCCACAAAACATTGCGCGAGCGCCATCAACAGGGTCTCAGCTCAGCCAGCCCCTGACTCCGGCAGGCTCTCCTCTTCATGCCAATACGCAATTGCCGAACACGGGGAGGGTAGTGCAGACCCGAGGACAGACGTCGCCAGTTCTGCAAGCACCTCCTAGCGGGCTTTCTGTGTCGATGCCGACTGTGTCTTCTCCCACGCAGATGACATCTGGTCCCCATAGCCCAGCAGTGAACACACATTCTGGGTTCTTACCTCCCAATGGCTATCAAGGGCCGCGGGTGCCATATCAACAAACGATGCAACAGCAGATGCAAGCACAACAGTTGCAAGCCCAGCAGATGCAAGCCCAGCAGATGCAAGTTCAGCAAATGCAAGCCCAGCAGATGCAAGCACAGCAGATGCGGCAGGCGAATCGTTTCAACTATCAACTCCCCAGCCAAGTCATGGGGTCAGCATCGCCAATGAACATGGCCACGCCTCAGTTTCATCAGATACCACAGCCATGGCCCCCTCAAGGTGCTACTCAACAACTTCCACCAAGGCCGCTTCAGGGTGCTACTCATCAAATAACACCAAGGCCGGTACACAGTGAATCTACAGGTCTGCCGAGTCCAATACCTTCAAGTATTCGGGGGAGGGCACCAGCGCCGCGGCCCAAAGGCGCCATCTTTCGACCGCCTCAACAACATGTTCCTCTGGATCAGATACCACATACTCCGCACGAACCGAAGGCTTTGGCCAATTCTCTACACCAGGTCGACGTCCGAAGCCCTAGACGAGTGCCACGAGAACTCCCCATGAAAGATGACCCGATGCCCCCGCAAAGACACTATCAATCTGTCAAAAGTCTGGCATTGGGCCCCGTAGCAACAACCCCTCGCTGGGAGTTGCACAAATTTGATTTTATGGTTCCAGATGGTGTCTTTGACAGGCTCTGCACAGATCGTTTCCCGATCGGCCAGCAGATTCCTGTTTCGCAATACTTCAATGGCTCTCTTCGATATCGTCTCCGTCTCTGCGCCATACGTCTGAAGCAAGGCCAGGAAACAGTACCAGAGGCCGCTTGGGCCGTGGCCCCCACGTATTGGCCCGATCACATCTCCGTCGTGGTCAACAAAAGGGTCATGAAGATTCGTCGCAAGCAGCACAACGGCCAAGACCAGCCTGTGGAATTGACAAGACATCTTTGTAGAGGGAGCAACGCTATATCTGTCAGCATAGCCCCCCAAGCTTGTGCGCGGAAGGCGGCAGACACGACCTACTTTATGGCTGTCGAAGTCGTCGAAACCCTCAACCACCAGAGCATCTTCAATATGGTGACGCTTAGAGGCGTCATACCTGTTGACTCAACCAGAAAGCTCATTCAGGACCGTCTGAAGCCTCCACAGAACGACGGGGATGATGAGCTGGCTGTTGTGGGCAGCGACCTCAGTATCGATCTAGCTGATCCATTCAGCTCTACCATATATGAGATTCCAGTGCGCGGCGCCGCATGCACGCATTTGGAGTGCTTCGATTTGGGCAATTGGCTGAACAGCAGGCCGTCCAAGCCCATGTGCACATCCCACGGTAACAGCTGCAACCGGCCCTGTGGCGGTAATGAACTTGGCCCCGAGCCATCGCTGGTGGACAGATGGAAGTGCCCTGTTTGCGACGGGGATGCTCGGCCTTACAGCTTGATGATGGATAGTTTCATGGCGGAGGTGCGGAAAAAGCTAGAGGCTGACGGGAAGCTCCATACGAAAACGATATTTGTGGCAGCGGATGGGACGTGGAGGCCAAAAGTGGAAGAGGCCGGAGATGACGAGGGCGACGATGCAGAGGGTGTACCTGGAAGGCCGCCAGCAAAGCGCGCGAGGACTGGGCCGTCGCCCGCCGAGGCACCGCCGATTGAGATCATTGAGCTGGATTGAGGATATGCATAAGTTTGAGGCCATTTTGGCGCGGGATTACTAGCGGCATACGGGATACGGCGTTTATGAATCCCATCCTCAGACGAGGCACTCGGGATGGAGTTTGCTTTTTGCTATGGCATCGGGGGTGCCGAAATGATACCACCTACAACATCTGGGCGTTGTAGGAATACGCAGAGGTGATTGAGCCTCGATGAGGATTGAAAGATTCATGTTACTAGTTTTGGCGCCCTGTGCACCGGGATGGTCGTTCTAGAGGGACACAGACGATGTTCCTTCGGGACAGAAGCGGAGGGGACATGGGCAGTTATCACAGCGACAGTAGGAATAGACCGATCAGCGCCATATCCGAAGTGGACGGTATTTGAATGTTCTTCATTTTGTGAAAGTTATCAGCCGGAAGCTCGGGATAGCCAGGCAAACTAGTTTGGGTTGGGTGCACGTCTCATGACCAACGGAACGCCCAAGATTTGGCAGCGGCGTCTATTTAAGGTGCGACTGAGGTCGGCAGCGTCGGCAAGAGCAGGACCGGGACTCCCTTAAGTTAGGTCGGGTCGGGCAGACAGTGCAGCAGTGCTCCAATCCAAGAAACGGTAGTGATTGGGCTAAATCCCCATGACATCAGCCCTGCCAGACTTCACTTGCCATGTTTCCTCGGATTGAATACATGCCTACAACTACGCAGTATCTGTAATTGTCAACTCATCGAGCCAATTGTCACAGTGTTGCGTCGTCCGTTCCTCTGCGCTGCGACTGCCCAACTTTGCCGAGGCCCGTACATACCAGGCACGTTTGACATCTAGGGTGCCTGCTCTCGTAACATCCAAACATCCATTAGCTTCACTGCTTCAGACGAGCAGCTTGAAGCTTGCGCCTCACAGCGTCCCATCCTAAGTCCCTGAAGTCTCTGGCCCCGAGGCAGGTCAGCCAAAGCAACCATACAACTGCGACGGGTTTCACGCCCTTCCATCAGCTCCGGCAACGAGGCTTGGTGAGAGAGGCTCAGCCACGCGTCTACGTCGCCTCTCAAGCCCTCACGCAGGGTGTCAAAAATCTTGGCTTTGTTTGCCGTTCCGACGACCCTCATTCCAATTTCAGGGACGTCGTTTTGAATCGAACCCAACTTTTTTTTTTCTCCCTTCCCCTCACCACACAATTAACTCTATGCGCCTTGGCTATCTGACCTCACTTTCGACACGCTTCAACGACCGCGAAAAAAATACCTAAAAAAAGGTCCACCCCACTCTGCCCCTCCTTACCTTAGGTACCTTACTTGCCGACTCGCAAACAAAAAGCTATCGCTCGGGTGCGGTGCGCTCATTCCAGGTGAAAGGACCTGTTTGAGGCCATTTTCACTCACCGTCGTTCGTCATTGATACTATTGACGTTTGGGGGATCACCAGCCACATCATTCTGCGACGGAATAGAAATTAGGCGACCGCAGACCACTCAAAAAGTGGACTGAGCGGACACCATGTCGATCCGCATAGCGCTCGACAACCAGCCCGAGTTCTACACCAATCTCGACAACCTCGCTGGCCGCGTTGTGTTGCATCTCAGCCGCCCCGAGCAGATTGGTGGCATCATTGTCAAGCTCGAGGGCGAGTCCAAGACGGCCCTCGGATTGCCTCAGAATTACGATGACCGCACTCACCCGCGCCTGCCGCCCGGAGGCGGCCCCGGAAGTATCGCTAGCGAGAACCACAAGATTCTCTACCGGGTAGCGCAAGTCTTTCCAACCTACGAGGAAGATCTCGGCGGCGGAAGCTCCTCTATGAGCGGGAGCTACGTCATCCAGGGCGGCCAGCATGAATTCCCCTTCAAATTCAAGCTCCCCATCAACAATGCCTGCAGCGACCCCGTCGCCATGTCCAAAATCGGTGGTATCGGCGGCATGGGGGGCTTCGGTGCGGGCATCGGTCCGTTCGGACTCGGAGGTGCCAGGGTTATGGACGGCAGTAAGCAGCTGTTCCTCCAGCATGTCACGAAGACCCTGCCTCCGTCGTTCACCGGCTTCCCCCGGCAGGCAGAGGTGCGCTACTACCTCAAGGTCACTATCCAACGGCCAGGCTTTCTCAAGGAAAACTGGCGGTACCAGATTGGCTTCAAGTTCATGCCCATAGAGCCGCCCCGGCCTCCGAAGACGTCTCAAGAAGCCTACGCACGTCGGCCTTTCACCTTCAAGCCGCGACCTCAGGGTCTGCAGAAGAAGAAGAGCTCCCTTTTTGGCTCCGGCAGGGACGACAGCGCACCTAGCAACGGTGACGCTGTTCCCCCGTCCATTGAGCTCTCTGCGCGTTTACCCCATCCCTCGATTCTGACCTGCAACCAACCTCTCCCGCTACGTCTCATCGCCAAGAAGCTCATACCCTCACACGAACAAGTCTTTCTCACCTCAATCCAAATCGAGCTGATCGGCAAGACTCATGTCCGGTGCCACGACCTCTTTAACACGGAAGTAAGCAGATGGGTCGTCGTGACCCAGACAGGCCTCAGCGTGCGCCTCCTGGACGACCCGACCTCGGACGACCTCACCCACGAGTCCATCATCCCAGACGACCTCTGGCGCAACATCCCGCTACCCAACACCGTTGCACCTAGCTTTGTCGCCTGCAATCTCCAGCGACACTATGAACTCGACATCCAGCTGGGTCTCTGCTGGGGCAAACCGCCATCCACGCGAACGTTCTTGGGCTCGAACAAGGAAAACCCCGCCGCGCAGTCCATTTTCCTCCCGTTGCACTTCTCCAAGGTTCAGGTATACTCTGGCATTGCGCCGCCGCCGCAGTTGCTCGAGGCTCTAGCAGCACAAGCCAACCGGCCGTCCGCAGCAACAATGAGCCTGCCTCCGAGATTACCGCCTCGTACTTCACAGTCTGCACCCATCACCCATACCATGGGCCGTGGCCAGCAGCAAAGGCCTCAAGCGCCTCAGCAACCGCACCCACCGGCCGCGGCAGCACCGCAGTATGACCCATTATACCCTCCCCAGATGGGAACACCGGGTGCTGCGGCGTTCGACGACGCACCGCCGAGTTACGACGAGGCACTGGCGGCAGGAGCAACAGGACCGGAGGAGAGACCTGCGTACAGCGGCGTTACGAACGAGAATGCGCCGAGTCAGATCCCCGAGAAGAGTTAGCCCACGCTTGTTGCATTGAGACTTGAGAGATTGGGCGCGGGAAGGTTTAGACAGAGGGTTGGGTTTAATGATTAATGACCGGAGAGCGGTGCCGGATGGACGAGACAAGACAGCGACGCCACCACAGAAAGAGTTCAGAAGGGGGTTTTGTGTTGTTTAAGCCTTACTATACCTTGAGATGAGTCCGTGGGCTCGCCTAGTCCATGAATAGATTGAATTTTCTTCATCCTGAAGAAGCCAGTATGAAGTCGAACGTCTGGCATAGGGCAGTTAAACAGCAGTTGACAGTCCATGATGGAGACAAGACAACTTGGAGGTGTCAGCTTAACAGCATGCCGAGGCGGGCAAACCCCTGGTCAACCATTGCAAGCCCGCCAAGAGAGTGCCGTGATGCCAACTGACCAACATGCACCGACACCAGCTCATGTGCGCCATGCAGACTTGGTTCCTTCCCGTCCACGTCGGTGAGAACACGCACACGCCCAACGGGCTTCAGGAACACGCAAAAGTCCGCCGCAGGTGGCGTAGCGGACCGCCTCGGGAGGATGACCCTCCCCGTCTGAATACGGCAACCCTCGCCCGCCCAGTCCGAGATGTGATTCAATACAAGAGGAGATATCAAATCAGAGGCGGAGGGCAGGGCTCGCGATGCGATCGCCCGTTGTCCGGTCCAAAGATCTACGAGATCTTCCAGGCACGCACCGCACCTACATGGCCACACCGACGACAACGACAACGAAAACAAGCAAGCCACCCCTGCTACCAACAGATGTTGAGATGTGATCACATATGCTCTGTCTTACGCATTCCGTATACGGATATTGCCCACGGAGGGAAGATTCACAAGGGACGAGAAAAAGGTGACTCAATCAAGCTTCCCGTCGGCATAGACGCCGGCCGTCGTGTGTGAATGAGGCACAGCGCGGCCAATCAGGGCTCGACAAACGAACATATTATTGTTTGAGCGAGAGTGGAGGCTGGGCGGGCGTGTTGGTGGTCAGTATGTTGTTGGTTCGAAGCCCACTGTGTGCTGTGCTTTGTGCTGGAGTTGGAATCTTGCCTGGACGTATGTTTTTTTCTACCGGGGTTGAATGCAGGCAGGGTTGCGCGTGTGTTAGCCTACCTTGGTTGGTCTGGATTTTACGACCGGACTGGAATGACTGGTAATGTGAATGGTAATGAATGGCGGTGTTGGTGTTGTTCTTCGGCTGTGATAAATTTGCGAGGTTCTCGGTCAACATCCACCTGTATTGGTGCATTCTATCCGGGGATGTTCCAATGGTGCAAAGCTCATTTCGCTGGGCTTGGATTTTGGCAATGGCTAATCATTCAGATGGATGACCTACCCACGCTCGATGCTATTGGCGCTCTCTTAGTTACATATATTCAACTAAAAATCGCATAAATATCACAAAATAAGCATTCCTCTTCTTGCACCTAGTGACACTTTTGACACCTCACAGCCCCTCCTTGGCCAACATGTCTGCAATATCTAGGTAGAATGCAACAGCGTTAAAGGTCCGCGTCTGTCCCATCAAGACCTTCCTCACCGTCCACCGCACCCGGTTGGACCAATTGATCAGGTCGAGATGGCTAACGTCGACCAGCGTGCCCTTGTAGTCGCCCCACTGGCTGCTCGCAACGCTAACCAACCCGTCGTTGGCGCCCTCGACCTCTTCCAGGATGCGATGGCTCTGCCGGAACGGACTGAGGAGCGGGGGCGTGCTCGTGCATGCACCGTAGCTAAAGTACCTCACCTTGTCGCTGTCCGGAGTCTTGGGGTTGAACTCGCCCTCCATGTACTCCCGCGTCAACTGGCCAAACGCCTTGGTGCCCAGCCCGGCGCGCTCAATCAGGCCGTAGAGGTTGGCGAGCTTGATAGGGCCCTGGCCATTGATGAGGAAGTCGGCAAACGCGCTCCCGCGGTGCGGCGTGGCGACGGTCACGAGGCTCTTCACGTCCACGTCGGCGGGCTTGAGATGAGAAATCATGTAGCGCGCGTCGAGCCCGCCCATGGAGTGGGCAATGATATTGACGGAGCGGCCGCGGGCTTTGGCGGCGATGTCGGCGCCCAGCTTCGCGGCGCGTTCCTCAATGGAGCCCGAGGGCGGTACGGCGGCTGTGATGACGGCCGGGTTGCCGGCGAGGGCGCGGAGGGCGTCTGAGATGCCGTGCCAGTAGTGGATTGGTGGGACGTACGAGCCTAGGCGCAGCTCGGCGAAGCCCATCAGTCCGTGTGCGAGGACGATTGGGTTCTTTGGTGTGTCTGGAGAATGTGTTAGTTATGGGTGGGTGGAGAGCCATGTAAGTGCGCGTGTGTGCGTTGGGGGCAGAAATGGGGCAGGAGGAAGACGGGGAAGACAGAGGAGAGAGAGAAAATGGAAAGTGATCGGAGGGGTGTGGTACCATAGTGTTCTCTCACGACGGCAAACTCGTCCGATATCTGTTTGCCCAGGTCTCTCAACCTTGGATCGCTGTCGTCTTTGGTGAGGACCGGGGTGGTGGACAGGTTCCGAGTTCCCCGGCATGCTAGAGGGCGAAGAGACGCGGCTGGCGCACGGGTGGGGACAAGAGCGGGCAGCGCGCGAGGAGGGCGGCGGCGGCGGCAGAGGCCCCTCGCCAGACATGCGCTCATGGCATGGAGGATGACGAGTCGATGGGACGAGGTGTACAGTGCTGAGTGTAGGTTGCGGGTGACTGGTTGTCGGCAAGATGTGATTCAGTCTCGGCTCGCGGGGCAGGGCTTTAAGCGGGCAAGTGGGTGTGAAGGCTGGACTAGACGTAAGGTGCCGCGCAAAGTACCAGTGTATGAATACTGTGTGCGTTCCTGGAGGAAAGAATTGCGGGCGGGCTGGGTGCGACGGGCGGCGGAAACGAAGGAACAAATCCGTGGTGGTAGTGAATGCGACTGGAAGGTCCTAACAGCGTTGATAGGAGGAGTGTTTCTCGCCAAGGAGTTTAAGCGCCCGGGATTTGACGTCATGCAGACCGCGGCCAGAGAGGCTTAGCGCGATCGCGGGAGTCTCTGGTTCTCTCGGCCGACGACCCACCGACTACAGCGGACGCTAGGGTGCTCAGTGGATGGGCTTCCCGCACTATCCACCTAGAGGCCAGAGCTTCTTCCCTAGACAGGAAAACTGGCCAAGGATGATTAGCAACTGCATGGCACTTGTTGGTTGGGCCTCATCCTTCAAGGCCACCCAGGGCAGCATCTGGTCAGTGTCCCGGTTCATCTCTTCAAAAGAGTAAAAGGTAATAAGATTGCTGTTGGAGGAGGGATGGATGGATGGATGGATAGGTGCATCATGCATCCTGCAGTGCGTGCGCACACAGTCTGTAGCACTGCACCTGCCATGACCGGACTTGGAGGGGGAGAGCAAATCTCGGGTCATCCCTCTTGCGTCCCTGATCTCCTTGTTTCTCCCCCTCCATCTTGTGCTCTCTTCATCTCTTCATCTCTTCATCTCATTGTAATGGGCTGGTAATGTCCGCGCCCCAGGCTACACAAGACCAGCAAGGGCACCTGGGAAAGAGAAGGGAAAGGGAAAAACAAATTCAGGCTTCCCCAACCGCAACACCACCACCCCCGCCCGCAAGATGCTCTGCGTTCGCAAATCAAGTCCACCGTTGGCCAATTTCCCCGCTTCAGAGACACGTCGTGGTCTGCTGCTTGTTTTCCAGCCCCCAACCTACACCTTCCCAACCCAGATTGTGCGGCGTAGCAAAGCTTTCGACAGCAAGCACTGGCTGAGAGCCAACAACGTTGGGACCTCCCTGAGCTGGTCGGTAGGGCCAGGTGAGAAAGTGACGGTTGCCGTCGCTATTGGACGAGAGTTTCCCTCAGGCCCCCTGGCTCACCCTCACCGGCCGACATGGACCAACATGGGCCTCGCAGAATGACCAGCCAATGTAACCTCCCCGCCAGCGTTGCCCGTTGGATAAACAGCCCGCAACCGCCAGCCGTCCGCTGGCCATTGGCCCGTGACCTGGCTCTGGAGAGGGTCTTGATCTGCAAACATTTCCAACCGTTGCACCGTCGAACCGTTCCGCTGGGACGGCCGCCTGGCCTCCCTCCTCGCCCACCGCACCCGCACACATTGTTTGCTTGAATGCGTGCCTGCTTGCTTGCTGCTCTGGCGTCCAAGTTTTGTGGTTTCAATTCCTTCACGGCAGTTGGAAACCTTTTCGCTGGCTGTTTCTGCACATTGGCGTCTGACGGTGGCGTCAAAGTGCTCTTCTAAGCAGCCCCTGGTCATCGTTGTGCCAGTCACTGAACGGCATCAGTTGGGACGAGTTTGACTGAAGAAAGCTGCTGTTGGTACAACGTCTCTTCCTTAGTGGATGTAATCCATATCGGATGCAACCGCGGAAGCTGATGGTGTGCCCCTTTGGATTGACCCTGGCCTGTCCTGCGTGAACCACTTCTGCCCGTCGGACCGCCTCCTTCATCGCGTGTCCGGAGCCATCCACAATCGACCGTATCCTTCAACCGCAGCGGCCACCGCAGATCCAGCCTGCTGGAATGAAATGCTTGACCTCTGTGCCTTCTTGAATGTTGTGTCTGCTTGCTGGAGGTGGTTCGGCCGCCAGTTGTGCAAATCCCGACGGCCAGCCTGCCGTGTATATATCCCAACAGCCCGGCGCGCTTCTCCTTGCCGCCTCCCTCCTCTCTCCTCCAGGCATGCCCGACCAAACAATGGTAAAGGTACCGCCACTGTCGCCTGTCAAGTGAGAATACGGACACAATGACAGGCGACTGCAACGAAAACTGCCCCTTCCGAGGAGGCTTCCTCGACTATGAGCCTTCGGCAGTTGGCAGCGCCATCTTCTTGGCGGCTTTTGCGCTGTTGGTGCCGCTGACCTTCTTCCAAGGCTACCGCTTCAAGACGCCTCTCTTCGCTTCGACTTTGGCCACGGGTATTCTGTTGGAGGTGTTGGGATTCGCCGGAAGGCTGAGGCTGAAGAACAACGTCGCCAGCGAGACATCCTTCACGTTATGGCTCCTGGGTTCAATACTCGGCCCGACTTTGATCTCGGCAGCTCTCTGTCAAGTCCTACCTCACGTCGTCGCCCTATATGGTCTCGGTATCGGCTTCACGCGCCCCAGAGTAGCCGGATTATCGCTTGTCTTTGCCCTTCTTCTCGTCGTTGCTCTGGAGATTGCCGGTGTTGTTGCTGCCGTATTTGGCCTTGGTGGTGTTCAGGTATGAGTGCATCGTGTGAAGCTCAAGTTCCGATCCATGTTAATCAGGGGTGACAGTCGACTACCATCCTCCTCGCAGGCCTGGGCGTTCAGATCGCGGCGCTCTTGCTGTTTATCGGTTTGTACCTCTGGTTCACCCAGAAGATCCCCGACCCAAAGCACATTGCAGTATACCAACAGCCGAGGTTCAGGCACTTTGTGAAGAGTGAGCCAACCAGATTCTCAAGAAAGCAAATATCAAGCTGATCGATTCCTAGTCATGCCGCCACTCGCTGTGGTCTTGATCGCACATACCATCTACCGTCTCGTCGAATATGGAGAGGGCCTCGGCGGCCCTCTCACAAGGACAGAGGTGGCATCTCTCATTATCAGCGGCGCCCTGCCGTTTCTTGTGTGTATTGCCTTGTGCATCTACCACCCTGGAGCGGCGTTCGGCCGCGCTTGGGGTCTCACATCCCCGAGGCTCCGCCGCCAGTCCCTTCGATCTCGTCGTAGACAAGGGGGGCCATCGCCTCTTCATTCCCCGACCGCCCCATGGGACAGACACAAGGGTCCCCGTCAGCCTGGCTTCACGGCTTCGAGATTTCCGGAGAAGAAGATGTCCCCGGTTGGCGTTGGACCAGTTCCCTTGCGAGACTCCACGATGGCGAGCAAGGTTGCTGGTAGTCCTGGTGAAAGGTCTGCGATATATACAAAGATTGCCAGCAGCCCTGGCGAGAGGTCGGTGACGTATCCGAGCCCAATTGCTGAACATTATAAGCTGGAGACGCCTCACCATAGCCCACCTTTGCAAAGGCCTCAGCAGACGAATCAACCGTCACCCAAACACAGCCCGCCATTCCAGAGGGCTCAACAGGCGGGACAGCCGTCGCCGAAGCGAAACAGCAATCGTTCGAGTCAGAATCCGATGGTGAATAGCGAGTCTCTGTGGTGAGACGATATCAGGGGCGGCTTTTTGTTCTTTTGGAAGCGGGAGTTGACATGTCTAAATGGGATATCCTCTCGTTGCGGTAGCGTGGCGTTTATTGACATTGGTGGATATTTGTTGCTTTATATACCGGAAAACTCCATTCCTGTGCTTGGATCGGGTGGCCAGAGTTGATCTCAGTTTCGGTAATTACAATCCTTTGAACTGCTTGACGAAAAGGAGGCGCTGATGATAATGTGATACCCTCGTGTGCTGTGACCCCATCGAATCTTTCTCACAGATTCCGGTAACCTAACCACTTCCTCCCCAAGGCATACAGCAGGCCGAAGAGCGCGCCCCCAATGTGACCGGCATGCCCCACGCCGGTCTCGGTTTGGGTGCCAAGGCAGAAGATGTCCACGGCGAACATTGCCAGTGATACTTCGCGCAGAGATAGCACGATGTTCGTCCCGGAGAGACGGACTCTCATAGCCGGATACATGGCGGCCAGGGCGATTCCGAGGCCCGTCAGTACCCCGCTGGCTCCGACAGCGGTGCTTTCTTCTGCGGTCTTCCTTGGGCGCTGGCGCTGCGAATTCCACACAAAAGCCGCGCTGGCGGCGATGCCGCTTACTAGAGCAAGTATAGCAAACCGAAGCGGCGACGTTCCTCTGGTATAGAGGTGTTTGACATACGTGTTATACGTAGACATGTTGACGAAGAGGTGAAGGGGCTGGATGTGGCTGAAAGCTGAGGTGATTAGGGTGACCGACTGAAGGCTGCTGGGCCTGAGCATAAAGTTCTTGTTGAGGAAGTCCCTCAGGCGCTGTCGACTGAAAGGCAAGGGTATCGAGGCGAGTGCAGGGTGAAGCGCAAGCAACCAGGCGATGTGGATGGCGATGTTAGTTAGGGGAACGCCGTAGAACACCACCGTCCAGACAGGCCCCAAGCCACGTGCCTGCGCCAAATAGTGACTTTTTGAGAACGCCGCCATTGCGAACTTTGAATGCTAAGTCGTTAGATTCGTATTGGTGTGTGGCGAAGGAACAGCGCTGGTCGGGCGTTGGCGAGAAAAAGAGGTTGAAGTTGCTCTGAAGTAGGTTTTTTGGCTGATTACTACTAACTTGAAACCGAAAAGAGGATATATGCTGAATGTATGGACTAGTAGCAGGTTTAGCTCGCGTTTGTAGAGCGCCTCTACTGCTAGATTTGAGAATGTTGAAGCGAATAAAAATGGACGATCACCAAATGAAGGTGGTGTTCTGATTTGGGTAGTATTGCGGAGCAAGCATGGAACGACAAGGAAGAGATAATGGTCCGTGCGCGATCTAAGTACTGGTATTTTACTGAGCACCTCCTGCTGCAATATCGCAGCTCGTTGTTACACCCTCCCCCATCTCAGTGCATACTCCTTTCCGACGGCTCCCTCTTTTGACCACCAACCGTGGCAGATCATAGCGCACAGGAACAAGTGCCCATGAGAAATCGGGTTTCGATTGGGTTTCCATGCACACAATATCCCTTTCCACGGATTTTCTATCTGTCATGTCAGCGTAATGGCCCGTTACTTGTTTAGTTGTACGTACCGATCCCGGCAAGGTAAGCGGTCTAGCTGTCGTGGTGACTGTCTTTAGACTTTGCAATGGGAACACTCGGGATCCAATATCCGCGTGCGCAGCCCTTGGGAGGTTTGGACCAGTTCTAAAATCGGTTGCTCTTGTGAGATTGCTTCTTCACCTTCTGTCTGCCGTTTATTCGCAGTGCCGACAAGCCGGACTTGTTTCTCCCAGAGCGGCTTCAGTGTAGTTGATACAGGTCCAAACTCCAACTTTTCTAGGGCAGTTGGGTAGAGAAACACATCTGAGCTGAGGAGTAAAAGCTCATCATGATCGTGGCCAGTGTTGCGATCGGCCCAAGGGAAGTGGTTCTCCCAATGTGTAGGTAGCAACATGACCTTGAGCTTAGGAAACATCGAAACCTGACATTTGATTTCCTCGGGCTCCTCGCACAGTGTCCATATGCCACCGAGCAATATGGCTCTATCGATTGATTGGAGAAACCTCGAAGTATGGTGCGATTGGCTGCGCAGGACCGATTCGATGAACCCCAGAGGATGCTGAAAGTTGGGAACCATGGAGTCGATCTTGGGAAAGACAAGAATGTGTGCGGCGAAGGTCGGTCGAAGGGGGTAACAAGGCAGCGGCGAGAATCTGTTGCGGACCATGGTTTGAGTCATTTGATTGACCTGGGAGACGGATCGAATTTTGAGGAAGCGGCTTCGCTGAATTTCGTTGGAGTTATCGCCTGCCGGCTCGTGGTATCCGAGGTAGAAGAATGGATCACCCAGAGAGTCCATCATGCCGATCAGCCATGATTGTGACGCGGTACTGGATTCGACTTCGTCGAGAAAGGCTTCCATGATGAGGATAAAAACCTCAGGAGGAAGTGCTCGTCGTAAGCCTCCTTCTTTCTTAGCAGTGAGCCGGTCACTCATGCTGGCAGTGGTAACTTGGCTTCGCAGGGGGCTGTGTGGGGGAGAGGGAGAAAGACGGGACCTCTCGTTTGTTCAAGCAGCCGGAAAACAGAACTGGCGAGAGTGACGGTTGGCGGCCTAGTCGTGGTCTTGGGAAAGACCCCGAGAGGGAAGGCGCGAGCCAAAAATGGAGTGGAAAGGAAGGCGCCGGGTTCAGCCCTTTTCATCCCTCATCTCACGTTGATACTTTCAGATTCCTAGTATGGAAACAGCGATCCTCGGTTTCAAATTAGTACAATACGTGGCTCAACGCTCCTGCCTCGCTCTAACAGCCCCAGTATCTCCTTCCTCAATTCTCCCATCAGCCTGCCCCGGCACCTTATTAACCGGACCTTCTGTCCGTCCAGTGATAGTCTCACTTCCCTTTTCCAAGTCAACCAGTTCAACGCTTTCGTGTTGACCATTGACGGCAGGCGTCCCGGATTCTACACCTTCCTTCGGAGGGTGTCCTGTAATCCTTGCCCAGCGATTTAAAACACTTGTTCTCTTCGATTCATCCGTAGATATCCCCGTGACACTCTTCCCGCTGGGCTTGGTCGAGTCAAGTTGACTGCGCAAGCCCAGCTTGAATGATGCATGCCGCAACAAGGGCTGCAGCGCTGGAAAGCATCCTACCCAGAGACCAACATGGAGCTCAGCGTCTGTCCATGCAGCGACAGACAGCATTTTGTAAGTTCTGGAGGAAGTCAGAGATTACCCTCATCATGAATATCAATACAATCTGATTGCAGTGCCAATACGTACGTGTTCACGGTAAAGTCTGTCGTCGTGATTATGGCAAACCTGACAATGCCGGTGGCAACACCGAATATGCCTAGCGAGAAGATAAGAAGGATCTGAACCGACTTTACTCCCATCTTAAAGTAATTTGTCACCACCCAAAGGGGGAGGGCAACCAGCATGCAGTCGACAAAAATGCAAACAATCGCATGAGCCATCATTAGATCCCGCTCTTCTCGCTTGTCCTTGCATTCTCGCCATGTACTTGCATAGTTGAATACCTCGCTGCAGTCTCATGTTTAGTCGGGATCGGAATGCTTTGGAAAGGAGGTGCTCACGGTATTTGCTGGCATTCTGTCAGAATGAAGAAGAACCCCGTCAAGCTGATGATGATGACGATGAGCCTAAGTCCCCATATGCTCCAGGTGTAAATCTCTATCACGATGATCAGCATCGAATTGACCAAGCAACGGTAGAGCAAGCGTACTGGCTTTGCACAGTCGTGGCAAAAATGCTAGAATTGACAGCCGAACAACTCCTGATGCAATAAGGTACACTAGCTCCATGATGGTGAGTCTCTGTCACGCTCCGTCAGCTTTCTGTCACCCCCAACTGCAACAATCACCAGCCCACCTTCTGGAACTGTAGCAATGTATCTTTGGGTACATCTTCGATTTGAGCGCCGGTTCCGTAATGGGTGGTGTCCATCTCCAAGGCGGAAAGAGTCACGCAGAGCGCCTACATGGAGGATTAGTCGGTGATATCTCGTACGAGTTTGTGAACATACCCATGCTAGAACCGCGAGGAAGTCATCCCATCCCAAAGCCTTGACGATAGCCTTTCGAACATACAACCGCAACGATATGAAAACCGTTGAGAAAATGATCAAGGCCAAATTCAGGTTATAGATATGGTGCCCTTTCGAGTTAGGGTGCCATAACATGGAGTCACTGGGGATGACCATGTCGTTTTGGCCTCCTTCGACCCACTTGTGAACCATGTTGTCTACAGCTTCGAGGTGATCTAACCCACTCAACACTCGCAACACCAAGACCCTGTGCCGGTTATCCGGGGGGCGCCTGTTTTTGAAAGATTCTGCAGAGACCAACGTTCAGCCAGCTTACATCACGTGGAGCATGGAAACGGCAAGAGATCATTGTGATTTCTTGAAGAGCAGAGACATGCCAAGCCACTTTGAATGCGACGGATGGTAAGGCACAAAGTGACGGGAATTTTCCTCTTTGGCTAGGAAAGATGAGATCCAGAACGTGGAAAACCTTGGTGGCCAGCCGGATACCTCGCCGACAACCGCCGAACGCCACTTACACCGCCGACCCCGAACACAGGTGCCTACTGGCATGGTATGCCAAATGCAGAAATACATGCCTCGATGTGAGTTGCCACGTGAAGTCTCCGTAAGCATATGTCGCTGTCGTTGAGGGCAATGCATCGAACACTTGGGGCTTCTATGACTTCTACGGTACCGCCACTGAGTCACCTCCCACAATAAGAACCAAGTCCTCGATCTCAACTTGTCTATGTCGTATTATTATTATCGCCAGTCCGTTGGCGACACCAGCTGCTCTCGGCATGTCTCATTCCAGGAGCTCTGCTTACCCGAGCGCCATGAGCATTTTTGGCCACTGGCCTGCTAATTTACAGTAACGGACGTCTTGGCAACCGATAGAACCTCGTGCTTACGGTTAAATCTTGGCCTGGACCCTAAATTGAAAAGGATGCTTTCGTCTAGGTGTAAATTTCGGTGTCGAGACGCAGACGCCTTGACGCTTTTCGAGCACAGCCCCAAAGCTTGCAACGGATGTCACCGAGGAATGCATGTCACTGCATCTGTACGAACGACGGCACGATGGACGGTATGATGATCAAAGCTTTGAAACATCCGTATTGATGCATTTACATACGTCAAGTGCGACAACTGCTTCCTCAGATAGCGCTGAAGGGGCGGCATAAGTTCATCGTTTCCCTCAGCTTCGTCTCTTAATCTATTCAGACGGGAAGTTCTTGATCTGACAGCTGCCATTTGCCGAGACCTTATTTTGACATCCAACGGTCTTTGCAACATCAGAAAAAAACACACGGTCTGGACTCATCGAACCATACGGCAGACAAAAGCCTCAGCTAGGTGCGGCCAAACATCTTGGATACTTCAGCCACCTCCCAAAAGTCACCGGTATCCCACATACTTTTCCATTCTCTCATCACAGAGAAAGCTTCATTCGGCGGTCTTGGCATTCCATATCCCTTGACGGATGCGGATGTAGTTGATCCATATCGGTACTTTCCCTTCCGATTCCAAATCCTTGCGTCACTCTATCTGCCACCGACAACTGTAAGACCTTCTCGAATGCTGAATAGAAGCCTTTTCTCATTCCATTGAAGCCTTGGCTCCGTAACCGTTTTGTTTTGCGCCCAAATGACAACCGTGAGCTGAGGGAGGCCGGGGAGGAAAGAAGGACGTGATAGCTCTTTCTTTGTTCACGTGGAGCTGACTTCAGACCAGGGCTCCTACCTCAACGTTTCTGCCTCTTACAGTAACGCCCTTTGTCGCTGTGAATTGCGACGAAAAGCCCTGGACTTTGTAACGACAGATTCCATCATTGAGAAGCTAGTTTTCAGGACTCCCTAGGGTCTGAAATCGGACGTTCCTGCCAGAAGTTTCCTCCAAAGGGAGAACACTCCCTCTCAACGCCACAAACTTCGAGGCAGTGCATACTCACCTCAACACCACCACGACCGTTTTCATCCAAGATCGGAAGCGAAAAGCATTCCTCTGGAGCCAAACAGGCGCCCTTCAGCAAACAAATCATACCCAGCCGCCAATGAATCCTTGCTTGAAAACAGACATCGCCCCGGTTACACAAACAGTCAACACCCTCCTCCTTCGCACCTACGCCCTTCTGCAGACGCCCCTGACGGGCGCGACCCTGCGCCTGGCGCTTGAAGCCGCTGACAAAGCCCTTGCGATTGCGACAAATTTTGGACGCTTCGACCTTGAACCCCGCGCCCAGCTCTACCGTGGACATGTATTGCGAGCATGGGGTCGTTGGCGCGCTGCCTGGCAGGCGTACATCCGCGCGGCAAGCGTAAGGGGCATCGGGTTCTCGGGGACGGACATCAAGGGCCTCACGCGAGAGTGTCTTGAAATGATGAGGATAGAAGACGAGTGCGATCCCGAGAGGAAGAAGAGCATGATGGAGAGGAAAGGCGCGAGGATGGTGCGCTTCGAGTTGGACGAGAGGACTCCTAGCAGAATCGACGAAGTTGATGGAACCCAGTCCGACGAGAGTACTGATGGGATGTACCTGCTCCTGAATGGAAGCGGCGAGGTCATTGGAAGCCGTGAGAGCTTGCCTGATCTTAGATCTGTACGGGGCAGAGGTTCTGTCCATCGATCACCGACACCAACATGACGCCATATTCAGACCATGAGGTGGTGGGGTATTTCGCTATGGGGAATGAGAGGCTATCATTATGCCTTCTATTTAGGTGGGAAATATCAAGCATTCAGAGTCATGGACGGTCACTTATGTCCATTTTCATGTCGCCAGCCTTTGTTGACGCTATCCCAGGTCTTGCCAGGCCAATACTCGGTAATGCTTCTTTGTATCTGCAGCAAGGGCATCGAACTCTTTGAAGGTCGGGTCTCCCTTCGAGAAAGTTTTCCACCGAAAGCGTCTGTATGGCCAGTATCACCACAAGATAATGTGGAAAGCTTGAATTAAGATGAATGAGAGTCTGGGAGCTACTGAAGTTGATAATGATCATAAACGCCCGAGACTGGGAGGAATACGCGGAGAGTTACTTTCCCCAGACAAATACTCTTTCTCATTAAGGTCTCTCCGTGACCGCGCTTTCCATTCATTATTCTTACTTTCAGTATCGTGTAGAAAAACCGATATGGGCGATTCTAAGAGGCGGAGAAGCTCAGAGGACAACCGCGGGCGCAATGTTCGGCCAGCATCAGACAATACGGAGGCTTTCCCTAACGACAATCATTTGACCATACGAACCAACGCCCCTGCCAACAACACCAATGATGTCGCTGTGAACGCAACTTCCAATGGAAGAACGTCTCGCCAAGCTGCGCGGTCCGAAATGGTCCAGGAAAGTAGCGCAGTTGCTCGTTCGTCAAGAGCTCCGATTTCTCGGAAAGAGGTGCCAGCATCTGAGACGGTCAGCCCCGACGACACCGGCGCCGGCAGATTCCACTGGCCACGCCCATCGTCTAGACCAAGACGTTTTACCCACAGACGGGCAATGTCTGATGCGAATCCGTCAGGTCCATCAAACACAGCTCCTAGTGAATCTCAGGAGGCAGCTCAGGGGCAGCCGAGGGAGAGTCGAAGAAGCATATCCGGCGCAGAGTCGGGAGAGCCTCGTAGGAGCATTTCCGAAGCAGTCACGAGCAGTCATGTCGACGATCAAATACCTCCTCCTCAATTCCGAAGAACCAGTAGTCAGACTATAATCCGCAAAGAAGTTGGATCATCCGGCCGGGACAGCAGCAGGGGGCATCCGCCCGTTGGACCGCTGCCTTCGCCTTCGGTTCCCTCCAGACGGGGGAGCAATGGGCAACACCCGCAAAACAAGCCGTTGCCTCCTCGTCCGGATGAGTCGCCAGCCCGTTCGCCCGGTCCTTCATCACGAGAGAGCAGCGGCCACCACCCACAGAACAAACCATTGCCTGCTCGTCCTGTGGAATCAAATCAGACACCGATTAAGGATGCTTCTCTAAGGAATGATTCGCCCTCCATTTTCAACTCCACCCCTCCTGAAAATCCTCCAGGACCTGCCATCGCCCCCAGGTCTACCGGCTATGGCTCTTCCACCAGGAATCTGGACCGTCAGTCGTCAACTGCAACCCCCCCTCTGATTGACATTTCTGCTAGCCCCGGCCCTTTACCGAGAGATTCCGGCCAAGCATCTGACCAGAAGCGGAAGTTGGACTTTAATATGAGTCCTCTGAAGCCTTCATCGGAGAAGCCTTCGAGTAAATCTGTACTGCGTCTGTGGAAGCAAAATGTCGAGGGCCAGCAGTCTTCTGCCACCGCATCCCGGTCATCTGAGGCAACCCCTATGCCTGCGTCCAGAACTACGTCTGTGGACCCAAAAACATCCATTCCATGGAGTGGACCAACTCTTGAGCAGAAGAAGTCGGCCAACTCATTGATAGATTTCAATGGACCGTTCGAAACCTCGGGCGACAGCGAGAAGACACCCGCAACCCAGCAACCGCAGAGGCCGGTCTTCCCAGATCCGAATTCGCCGACACTGAAAGCATTCAAAACAGAACCCCCCCGCGATGGACCCGGCTTCCATGGCCGGCCTACTCCTGAGCCAAATCCCGACGCTTCAAACCGCCCCCATGTTTGGATACGCCCGCAACGTCTGCCTGTTGACGAGTCTCAGGAAACTATAGAGACCTACAAGAAATCGTTCAGTCTCAACCAAGAAACCCGCTTGACCCTTCTTTCTCGTACGCATCGCTATCCCGATTACGGCCGCGACGAAGAAGCTGCCCGGCGCAAGGCCGAATTCGAACGGCAGACGGGCGAGACCATGTCCGACGCAGACTACTACTCCCTCTTTGACCAGACGACAGCCACGGATGGCATGATTTCCTCGCTCATGGAGTTCATGGAGGGGCGGGAGTACGTGAAAGCACCCTACGTCAACCGCATCATCCACCAGCTCTTGAAGATGATGTACCAATCCGCCCGAGAGGAGAGTCGGCTCAGAGACAGGAGAAAGCGGGAGTGCGACTTGTTGAAACGCAGGCTTGAGGACTGCGAGAAAAGGTGTGGTGGCAAGACCAAGCCTGTCAGCCTCGACACGAGCGGCGACAGGGAGAAGACGCTGAGACTTATAAAGGAGATGTGGGACCGCATGGACGGCGTCATGGACAAAGAAGAAGATTGCATCCGAGATCACAACCATAAGTGGAGGAACCGCGAGGAAACACTGCGGCGAAACGACGCCAGCTTTCGGGAATGGCGCGCCTTGGACGAACGGTTCAGATCTCTTTGGGACGAGCGCCAGCATCTCGAAGAGCTCATTGCAAGCAGAAACGGGTACCTCGTCGAGGATCTGGGCCGGCTAAAGGACGTCGACGACCAACTACAGCACATGCGCAGGGACTTTGGCACCTGGCTGGAGTACAGGACCAATATGTTGATCGACTGGATTAAGCCCATTGGAGAGGATGATATAGACGGCAGTGTTGCAAAGTTGCGAGACATCCACAGGGGGCTGCACATAGAGGTCGCGTTGCTGAACACTGACATGGGCAGACTGAAGCGCATCGCCGACTTCCAGCGCGAGGCACGTGAGGTGCAAGCCAGATCGATGGTCGACGCTACCGCCGATTCACGACAACCGACCCTCCCACAGGTGAGCACCGACGGCAGTCAACCAGAAGACATCCAGCATGTGGAGCCCGCGGCACATCCATGCAGCGGATGCCGCTCACGCGACGACCAGCTTCGGGAGAAGGACAGAATGCTGAAGGAGAGGACGAAGCTCTTGAAGCTTGGCGTCTATAAACAAAGTGCCGCAGAAAATCAGAGGGACAAGCTTAAAGAAGCCCTCGAACAGGTCTATAGCAACAGGGTTCAGGATGCGTTGAACACCATTGGCAGTTACAGGACCCTCGTCATCGACGAAATGGAGTGGGAGATGGACTATCTCAACCGGTTGCTGCATGCCCAAGTTGGTCGGACCAAGGAGCAAGCGGACTTGTTTCAAGGCACTGTCGACTCCCTCCGCGACAAAGACCCGTCGAACCCCGTTCTGCAGGAGCTCGAAGACATGCATAACTCGGTCCAGCGACTGGCTGATACCACTGAGGCTACACAACGAAGCTTTGGTCAGCAGCTTGATCGTATGGTTTCCAACCGAGCGACTCATTTGGATCAAGCCGCTGAACCAGATGAACAGGACCAGATCGCCAGAGACGGTCTGGTCACGACTTTGAAAAGCCAGGTTGACGAACTCACGCGAAGAATTCGGAAGATGTCGGAGAAGAAGGCACATGAGAACCTCAAGGTTGTGGATAAGGTGCGTCAAGACATGGAACGCAAGATTTCGGATCTCCAAGATCGCGTTGCAAGGTACAAGGAAGATCTCCAGCAGCAGCGAAAGGGGATTCAAGCAGACCTGGATTCTACTGTTTTCCGGGATCAGCGGAGCACGTCCCAGCTATTCGCGAAGGATGCGGAGCTCGAAGAAAGGGAGGAAGAGTGCCGACGCATCGAGGGGACTGCGAGAACATTGCAGGCCGAACTTGACAAACTCAAGGCAGCTTACGGTGAAATCGAAGAGCTCAACGAAGACTTGGAGGGAAAAGTCTGGGCTTTGCAGATTCACCTGGAGGAACGAAACGAAACCGACCGGTGGTCTTTGTGGGACGGCACCGAAATCGAAGTCACAGGAAACGACGATCCCGACTATCGGCGACAAGCCAATATCAACAAGCTGCAAAGGGACCTCGTTACAGCAATTGCAAAGGGCATGAACGAGGCAGAGAAGAATACGAGCAAGAGCTCCAGATCTGCGTCCGCAAAATTCACCAAGTTTTTTGAGTCGACGGTTCGCAAGCTGGATAAGAAGAAGGCGGACGAGACCAGCACGACCAGCTCGATCCACGAAACGGAGAAAAACATCGAGGCTTTCTGGAGAATGGTTGATTTCCAGAGGAGAAGGGCAGAAGTTGTGTCGTTGATCAGAAGCAGCAGGATCCAGCAAGCCAAGGACAGGCTCGGCGAACTGGTGCGTTCTATTGAGCACTATACGGACTATTGGCCTGACAAGCAACATGAATACGAGGCCTTTCGATCGATGCACTATCTCCAGGCGTACGTCAATGTGGCATTGACCACGATTCAAGTGAGTATGGGCGAAAACTATTCGATGATTGCGCGGGAGTCGATGGCGACTGCTCGGGGTGAGTTCCTGAAAGCAGAGACTTACGTGGCCAAGTTGAAAGAACGACCAGGCGCAGGCGGAGCATGGCAAGCCATGGGGAGGTATCTGCAAATCCAGACGCAGAGATCTGTGGAGGAGCTTCAACAGTGTGACTGCAAGTACAAGACAAGACCTTGCCTACAGCATAGCCGCGATGGCTCAGCGGCGTACTATGACTTCATGCAAGCGCCTGACGACCAGGCCGAGATGGAGTTGCCACGATCTGTGCAGAACACGCTGGAGCCGTACGGCCGCTCTGCAAGCAACTACACGATGGATCCAAGAAGGCACGGATGAACCGCCTAGACTGACTTGTGTAACGACTTGGGGGCTTGCAGGATAGGCAGGCAGATAGACATGGGTGTGCAGTGGGTTCAGCTAAGGATAGATTCGAGGACGGGAGATCGATGCAGTTGATCGGCGTTACGGTTTAGGTCTCGGGGAGTTTGAATATGACAAATGAGAGTAAATGCCAAGAAAGTGTTTGTTGTTGTTTTCATGAGGATTCGTAATCTCCGGGATAGTAGCTTGGTGCTATCGCCAACCTTCGTTCTCGCCTCTGCTCGTGATAATACCAAAGCACTCAGACGTGTGTAAGTTGGAGTCGGGGAGTTCAGTGGCGTTTGGCTCAAGTCTCCGGTCTTCCGCGCGGCGAGCTGATTCATGTGTTTCCCCGTTGACCAGGGCGGCGAAGGCGAAGCATGTTGATGAGGCGGCCTCCTTGATGGATGAGTGCAGGATGGACGTTGGAACGAGAGAGTGGAATCCGCCAATGACCGATTCGGCTGGCGGAAGGTGAGTGGGTGAGGTGTTGGTGTGGAGGTTGGAGCCGGTAGGGACGAGAAGTCAAATTGATAGCGAGAAGCAGTGGTGGGGCCGGGGAATTAAGCTGCTAGCGGGTACATCAACTTCCGCCCAGATGACATGGGAGACGAAGTCCTCCCTATCACCACATGCCAAGTCGTCCGACTCCTAGCGCACTCACTCACCCGCGCGGGTGAGCTTGATTGCTTACCACGCCAATGCATTCCTAAAACTCTTCTCAACGCCCATCTACAACATGACACCTCCCCATTCGCTCGGCCGCCCGCGCCTCATCCGCTTGCTGTGCCTGGCGATAGGGCCCCTGGACTCCATTTCGTCTTGTCCACCCCCAACCTGCCTCCCGGCCAGGTTCAATATCTAAACCTTGTCTCGGGAGCGGCATTTCCTCGAGCCTCATCTGCGTCGCCAGTGCGCACGTCAACTGTCTCAGCCAAACGTGGGCCTGGGAATGGATAGGCGAAAGGGGTGTGTGTATGTGTGTGATTCGAGATGCGATGTGATGTGGGTGGCATCTGGCATCCCGGCAGCTAACACAAACCAAACGCCAGCCTAGGAAGAAAGCAGAAGGCCGAACTTGCACCTCTGTCACATTACATTGACTTTCGCATGGTCGAGGGGCGGGCGCCTTACGAAAACAAACTTGCGTCTGGCGTGCTTCACAATCTGTCGCTTCCCTCGATGGCCCTAACACACGTGGGACGCAAGAAACATGCTCAAGATCCAGGAGTTGGCGTTGAAGTTGGACCCATCAGAACTTTCTTGACAGGCCAGGAGCCGGACAGACATAGCCTACCCTACCCAGGGATGACGCCTGGTGATGCGGCGTGGCCCTAATCTGCGAGCCTGCCAGACGACGATCTCTTCCATTGCTATTGCACCGAATCCGGCCTCGAGGTCTCTTAGACGGGCATGATGATTGTGGACCACGACTCAGCGGCCGCTGCACCAAGACAGACGACCCTCAACAGCCCGCTGACCATCGCAAAAGGTCCCAAGCCACTGAACCCTTCGACGCAGAAGCGAGAGAAACGGGCAGCTCGTTAAACAAAAGTCTGGAACGCGATGCTACGCAAATCTCTGGATCAATACAACCGCATCCTGGCTCGGAGCAGCTATTTGTCCGCCCCTTCTCTCACAATCACATGGCCACCCCGACCAACCCAACCGCAGCGGCTTCAGTGTCACCGACCGCGAAAAGTCTACCTCATGCCACTCGCCGCCGCCTTCTCCTCCAGATTGATTAGATCGATTGACCTGGCCCTATCCCATTGGCCGGTCCTTGTCGTTTGGCTTCCCGCGTCCGTTTACACTGCACGCACATTGTTCGCTTCTCCTCCTTTGACCAACAGCGGCTGCTTCCGGCGATGGGGGCGGCAACGAGAAACGGTATGGCAGTGCTTTTCTTGCTTTTGGTGACGAATTTGGACCGGTGAGCAGAGGCACCAAGCTTCCAAGCGTCTAGCCAGCCGCGTCTGCATCGCATCATATCACATTTTGCGTTCCTGACGCATCATTATCTCAAACCAAGGACGGATGACGCCTGGCCTGGCCTGGACAGGGCCCACGCCACAACACACTCCGTGTCCCGCGCTCCCGCTCTCCCGTCACCCCGATCCTGTCTAGCCCCATCCCCTTCCCTTTCCCGGCTCCGGCGTCCACCACAGCGCAGCGCAAGGGGGGAGAGAAACCCCCACTGGCACGGCAGCTACAAACCATCGGGCGCACGCGAGGTGTTGTCAAATGCCAAGCGTTTGGCGCGACCTACCCTCTCGGGGAAAAGGCGCGGGCGGTTTGGTTCTGCGGCGGAGATCACGAAAGGGCGGGATATGGCTCGATCGAGCAAAGCCGGGCCAAGCCAGGGTCACTCATCCAGTAGGTGACTATGACCACGGAGAGACTAAAAGACCAGACCAGGCGGCGGCGGGTGCGATGCTTCTGACGGGACAGCCACAGCCTACGGATAGCAGGCATCCATGGAATGGACTCGAGCTCGCACCGAGAAACTCGGGCCGTACGACGGCGTTTACAACCTTGCTTCTGTCCAATCTAGGCAAGTCAAATCTGTCTGCAAGATGCAGATAGGCACCGTGATACCGGGAGCTCCACCTTGAATGCCACAATCTGGAGGCAGATTGATCCCGAAGAATGGTATTTGGGATTTCGACTCACAGTCGCAGCCCAACAACAGACCATGACAGTGTCTGGTTTGTGGGGTAAATGTGTACGCATATGTCTCTCTTCTCTGACTCTCACGGAGTGCTGGAATTCTCGGCTGCGTATTGTTCTCTTTTCGTGGTTGGCTTAATTTACCCAAATTATGTCAACACCCCCCTGGGCTTCCGTCTTCTGGGTGCGAAGCGAGGGAGGCCGTCCGAGTCCTGGTACGGCCCCGTTGTCGACGGGACTACGGTTCACGGCACGCAACACCTCAGACGTCGACGCCCGGGGTACCCTATCATCTTGCCCCCCCGCCCAGCATCCCGCGCCACAAAACCACTCTACTTCAACCTCAATCAACATCATCGGCCTGCTGCTGCTGTGCGCTCACTTTAATATCTTCCTGCCAACCGAGCAAAAAGCTTTGTCAAGCTGACAAAATAAGGCAGCCAGCCGGCCGAGATGGAGTTCCTGGTTCCTGTAGGGCAGCCACCATATCTCACAATTTTGCTACAATCTAGATTTTCTTTTGTTTCGCTCCCGTGGGATCCTCCTGTGGCCATCCAAGCAAACATGCTCCCCGGTTCTTTCGCTTCGTCCTTCCCGCTGCCCTAGCTCCCTTTTGTGGGGAGCTGTTGGCGTGTACGTTACACCGGCTACTTGCACCAACTACCCCGTCGAGGGCTTGGGCTGTCAACCTGTCATTGGGCCTCCGTCCAGACATGTCCACGTATCAAAGAATGTCGTTTGGGGCGACAAGTGACTCTCTTCCAGGCAGCTACCCAGAGGGGGCCAGCCATGGATGGTGACCAAGGCTCAGTTTGCCCAGGGCAAGACCATGCCGTCGAGGACGCAACCTCGTTTACTTACACCGGCACAGGAACCCATCCAGCTGGGGAACGTGACGCTTGTCTCACATGCCATGGACTTGACAACTCGCCCCTGGCAGGAAAGGCGGTTTCGGAAGATTGCTGTGTAAGTGCGTGATAAGCGGCGCGCAGGAACTTCTTCAGAAAAAGCAAGATGGTGGTGGTGGTGCATGGCCAGGCGGGTGGCCAGTCCCACGATGGGAAGGTCTGAGATAGACCCTCAGGATACGCCATTACGGGCCCATTGCGACATTCAACTTTTTCTTCAGCTGACGGGATCCTCGATGTCTGTGATACCCTCCTCCGCTTATCATGAGGTTGCTGTTTGGGAGGCCGTGAAAAAAAAGGGCCAGACAAAAGGTGCGCCACCAGGGGCAAGCCACGAACAGTAAGTCAACCGCTTTCATCCATGCCCACACCCGGAGCGTGTAAGTTGGAGGAGGGAGCTTGCAGGGGAAAAGTGTAAAAGCTTAGCAAGGCAGAGGAGAAAAGCAAAAAGAGACATGTCACTCTTTCAGGGTTTTGCTGTGCTCCTGATATTCTCTTTCGCAGTAGGCTAGCAACGCCTTCTTCCTTTCCCTGTTTTCTTTCCCTTGTGTACACCCCTTCTTCAGCAGACGCCTCAGTTCGTCTGAAAAAGGCAAGCCTGGGGTCTCTGGTCTACCTGGGCCAAGGAAGAAACGCTTTGTGGGACCCAGCTGTGGCTCTGGGGGCTCCTTCCCTGACCCCAGTTGCTCTTGCCAAACCCTGCAATGCCTTCCTTCCTATATGCTGTGAGTTGAGGAAGGCACCTTCCTTCACATTGTGAGCAGCTACCACATGCTGCACCTTTCCTTTCCTGGGGGCTTCTGCTCTAGGTATCTACACTACCGCCCCTCCTCCACTTGCCCAACCACACACCCTGTCCATGTTCACGCCTTCTTCACTTACACCCACACTGTCTTTCCCGGTCCTGCCTCTCCCTCTGCAGACCACACTCACGTCGTCCTTACTTCTCAATCTTAAAATCCCAGGGCCCTCCACGCCTGTTTCTTCACTTTGACCCGTCTCTTCACGCCTTCCGCCAACAGCTTCAAATTCTTCAGAAGACTTCAGTGTATACTGTTTGTCGCTTGAGCACAGGGTGTTGTATCTGTCTCATTGTTAACCCGCCGCCGACGACATCTCAGCAACCTTACAGACTCACACGGCCTCTCTTCATAATGGTTAGCGGTCCTTCAGCCTACCCGCTGCTCTTTGCAAAGCGGACGCGCATGAATCAGGATGTTGTCACCTGGTTTGCCATCATTCTGAGCTCACTCATGGGAGTCTTCATCGTCTTTCATCTGAGCCGCCTCTTCGCCCAAAAGACTGGCCTGGCCTCCAAGCTCTCAGGTGCCACAAAGCCTTTTGTCTTTGTGTCCAGGTAAGACTCGAGATATTCTCCATCTCACGGACTGTAGCACTGGGACGGGAGCTAATCGGAATCCAGAATTGTCCGCAGATACTCTGTGCTCAAGTTCCCTGCCCTCCCTTCCACCGGCCACGCTGTCATCGCTCTTCTCTACATCGTGGTCAACGTCGTCCTTCTCCTAACGTACCTCGACGATTCGCTTCTTCCCTACATCACTGTTGTTGCTGCTCGCGCCGGATGGTATGTTTCCTACGGAATTCCCGATCAGCTGCTAGAGACTGACTACAAGCAGGCTTGCCATTGCGAACATCGTCTTCGTCATTTTCCTGAGCCTCAAGAACACTCCTCTCGGATATCTGACGGCCTGGTCTTACGAGCGTCTCAATGTCCTCCACCAGATTGCCGGATACGTCACGATGGCCCTCATCATCGTACACGGCGCTACCTATTCTTCGTACTTTATTGAAGCAAACAACGCTGCCCGTCTCCGTGTCCACGAGGAGATCTACGGTATCGCCTCCGGCTTCACCTTCCTCACTCTTGTCGTGGCTGGCGCGGTTGTCCGCTTCTGGTCGTACGAACTGTTCTACGTCATCCACGTTTCCTTCTTCGCCATTTCGATGGTGCTCGTGGGCCTTCACCAGCCCGAGATGACAAAGAAGATCATCATCGCCACGGCACTTGGCTCGGCGCTCTGGCTTAGCGACCGCATCTTGCGATTTTTCCGAGTTGCTTATTACAGCATCAACAACACTGCCACCGTCTACCCTCTGCCTCATGGCGGCACCCGCGTCGTCCTGAATAAGGCACCTATCATGGCAAACTCCGGCGAGCACTGCTTCCTGTGGATTCCCAAGATTCGCGCGTTCGAGATGCACCCGTTTACTATCGCCAACATGGATCCCCTCGAGTTCGTTATCAACTCCTACGATGGTTTCACTCGTGATCTCCACAGGTATGCGACGAGCAACCCTGGTGCAACAGTCAAGGCATCAGTCGAAGGCTCCTATGGAAGATTCCCCAACCCGGCCGAATACGACAAGATTGTCTTGGTTGCTGGTGGCAGTGGCGCGAGCTTCACCTTCGGAATGGCTCTGAACCTCCTCAAAAGAATCGGTGATGGAGCCCAGAAGAGCATTGTGTTCGTCTGGATGGTGAAGGATCCTGGTACGTCTCTCGCCATCTCTTACTCAAAGTGGAAAAAGCTAATATCATCCAGCCCGTTTCGAATGGTTTTCGGAGTCCCTTGCCACCATTAACCGCGCGCTCAACTCTTCCATCCAGCTTTACGTCACCCGCAGCCCCGGTTCCCATGGCTCGTCGCAAGAGGACATGGTTCAAACTGACAGATCGCGGTCCGGCACTATCTCCTCTGACGCTTCCACACCCTTCACGCCTGCGACCGAGAAGTTCGACGAGGCCGCACACGCTCCCCGACAGCCATCGAAGGTTCTTACTCGTACCGTTTCAGACCCCGAGAAATCCGGCAACGAGTCGGACCTCACAACACCGACTTCTCCGATTCAGCAAGCCACCGTCGGCTCTCATATCAACAATATCCCCATCCACTACGGCCGGCCCGACGTCTCCAAGATCATCACCAAAGCCATCGAAGAGGCCCCTGCGAACCAGCGCGTGCTCGTCATGGGCTGTGGCCCAGCGACTTTGATGACTCAGGTCCGCAACACCACCGCCTCCCACATTCGCACCTCCGGTCCTGCCGTAGAGCTGCACTGCGAGCAATTTGGATGGTGAACATACTGGTGTTGGGGACGACGTCGGCAACTGCGGACGTGACTTGGCCATTGCCAGGTAATGTCTACGCGATCAAAGTCATTCTTGTGCATATTTGAAAACCTTTTCTGGCGTTGTTGGAGTAAATACGGGCACGGCATTTGGTTTCCCTTGCATTTTTCTGCAGCTTTGAAAGGATGGATACGCCTTCAACGATTGGAGAGAGAGCTGGTCATGCGATACGTTCATACCCGTACAGAAGCTTGGCCCCGTGGCCGCCTGTACTTTGTTGCTTACAGAGAACAACTTTGATGAATCTTCGTAAACACTGCCTTCGCCATGACATTTGTGAAATCTGCCAGCCCAAAGTGAAAATCCCAAAGTGAAAATCCGGCCTCGTATCTTTCGGGCCGCCCAATCACGCCGCTGACAATGTTTCCGAGCCACACAAGACCAAACAAAGACGGAGTCTTGAGGATAACCTCCTTCTCGCCGGCCTGCGACGATCGACGCAATGACCAGTCGTTCGCCGCTCGCCCGTCATACACATACTATGTACAAAGCACATCGCATGACCGTTAGATCTCCGCGCACCATCGCCAAGCCGCACGCACCCGGGAACGACCCCGTTGCCCAACCCACGAAACGGGGGCCAAAACCATGCGAAAGTTTGCGAAGCTGCTTTCCCGACTGGGTAACCGTGTTGTCGCCAGCAAACTATATCAGTAGCAGCAGCAGGGGGCTTGGTTTTGGAACATAAGTATTTCATATATTCCGAAGCCGTTCACATACCGCTTGTGACACACAGCATGCACCTCACCGTTTTCTGCGACACTGCTGACAAGGCCAAGAAAGTCATCGCAGCACCATGTGGTCTTTGACAGCTCTCACGCCCCCCTCTCCCGGCGGCAACTTCCGGAGTAAAGCAGGCCTGTCATATAGCATTCATAGAATTCGGGGAGGTTGGGCATGGTAGTTTGTGGGATGTTGTGAATCGCCGTCGGTATTTGCTGCCGAAATCCGGGGAAATGAGATGATGGTGGTGTCGACCCAGACCTTGGTTGTGACTCAAGAGTTTGCAAGCATCTCAGGCATCATGGGGCCTGATCAGCGGGCCAAGCATCAATATAATTATATTGGCGACGAGTGATGGGTTCGGGTTGGCGGTTGAATGTAATGGAAGCACAGAAGGTGGATGCGGAGGGTGTTGCGCCGTGGTATGCCGTGTCTTGGACATTGGTTGCAACGTCATCTGCCGCGGTGCCGAGAAGCGGTTCAACAACTGGCATTGTGAGATGTCCCTGGTTGGAGAACGGGGTCTAGAAGTCCGAATGAGACAGCGCAGGTCTGTCTGGAATGAAAATCACAGTTCTCTCCACTCAATACAGAAATGCGGACGTAAGGCAGATCTATAGACTTCATCGTCTTCGCACTCAAAGCTTGTTGAAGATCTTCCATATCATATCAATGCACGATGAGACAAGCCAAAAGGCGGGAAGTTTTTGTAGTAATATCATAAATAGTCCCTTCTATTCCAGTTGGGTACTCTACAAGCCGAGAGCAGGTATCATATGTTGAACAGATGCTAGTCTTCTTTCCTTATCCCCAGCGCCATTTGTTGAATAAATGCCACCGGAATGTTGCTTTCCTTTCCCACGTTTTAAACCAATTCCCTCTATAAGTCAACCCCGAGGCGCCTCAAGCAACCAGATGGTTGCAGGTTATCCATGCTTTACTTTCCGGTTAGAACAGGCCGTCAATCTCACCAGTCTCGGTGTCGACATCGACGTTCAGGTAACCCGGAGCTGTGGGCAGACCAGGGATGGTCTGGATGTCGGCGGCGAGCGCATACCTGTTATGTTGTTAGCAATGTCACTGAGAGTAAGAAGGATGGTTTGCTTACAGGTAACCAGCACCGGCGGCCATTCTCACGTCCCTAACAGGAACTGTGAAGCCGGTCGGGGCGCCCTTCAGGTTGGGGTCGTGGGAAAGGGAGTACTGGGTCTTGGCAACGCAAATAGGCAAGTTGCCGAAGCCCTGCTTTGTGTAGGTGTCGACCTTCTTCTGAGCCAGCTCGCTGAACTCGACGGCCGCAGCACCGTACATCTTCTGGCCAATGGCCTCGATGCGCTGCTGGACGGATCCCTCGAGATCGTAGAGGAGCTTGAAGTCCTTGGGCTTCTCGCTGGCGGCGATAACGCCCTTGCCCAACTCAACAGCGCCCTTACCACCCTCAGCCCAGTGGTTGGAGAGGATGGCGTCCTCGGCACCGGCGGCAATGGCCTCTTCGCGGATGACTGCAATTTCAGCGTCGGTGTCGGTGATGAACTTGTTGATGGCGACCACGACGGGGATGCCGTAGGCCTTGGCGTTCTTGATGTGCTTGCGGAGGTTGACGCAACCAGCACGAAGAATGTCGACATTCTCCTGCTTGTAGACGGCATCGAGGGCAGCGCCGGGGGCGATGGGAGGACCACCACCGTGGACCTTCAGAGCACGGACAGTGGCAACAACGACGACAACATCCGGAACAAGACCGGAGGCACGGCACTTGATGTTGAAGAAACGCTCACCGCCCATGGTGAAGTCGAAACCAGCCTCAGTAACAACGAAACCGGCCTTCTCGGCGGGGTTCTCGTCAGCCTCGGTGCCAACAATCTTCAGGGCCATCTTGTCAGCCAGGATGGAGCTGTTGCCGACACTGATGTTGGCGAAGGGTCCAGCGTGCACGAAGACGGGAGTTCCCTCAAGAGTTTGCATCAGGTTGGGCTTGATGGCGTCCTTCATGAGAGCGGTGAGAGCACCGCCAGCGCCGAGGTCGTCGCAAGTAACAGGCTCGCCGCTTCTGGAGCTGGCAACAACCATGCGGCCAAGACGCTCACGCATGTCAGCCAAGCTGGTGCTGAGGGCCAGGATGGCCATACACTCGCTGGCAACGGAGATATCGAAGCCGGTCTCACGCTTGTGTCCCTTCTCCGTGGGCGCAACACCAACGGTGATACCGCGAAGGTGCCTGTCGTTGACATCCAGCACACGTCTCCACGTAATGGTCTCAGGGTCAATGTCCAGACGGGCGAAGCGGCGGACCTCCTCCTCCGTGAGCTCATCGGGGTTGGTCTTCTCAATGCCCAGCTTCTTGAGACGACGGAACATGACGGGCGCAAACTCCCGCTTGCCGTTCTTTGCGGGAACAAGACGTCTGTAGAGAGGTCCGTCCTTCTGGGTATCCTCGTGGAACATGCGCGTCTCGATGGCCGCTGCGAGGAGGTTGTTTGCCGCAGTAATGGCGTGGATATCACCGGTCAAGTGGAGGTTGAACTCGTCCATGGGGATAACCTGGCTGTAGCCGCCACCAGCAGCACCACCCTTGATGCCAAAGGTAGGGCCTTGACTGGGCTGACGAACGTTTGCGAAGGTGACACGACCAAGGTGGGCGCCCAAGGCCTGAGCGAGACCCATGGTGGTTGTTGACTTGCCCTCGCCGAGAGGAGTAGGGGTGATGCCGGTGACGACAACGTACTTGCCATTGCGGCGGTGGTCGAGACGCTTCAGAACGCTAAGATCGACCTTCGCCTTGTAGGCACCGTAAGGCTCAAGCTCGTGAGAAGCAATACCAACCTCCTTAGCCAGACGAGTGATCTGCTTGGGGTTTTGGGCCCTGGAGACCTCAATGTCAGATGGGACAGGCTCCTTGAGGTGAAGAGGCAGAGGAACAATCTTCCTCTGCTTCTCACGCTCAAAAGCCTGCACGGCCGAGTCGACAACGTTGTGCATGAGCATTGCGACGGTCATGGGCCCGACACCGCCAGGAACCGGGGTAATGTGAGAAGCGACCTGGGAAGCCGACTCGTAGTCGACATCTCCAACGAGACGCTGACCAGACTTCTTGGTAGAATCGGGGATGTAGTTGGTACCGACGTCGATGACAACGACGCCGGGCTTGAGCCACTCGCCCTTCACGAAGCCGGGCTGGCCAATGGCAGCGACGACAACATCGGCTGCCTTGAGGTGCTCCTGCAGGCCCTGACTCTTGGAGTGGCATACAGTGACAGTGGCGTCCGCATTGCGAAGAAGGTAGCTTACAGGGCTGCCGACGATGTCGCTGCGACCAAGAACAACAGCGTTCTTGCCCTTCAAGTCGACGCCAGCCTCCTGAAGCAGGACCATAACGCCCTTGGGAGTGCAGGGAACGAAGGGAGGACGACCACCCCGCTTCGCAAGCTCGCCAATATTCCTGGTGCCGAAGCCATCGACATCCTTCTCGTCTGCAACAGCAGAAGTGATAGTGTACTCATCGAGGTGCTTGGGAAGAGGCAATTGCACCAAGATACCGTGGACGGCGGGGTCGTCGTTGAGGCGGTAGATGCGGTCAAGGAGCTCGGGCTCAGAGATGGACTCGGGAAAGTGAACCAGTTCACATCCAATGTTTGCCTGATTAGAAGTGTGAGTTATTTTGCAAGCCAAAACAGGCTCAATGATGGGTGCGTACCTCCTTGGCGGCCTTGTCCTTCATGCGAACATAGGTGGCTGCGGGGTTGTGAGCATCGCGACAAATTTCATGGTGGGGCAGACATGATGTCGCAACATACCAGAGTCCGATCTATCGCCGACTGCGGATGAACCTTGATTAGCCAAACGAACGTTCGCGTGGAACAAGCAGCGAAGCCAACTTACCCTGAATGATCGTAAGAGTAGGCTGGAATCTAGGGTTCAGCTTCTGCTTCTCGAGAATGTCGTTCCCCAACGTCTCCCGGATCTTCTTGGCGATGGCAGTGCCATCAATCTTGGTAGCGACCATTGCGGGCGTGGAGGTTGCGAAAGACCGAATGCGACAGCTTCTGTCCACGGAACCCAGGGTCCTTGCGGTAGATGGGCGAAAGGAATGCCTAGAAACCAGAGTAGTGGCTCGTTTTCTCGACTGTCTGAACGCAAAGTCTGAGGGGTGTTGGGAAGAAAGTGTGGGAGTTGAAATGTTCACCGCGGCCAAGCGGGCAGTTTGAGTGTAAGCGGAAGCACTGAGAAGGAGGGGCGAGGGATGGCGGCCAAGCTCGGGATTTAGCGCCCTGCAGGGTCGACGGCCTGATGGATATGCCTGGAGGCCGGTATCTACCCCGAGGGACAGCTTCAGCCGGGGTGTTGCGGAAGCCTGTGCAAGTGAGTTTGCTGCGGATAAGGCTCCCGTTGATGCTGGCACTGGTGCTGCTTCAGCTCCAGCATGCAGCCTGGCGACGTTCAGATTGGACGATCGTCCCTGCAGGAGCCGATAAGGACGACTTGGGCACTGCGGCCATCGCCTGCCCTTCAGCCGAAAGAGTGAGGACATCTCGGCTCTGTATCCGAGGCTGCGATACTCAACTCCTACTTAGGCCCCCGATGCCCCCTCGTATCCCTGTGCCGCAAGCTCACTCGAGCCAGACCTCCTCCACAGGGCCTTAGCCAGTCTCTGACTCTTAGATCGTGTGCTGCGATGAGTCGTGCGAGCCTGGCAGTCAGCTCCCTGATCCTGGCTCTCTGCAGACTTTGTCCCAGCACACATGGGAATCGGGATCAGCACGTTGGGCAGGTCGAAAACTCGGACTGTTATCCGAGTCCCGCTGAGACCTGATAAGCGCGCTCCAAATATTAGACGACCCAATGACACAGGCTGCCTCGTCCGTCCGTCGTAACGAGACTCAAATATTGTACAGGCCTCTAAAGAGGCAATTGACTGGTATACAGAGTCGAGTAGTGTACAAAGTGGCGATGTTATTAGGATTGTCAAGGTCTGTGGTTAAGGGCAAGAAACAATGTTGTACAAGAGCCACAGAAAAGGCGTTGACAGGTTGTGGCCTGATTCGGTGAAAATTTCACATCATCGCGACTCGACGACTAGAGCAGACGGGCTCGAAGTTCGAGTTGGCGTTTGGCAATCCTAGTGGCGGACTGAAACGCTGTGAGAAGAGTGTGAGTCAACGATGAGTCGAATCGTCAAACCGGACCTGTCGGTATTCCTGCGATAGGCGATGAATGAGATGATGATGCACCACCATCAACAAAAGGCACAGAACAGACGGGAGCTTGGGAAGCTTGGATGACTCCAGAAGCTCCCTGTGGCGGCGGCGCTAAACCCAGCAGGTAGAGCCTCAAGCTTACAGTGAGTCAACCCGTGGACGACCAAACGTTGGGCCCGAAAGCTTCAGGGCACATGGCCCGTGCCTCAGGCGAAGGAGAAAGCGGTGAATGCTTGCCAGTGGTGGCAGAATTCGTCGCGGGGAGGGAAAAATGTGCCCCACAGTGCACCGAAACCCACAATGTCGTTGAAGGGCAAAAATTCCACGATCCCCGACGACATCGCAAGCCTTTAAAGACCGACGTCCCCTGCCGCACAAACGCCCCCCGTACAGCTGCCCCGAGACCGAGAATCGCATACTCCCGAAATCAGTCAACATGAGGCCCATTCTTTTGGCAGGCCACGAGCGTGCGCTCACCCAGATTAGGTATGTTGCGCGGCGGCATCAGATTTGGAGGAGGGGGGAGGGCTTTTTCCTCATTCCTCTCGGCAAAGAGGGGCTGCATTTACAGCTGCTAACCACGTCGCGCTTCCCGCAAATACAGATACAACAACGACGGTGACCTCATCTTCTCCGTCTCCAAGGATCAGCAGATTTGCGTTTGGTACGCGCACAATGGCGAGCGTCTCGGCACTTACCACGGCCACGTTGGTGCCATCTGGACTGTCGACGTCGACCCCACCTGCACCATGATCGCCTCCGGTTCCGCCGACAACACCATGCGCCTTTGGGATATCAAGTCGGGCAAGAACCTCAAGACCTGGGAGTTCCCCACTGCCGTGAAGCGCGTCGAGTTCAGCGAGGACGGAACCAAGCTGCTTGGTGTCACCGAGAAGCGTATGGGTTACCTCTCCAACATCATCGTCGTCGACATCAACCCCGATCCCGAGGCCGAGCAGAGCGACGAGCGCGTCCTTACCATCGTTTGCGACGAGTCCAAGGCCACCGTCGCTGGCTTCAGCTACCTCACCAAGTACATTATCGCCGGTCACGAGGACGGTTCCGTATCCCAGTACGACGCGAAGGTGGGAATTGCAATATGGATACTGAGAGGGATGTGCCGCTGACTGGCCTACAGACTGGTGACCTGCTCTACAACGAGCCCGTGCATGAGCTTAACACTCCCATCATGGACCTTCAGTGGTCGCAGGACCGCACCTACTTCATTACTGCCTGCAAGGACAAGACCTCCAAGGTATGTGCGAATCTACTGTTCCGAGGCGAAGCCTGTATGCTAACCCATGTCAGCTTATTACCGCCAAGGACCTTGAGGTTCTCAAGACTTACGTCGCCGATACCCCCCTGAACAGCGCAACTATCACTCCCAAGAAGGACTTTGTCATCCTCGGTGGTGGTCAGGCCGCTATGGATGTCACCCGTACCTCGGCGAGACAAGGAAAGTTCGAGGCGAGATTCTACCACAAGATCTTCGAGGATGAGGTTGGCAGAGTCCGCGGTCACTTCGGTCCTCTGGTAAGTCGATGTCGCAACAAAAGGCAAGGTACAGCTACTGACTGTTTCTCAGAACACTGTCGCCGCAGACCCTACCGGCAAGGGCTACGCAAGTGGAGGAGAAGACGGTTACGTCCGTGTCCACCAGTTCGATAAGGGCTACTTCGACTTCATGTACGAGGTCGAGCGGGAACGGAAGAACAGACAGGAGAACTAGACTTGGTTTCACACAAAAAAGGGGCCTTTTTCTCGTCTTCTTCGCGGCTTGCATAGTACGGCGTTTGGGAAATCTTCGGGGGATGGTTAGATTGGTTTTGTAAAACCTAGGGCAGTCCGCGAAACAGAAAGACTGGTGGGATGATATCTCTTCTCCCTGCGGGTGACACACGTGGCCGTCACCGCAGGGAGCCTCCAAGATTTAAGAAACCAAAAACGGGGTAATGATGAGTTCTGACACTAGTTTCAACGCAATAACGGTCATGATCTGGAAGTGGCGATTTACGCAAAGAGTGAAGTCTATGTGTATATGCGTTCCATTGAAATTGTGAGCGCATGTGGCCTCAGGAGACGATATGTTTTCTTTGTTCTCTAGAGAAGCACATCTAGAATACATGCCTGGGAAACCGGCGCACTTATGCTTACACAGAGAAGAAAGAGTGTTTCAGAGCAAAACAGCAAAAGGAGACGGTCTGCAACAGCATAAACAGTTCACACATACGGATTCAGGATCAAAAAATGCAAAATGAAAGGGACGAGACTCGAACTCGCGCGGGTTGCCCCACCAGGAAACAGATGTTAAGCTGACCTTAACCTGGCGCCATAACCAACTCGGCCACCCTTCCGTATGATGATCCTGAGGATCTAATTATTGGAGGGGTGGGCGAATAAGAGATTTAAGAAGCTAGCGCATGATGTGCGTGCGAGTGGGGGGGGTATGCCCGCAGTTGAAGAGGCGGGTGATGGAGGGGTGACAGGGCACCCACGCACCGTTGGCCGGCCGCATCTCAAGATTGACCAGGGTGAACGACTCGTCCGAGACAGTCTTAGACAGCGGCAGAGAAGTGGCCGTTTTAGAGAGCCGCTCCAGATAGTCTCATTATTCCGCAGTGAGGGAATTTTCAAGCCGGCGGTGGAACGTACGCGAAACTTTCATTTCTTCTAGAAGGTCTGTTTTTCTTCATTCGCCGAAATTAGAAGGCTGGCAGAAACTGAAAGCCGTCCAGCAGGTTCTAATGGGTGGGGCACGCGATGACTCCGCACCTCAGTCCCGGAGTTCACATTGAGAACCTTGGAGGCGCAAACAGCTTTTTTGGTTGAGGGATTTCCAGGAGTTTGGACGACAGAGACCCTGCGGCGTCATAGTTGGGATGGGCCGGAAGGTTATGGGAGCGAGTCGTTCGTTGACTGGTTGAAACATGTTTTGGTTGTTTGTTATGCAGCTTGACAATCTAAAATACTGAAACATCGGACATAGTGATTTAGCCGCACTGAAGAATTAAATCAAACATGATATGATATTGACGTGGAATTGTGCTGTCATTATCTCTGTCAAGTCATCATGGCAGCTATATTCCTAACGAAATAGCCCGCCATTGTGGACAGAGGAGGTATGTGATATAATGTAGCTATGGACGTGGACTAGCTAGCCGTCCCTATTGGCATCATCGCAAAAACCGTCCCAAACCTAACACCGCCCATGCACCTTCATAAAACCAACTAACGCCGCTTCGTGACGCACTCTATGCCTGATTCCCTTTCCCCCTAGTAGTGTGCGTCGATGCTTGCTCAATCCGTCATATGTTGCCCGAGAATCGTAGCAGGCAAACGCTGAACATGCCTCGTGACACGTCTATGTCTGTCGCTGAAGAAGAGAAAAATGAGGTCTATCAGACGTGTCCGCGCCCGATCATGTGTGACGGGAGCGCTTCGGTCCGCCGCCAAACATATTCTTGTCCAAGCTGCTCAGGTCGAAGATTTCGGCAAAGTTGATTTTACGCTTCGAACCAGCGCCGCGGCCGAGGTTGTTTCCCTGCCTTGATGCAGAGCGAGGGATATTTGCAGGGTGGCGTGGCCTTGACGTGCGGGAAGCGGGGTTTGCGTTTGCGCCGTCGTGTGTTCGAGAAGAATCAGACAGGTCGAGGTTTGCAAGGTTGAGGTACGCGTCTTGCTGCGGAGGCTGAGGAGGCCAGGCATGTGCGGATTGGAAGGTGAAGGTGTCCTGCGACGGCACCGTGATCGGCATGATCTCCGGCTCTTCCTGGGCGGGTTGAGGGGCAGCGGGAGATGTTGAGTCGGTCCTCATTTGTGTCTCCTCCTGCAGTTGCGTCTCGCTGTTCGAGTGATTGAGATTAGGGGAAGATGTGGTCTCCGGCTTGTCCGCTTCATCGTCGCTTTCGGCATTTTGGGAGTTCTCCCTGCCTTCCAACCGCTCGGTTGCCCAACTTCGGATCCTCCGACCGTCGCCATTGCCCAAGCCGATTCGTTCTTTGTCGAGAAATGCCAGCAAATCGTCGAGGCAGTCCTGGTACCCGTCCATACGGGCCTTCGATTGGGCAGCAGCGGAGGCCTTGTAGAGTTTCGTCACCGATAGAGCGGCGTTTTTGAAGGCGTCGAGGAGTTGCTCGGGAGAGTCATTTTGCGCAGCCTGCTTCCCTGCTGAGGCGCCAGGCAGGGAGGTGTTGAGGCTTCGCATCGAGTCCATGTTTTCTTTGGCTACGTGTAAACTGACTGAGGGACGTCAGCAAGAAGGAAAAGGATAAGAGGAGGGAGTCCCGCACCAAGCGGTGAAGTATGTCGTTGATGTTGTCAGGGTAAACAAATCTTGATGCCGCGGGTGGGGTCTAAACGGGTCCCCAGTGTCTGGCGCTGGCGACGATAAGGGTGCGGTTACTGCCTCGAGTGCGACGGAGCAGAAGAGGTTATAGGCCGCTTCTTTAACTACGGAAAATGAAGGTAGTTTGTTCCTATAACGAAAGCGTGTTGATTCCGAATAGCAAAAAAGGCCACGATGATCGATACAGGTGTTTGGAGATGGATGAAGTTCAGGTCAGCTCTACCTCAGCAATTACGCCGCAGAGAGCACATGACACTGGAAGCGGCACTCGCCGACAGCCAGCAGCACCTGCGGCGGTACCTGGCCGCCCAATTGCCTCAGTGGCTTTGACGTTATCCGTCGGTGGTCATTGCGCACTAGCTTTGCCAGATGACCCAATCACTGACCCAAAGTGGACCTTCACTGCTGCATTTGCTGACTGTTACGTTGGGGCGGTTAGGTTAGGTCGGGTTGCAGCTCCCATTCCCGCGGGTCGGAGGTAGGTTTTCCCGGTCTAGCTGCACGGTGACCTTGTGGGCACATGCAGTGCTGCACATGGCGGACTGATTGACACGGCGCAAACGCGCTAATCCTGATTAGATTTGTCTCTACCGGCGGAGGGATCCCACCTTTCTCTACGACTTCTGAAAAACATCTACAGACATTCAACTTCTGCACCGCAGCGCAGGCACTCGACCTCCAGCTTGGACGCACCTTCCTACATTCCAGCTCGGCGACAGCTTCAAGATCTATACACAATCACTCTTCTTGGTGCGCGTCGTGGTATCTTGCGAAACGCGTGTAAGTCGCGTAAAGTGATTTACGGCCATCAAGATGGCGCCCTCTCGCTCAAGAGCTGCCGTGGTCGACACCGACGCGTCAATGTCCGACGCCCCAGAAGTCAACCATGCCGAAGAGATGGTACGTTGCAATCTTTCATGTCCTCTCGTTGTTGCGGTGTTAGGCCCCGCGACAGCCCCCTACAAACGAAGCCTTGCAGCTGACGTGCATATAGGAGGTTGACGAGACTCCCGACTACACCGACTCAGACACCAATCCGAATACCACAGCTAGTAGCGTTGCTGGCGAGCCCGTTGGAGATGGTCGCAAAAGACGTTCCGAAGCCAATCAGCTGCGTCGCAGCATCTTCGGCAAAAAGCACGACAGACTGGGCGAATCCAAGGTACTTCCAAGCCCAAATAATTCTTTCTTTGATGGGCGACCTTCGGTTGGCGGACGCTAATTGATACTTTTGAACAGGAAGAGGACAGTATTCGACGATTTCGATACCTGCTTGGCCTGACAGACCTTTTCCGCCACTTCATCGAAACAAACCCCAACCCTAAAATCCGCGAAATCATGACCGAGATTGATCGACAGAATGCGGAAGCTTCAAAAAGCAAGAAGGGCGGGGCGCGTCAAGGAGGCGCGAACAACGAGAGACGCCGTCGGACCGAAGCCGAGGAAGATGCCGAGCTTCTTCGCGATGAGAAGCACGGAGGCTCTGCCGAGACCGTCTTCCGCGAGTCACCCGCCTTCATTCAGGGAACCATGAGAGACTACCAGGTCGCTGGTCTCAACTGGCTAATCTCTCTCCACGAGAACGGTATCTCGGGCATTCTTGCTGACGAGATGGGTCTTGGCAAGACATTGCAGACGATTTCCTTCTTGGGCTACCTGCGGCACATCATGGACATCACTGGACCTCACATCGTCATTGTTCCGAAGTCGACATTGGACAACTGGAAGAGAGAATTTGAGAAGTGGACGCCCGAAGTTAACGTCCTTGTGCTTCAGGGTGCCAAGGAGGAGCGCCACAACCTCATCAATGATCGATTGGTCTCAGAGGACTTTGATGTCTGCATCACGAGTTACGAGATGGTTCTGCGCGAGAAGGCACACCTCAGGAAATTCGCTTGGGAATATATCATCATCGACGAGGCGCACCGTATCAAGAACGAGGAATCATCGTTGGCCCAGGTCATCCGTCTGTTCAACTCCCGAAACAGACTACTCATCACCGGTACACCCCTCCAGAATAACCTGCATGAGCTGTGGGCTCTGCTCAACTTCTTGCTTCCCGACGTCTTTGGTGACTCTGAAGCTTTCGATCAATGGTTCTCTGGCCAGGATCGTGACCAGGACACGGTCGTTCAGCAGCTTCACCGCGTGTTGAGACCGTTCTTGCTTCGAAGAGTCAAGAGTGATGTGGAGAAGAGTCTTCTGCCCAAGAAGGAGGTCAACGTTTACCTGGGTATGTCTGAGATGCAGATCAAGTGGTATCAAAAGATCCTGGAGAAGGACATTGACGCTGTCAACGGTGCCAACGGAAAGCGCGAGTCCAAGACAAGACTTCTGAACATTGTGATGCAGCTGCGAAAGTGCTGCAACCACCCTTACCTGTTCGAAGGAGCTGAGCCCGGTCCGCCGTATACCACTGATGAGCATCTCGTTTACAATGCCGGCAAGATGGTTGTTCTTGACAAGCTTTTGAACAGAATGCAGAAGCAAGGTAGCAGAGTTCTCATCTTTTCTCAGATGAGTCGTCTCTTGGACATCCTTGAGGATTACTGCGTCTTCAGGCAGTACAAGTACTGCCGTATTGATGGTGGCACGGCACACGAGGACCGTATTGCTGCCATCGACGAGTACAACAAGCCGGGGTCTGAGAAGTTTATCTTCCTGCTCACCACAAGAGCCGGAGGTCTGGGCATCAATCTTACCACTGCTGATATCGTTGTCCTCTACGACAGCGATTGGAACCCTCAAGCTGACCTGCAGGCCATGGATCGTGCTCATCGTATCGGCCAAACCAAGCAAGTTGTTGTTTATCGATTCGTTACGGACAACGCGATCGAAGAGAAGGTCTTGGAGAGAGCAGCTCAAAAGCTCCGTCTGGACCAGCTTGTTATCCAGCAAGGTCGGGCTCAGACGGCTGCGAAGGCGGCTGCAAACAAGGACGAACTGCTGTCCATGATCCAACACGGTGCCGAGAAGGTGTTCCAGAGTAAGGGCGCCACCGGTTCCCTAGCCTCCAAGGGCGCCGATGTCGAAGAGGACGATATTGATGAGATTCTCGCCTCTGGTGAGACGAGAACCAAGGAGCTGAATGCCAAGTACGAGAAGCTCGGCATTGACGATCTGCAGAATTTCACTTCCGAATCTGCTTACACTTGGAATGGCGAGGACTTCAAGACCAACAAGAAGGACATCGGTATGAACTGGATCAACCCGGCCAAGCGTGAGAGAAAGGAGCAGTCCTACTCCATGGACAAGTATTTCCGGCAGACAATGTATCCTCCCAAGGAGAAGGACAACAAGCCCAAGGCGCCCAGGGCGCCGAAGCAAGTTCCCGTCCACGACTACCAGTTCTACCCAGTTCGTCTCCGAGAGCTCCAGGACCGTGAGACGGCGTATTATCGCAAGGAGATTGGCTACAAGGTCCCTCTCCCCGATGGCGAGGATGACAAGCTGGAGGAAAGAGAGCAAGAGCGTGCTTTGGACCAACAGGAAATCGATGATGCTACGCCGCTTAACGAAGAGGAGCTGGAGGAGAAGCAACGACTGTCGCAACAAGGCTTCGGCGAGTGGAACCGTCGTGACTTCCAGCAGTTCATTAATGCCTCTGGTCGCTACGGTCGCAACGATTACGAGAGCATTGCTGAGGACATTAACGACAAGACGGCCGCTGAGGTCAAGCAGTATGCCAAGGTCTTCTGGCAGCGTTACACGGAAATCGCCGACTACAACAAGTACATCAAGGTTATCGAAGACGGCGAGGAGCGCATGCGCAAGATCGAGCACCAACGGAAGCTGCTTCGCAAGAAGATGTCCCAGTACCGCGTCCCCTTGCAGCAACTGAAGATCAATTACTCTGTCTCAACTACCAACAAAAAGGTATACACGGAGGAGGAGGACAGGTTCTTGTTGGTGCTGCTCGATAAGTTCGGCATTGACTCCCCTGGCTTGTACGAGAAGATGCGTGACGAGATCTCTGTGAGCCCTCTGTTCCGCTTCGACTGGTTCTTCCTCAGCAGGACGCCTGTAGAGCTCAGCCGTCGTTGCACCACGCTTTTGACTACAATCGTCAAGGAGTTCGAGGATGTCCATCCGACTAAGGGCGCGAACGGTGTCAACGGCAAGGTCAAGAGAGAGGCCGCCGATGACGAGGAGAACGATGAGGACAGCATTCTCGGCATGGCTCCCGCTAAGAAGAAGGCCAAGAACGGCGTCAAGGTAAGAGTCAGAAGAAAAGCTAGTACGTGAATATGGCTAACAAGAAGTTCAGAATAAGGCTTTGGACAACGTCAAGTCAGAAGCGGGCAGCAAGAACACATCTGCAGCACCCTCAAGAGCGTCGAGCGTCGCCTCTACGAAATCCACAACCAATGCGAAGAGCAAAACCAAGGGCAAGAAGAAATAGACGGTTGGGTCAGCTACATGATTTCACACGGTTCTTTTGGTGCGGGTAAAGCTTCACCTGGCGGTGGCTGTGATAGAAAAGGCGTTTGGTCTGGTACGACCCTGAGTTGTTATTTCTAGGAGATCCTCACATGGCTTTCGCGATAGATGGCCTCGACTTTTGCCGGTGTGTACTTTGTAGTAAATCATATTTTACGAGAATGAAATGGCTCTTCGGAGTTACAGAATCTTTTGCGGCCCCTTAGTACGTCCGTATTGCCAAGTTCCCTGTTACGTGAATTTTCTGGCTCGCTTCTCGTGTGCGGTCTAAGAAAAATATTTGTACACTCTCTCGCTCTCTATAGTGGCAGCCAGCTCTGGCTTCGGCTACTGGGTTACATATAAGGTTATCACAAAGATCGGGTCTAAGTAAGGACGTCCGTCTCCTGGATGAGAGGAAGCTATTCGATCCTCGTTAAGCTGACTCATATATGAGGCTATCACTGAGGGCGCAGATGAAGGTCGTGGACTGGGAAGGGACAGAGTCAACTAGATAACTAGGAGAGCACTGAAGGGACCGGTAAAGCGGCCCTCGTTCAGGCCTTGGAGATAAAAGCTCCTCCTGACAATCCCCAATGCAAGCTTCGCCTTATTTTGAAGAAATCATACCCGGCGGACCGTCCGAGCTACTTCTTTACTTGCAAGCGTGCTTCAAGTGCTGCCACCTCTGCGTCCCTGAACGCATCAAAGCTTATCGGGATTTACCTCGTCGTCTACCTGTTCTTTTTTTTATTGTTCCCAGCTTTTGACTGTGCCACTGTCACGTTCTCGATGCGTGTCACATGATCTCATGACTATTAGGCCATTCAAGGCAAGAAGCGGAGGCTGCTTTGAAGTCATGTTATGTGGTTAATCACAACTAGCCATTCTCTTCCGTGTGGTTTCCAATTCACTATGGTGGTCTGTAACGAACTTAATACTCTGTTTGACTTACTTGCTTAAAGCGTTTACAGAGGGAGGAGACCACTCAAAATCTACAGTTTAATTACACAAGAACATCTGTAAGGAAGGGCCTTAATTTCTTCACTTCATTCAAAAAGAAATAGAGCGTGGATGAAGAATCATCGCCACGAGATTCAAAAATAATCTCTCCTCATGTGGGACTCGAACCCACAACCTTCCGATTTCAATGGCCTTATGCAAGCTGTAAAAGTCGGACGCGCTAAACCGATTGCGCCAATGAGGACGCTGTGTACACGGAATACCCGTTCACCGATGATTCTCCGTCGCCAAAAGTTGACTCTTATAGTTCAAATAGTGGATACAAGTAAGCTTGCACGACTGACCTAAAGCGACTTTCTGTAGGCGATCCCAGGCTGAGCGATCGACGCATGCGCTGCGACGCATTCATTTGGCGTCGATCAGTTGCTGGTAGAGTTCCCAGGTCTTGAACTTTTTTTTTTAGGTAGCTATGGCTTCTGCAACTGGGATACTTCGATGGTGAAGGGGGATGGAACCGCAGCTGCCTCTGTTGGATCCAAACGAACGTCATTCTGCCCCGCACTAGCACCAAATCGAACGCAAGAAGCACTGCCCCTCCATACGGACCAGGATCGCCAGGTCCCAGGTCCAGGTTCCCACATTGTCGACCGCCATTGCGTTGCCTGGGAAAGCTGACACTTGACCCATTTCACCTCTCCAAACATTTTGGAATCGTTCGTTGTTCTCTCATTGTGTCTTGATCCCAGTAGCAAACTTTCACACAGGCTTTCTGGACACTTGGCTCCATCATGTCTGTCAACATCGAAAAGATCCTAGCTGCCTCGCCCGCCACGCAGCGAGGCCAGCCAACACAGCTGTCGACCGACAAGAAGGGCGAGCGTATCGCGTACGCGGTCAGTTGATTCAGGCTGTCTAGATTCGATGATTCGCGACTAACAACAATGCACATACAGGCCGGCAAATCCATTTTCCTCAGATCAATCGACAACCCTTCCGTAAGCAAGCAATACACCGGCCACACGGCCCAAACCAGCGTCGCTCGCTTCTCTCCAAGCGGCTTTTACGTGGCCAGTGGTGACGTGTCGGGTTCTGTACGAGTCTGGGACGCGGTCGAGGCCGAAAATACAAAGGGTACACTATGATCTCCAGCTTGCCCAGCTTAACCCGCTGACACATGGCCAGGCGAGTACCACATCATCTCGGGCCGCATCAACGACATCGGATGGGATGGCGACTCCCAGCGCATCATCGCAGTCGGAGACGGCAAAGAGCGATTCGGACACTGCATTACGGCAGACAGTGGCAACTCGGTGGGCGAAATCAGCGGTCACTCAAAAGTTGTCAACTCCGTCGCCGTAAGGCAACAACGTCCGCTGCGCGCAGCAACCGTCTCGGACGACAGTTCCATCTGCTTCTTGCACGGAGCCCCTTTCAAGTTCAACTCTAAGCACGCCTCTATTCACCGTGGCTTCGTCTTCGGAACCGCCTTCTCTCCTGACGGCAGCCTACTTGTGACGGTCGGCGCAGACAAGCGTATTCAGCTGTATGATGGCAAGACGGGCGAACCAACAAAGCAGATCGGCGAGGGAGAGCACACTGGCAGCATTTTTGCCGTCTCTTGGTCCGAGGACGGCACCAAGTTCGTCACTGCCAGCGCGGATCAGACGGTCAGAGTTTGGGATGTCGAGTCTGGCAAAGCGACGCAGACGTGGAAGTTCGGCGATGGCGTTAGCATTGGTGATCAGCAAGTCGGTGTCGTATGGCCACACGGACGAAGCGATGGCTTGATCATCAGCTTGAACCTCGATGGCGACCTGATTTACCTTAACGAGGGAAGCGACAAGCCTAGCAGAATCGTGCAGGGACACAACAAGAACATCACAGCCCTTGGGACTTCATCTGATGGACAGGGCAAGACGCTGTGGACCGGAAGCTTCGACGGCCGTGTCTGTCAATGGGATGTTGAATCCGGTGTTGGAAGTGTTGTTGACGGCCAGGCGCACTCGAACCAGGTCACTCAGTTTAGCGCTGAAGCTGGACAGACCTTCAGTGTTGGCTGGGATGACACTCTCCGGACTGTCGATGAGTCTGCCAACACCTTCGTTGGCGATTCCGTCAAGCTCTCTGCGCAACCTAAGGGTGTTGTGGCTACAAAAGGAAAGTTGTACGTGGCGACTACCGAGGGAGTGGACGTCTACGAGAAGAACCAGCTGGTGGCGGAGAACCGTCTCGGATATGCTCCTCTCGCCGTTGGCGCATATGGCTCAACTGTAGCGGTTGGTTCCGGCAACTCGGTTAAGATTTACACCGCGGACGGCTCTGGGAAGCTCTCCGAGGTCAAGTCGCTCGACAAGTCTACCTCTCAGATCTCCTGTCTTTCCTTCTCCAAGGATGGCCAATATCTTGCTGTCGGAAACCAGATCGGCAAGATTGTGGCGTATAAGTTAGGTGACTGGGAGGTCGCCACTGACAGATGGTCAGCGCATACCGCGAGGGTCACTTGCATCAGCTGGAATGATGCCGCAACCCACGCGGTATCTGGAGCTTTGGACACGAACGTGTATGTGTGGAGCTTGGCGAAGCCTGGTAGCCGTGTCAAGGCTCTTAACGCACACAAAGACGGCGTCAACGGCGTTGCCTGGGTTGGAGATGGTTCCAAGGTGGCAAGTGTGGGAGTTGATGCTGCGATTAAGGTCTGGGCTGTGTCTGGACTTCAGTAATTTCCTGTTTCTCTGTAGACTATTGTCTTGTAGAGTCATGATGACTGAATGAAAAGCGAAATGACGTTACACCAACCAACGCCTGTTAAAATGGGGTATCTCCGTGTCTAAAAGCCAGTTTCTTTTCCGATCATACCGTCCATGCCAACCGTCTTCCCCCTTTTTCTCGGCTCGTGATTCATCAATTTATGCCGAAGTAATATCGGGAAGGTGTCCACTGCATGGGAATCTAGCCCATCGTCATCTGAGCCACCTCCTCACGCTGGACCTCCCCCGAGCCCCCATTGCCCGCACCTGTCCTGTTTGTAGGCTGAGGTGTCTCTACAGCGTAGCGTCCCAGCATAGCACTGGTGACCTGCCACAAGTCGACGTTGAGAGGCTCGGCATCCTCCTTCACGGAGTGAGGCTTGAACTGCACCTTGGTCTTATCAAGCTGCAGAACAAGCTGTTCCAGTGCATATGAGATGTCGCCGAGATGGCCCCAGATCCCGTAACCCTGGCGCTGGATCTCCTCGGCCAGCTCGACTTGGTGGTTATCCTTGAGGGTCGGGTTCGGGACGACGACGAGGGGCACGTTGACGCGCATGCCGTCGAGGATGGTTCCGGTGCCTTCGTTTATCGTCTGTCAGCTTGGTATTCCATCATTGGGCCCAATTCAACTCGGGATTCTCATGACATTACCTGCATGGCAGATTACAACCCCTCTCTCACGGCCAGTAGCGGCTTGGCACTTTGTCATTTCGACGGTGAGATCGTCGACGAAGTCGAAGGCAGTGATCTCGAGCGTTGGCCAGCGAGGAACTAGCGTGGGGAGAATATTTCGAGAAAAATGCTCATAGTCTTTGCCGCATTGGAGGGTCAGGTGGGTGTAGCGGTCGCCAACGAGGAAGTCGAGGAAGGTAGGCGAGACGACTTCAGTGAGCAGTTGGGTAAAGCGGGCGGTTGCGCCGACAGTGACAAGGCAATGCCGCTCAAGCTTAGGGTTCTCAGCAGACATTATGAGGTGCGGTAGAGAGAGAGTCTGTTGGAAGAGGAGGAGGTTTGTGATGTTTCGGCTGCGAGCACGATTCGCGATGTTTGGTGAATGAGTTGAGCTTGTGAGAGCTTCCCAGTGACGTTGAATTAGGTAGGTAGTGCACTGTGGCACAGCCGATCAGGGTCCACTAGCGGGGTTGTTTGAGCACGCGGGGCGTTACAGGGCGGTGCCTTGAAGTACGTAGCCCCAACGGCACCACCAGTGGACGGCTTCTTTTCCACCTCAGTCCTCTAGCTCCCACCTTCTCATTCTCCAGAGACAATGCAGGTGAGCTCATCTAATTAGAAACGTCACTTCTGACCACTGTGAATGGGCATTCATTATTCCTTAATGCCTACCTCCTTTTAATATCATTTCTTGTCCTTTGAGTTTCTGTCTACTCAGACATATCTTGTTTAGTCGCTACCTGCACATATCGGCTGCCGGTCCGATCTCTCCAAAAAGGCTCGACTCCCATCTCCCGGAACCTCTTTTTCTCATAAACCTTGGTCACCATCCAACTACTCACAAACATAACCACTACGATGGCAACGATGCCGAAGCAAGCAATGAGAGGAGCCAGTATAGAGAAGACGGTGAAGCCATAGCTCACGCTCTGGAACAACTTGTCGCCCACGAGCTGATCAGTGGCCAGCCCAACTTGCATCGCTGTGAGGACAATGACGACATAACCAAGAACCGCAGCCAGCGCCGCAAAGTTGTCCCGGAGCAGGTCCTCATAAACCGCATGAGAAGCAACCTTGGAGTACCCCCGGAGCAAATACCCCAGGCGGACCCGATAGATCTTGTTCAAGCGGCTCAGTCGGAGCTCGCCGTACCAGTAGCGCGGGTTTACGGACGCATAACAGTGGTTCTGCACGATTTGCGCCGATAATGCCCTCCACCGGTCCCAGCTGACTTGCGGCGGCATGAGGCCCTTTTCAACGGCTATGCGGAAGTCGCTCTCGTACGCGACGAGGGCCGTGTAGGAGAACAAGAATCCGAGCGCGCAGGCGACCAGCTCCCTTCGCGGATCGGGCTGATGTCTCTTTCCGTCACTACTGCTGGTGCCATTGTCGGTGGTGGTGGTGGTGACAAGCAGGTGTGCGGCCCAGAAGTCTGGGTCCAGCAGCCACCGGGGTATCGGCTTGACGAAGATGCGGTTCTTGGCCCATACTAGGTGAAGCTCGGGGTTCTCTGTGACGTGAATCTCCCGCGAGGTGAGCAACTGATAGTGGAGGGGCCTCGGGGGCATCGGACGCCCGCAAATCCAGAGGAGGTCCTGGACATCGTTCAGACGTCGGACGAAGAGCTCTCGGCCCAGGAACTCTGGGTCGTCGGCTCGCGGCACGGTTATGTGGTCGTGTTGTGCTCGGCTGGTTGCCGGGAGGAGGTCGCCAAAGGCTCCGGGCGGCGAGGCCCTTGCGGGAGTGGTTGCATGATTGAAGCCGTCATCGAGGACGCGGACGGTGAAAGGCACAGACGCCGGCCGATCCATGGTGCGACTCGAGAGATGCGGGTTGAGTTTGTAAGCCGGAGTTTTTCAAGCATGAAGTGTGATCCAAGCTGTCGGTCCTGGCACCTGAGTCGGCTGTCTTGCCAAAGGATATCACGGTCCTCGCTGCGCAGGGTGTTGGCCGGACCAGCGATCTTGACAGAAGTTCTTTTCTGGATCACCGAAGGTCTCGTCGAATTGCTTCCGCCCACAAACTCAAGCGAGTTATGTTAGTAAGGCCAAAAGCACCCATTGGACCGCATGGTCTTTGTTGATCTCAGCAGGCTGCAAAGGAGCAATAGGCATCTAAATTTCTTGGGGTCTAAAACGGAGGCTCCCATGTCACTTAAGATGAAGAACCGCAGCATGCAGGCAAGGGGGTTCTCTGCGCAGCCGGACATCGACAGACTCGCCTGGATCCCGAAAAGAGACGAACTCAGCAACGCTAAATTCTGACCAGTGGAACGGCGCTACAAAATTAGAGGCAGCTGCAATCGAGCTGAATAGACTATTGGCGCAGTCGGACAGGCGTTGGCATCGTAGGATGACAATGCATGGGTGGCTGACGCCGCTAAGGTCGTTTCGGGCCGCCTGGCTGCAGGGGGACCCAACTGGTCTACCGGGGGCATCTAGACCCCGGACTGACAGCCTTACAGGCACCGCCTGCCTGCCTCTGCTACGCCGCTGCCTGGGAAGTCTCATGATCTCTATTATGATCTTGTTCAAACCTTTCTTTCTCCCGTCCTCGGGAGCACTTTCTTCGTTGTTGTTTAGCTAAACTTGTCTCAACAACGGCGGCATCACCATGTCTCTGCGGCGAGCAGGAACGAGAAGGGCGCCTCACGGGGGTCCGGGTGGTCCGAAGCCCAGGACGACGTATCAGACGGTTCAGCAGGGCTTCAAGGAGCTGTATAATCCTCAGAAAGAGAATGGTTCTGCATCAGCAATCGACGTTGAGTATGCCGCATCTTATCGGCTGAGTGAGTTTGAGGTTTTGATTCTAACTGGTGAACAGCATTGTCTTCGTGCCAGGCTTGGGCGCTCATCCGGAGGACAGTTGGAAGTCGGAGACAGGTTTCAACTGGGCGACTGGTGTCTACGATGGCACTTCAAAACCGTCTTCGGATTCGAGCAACAAGAAGGATGGTCTCGCCAGGGACTTTCCAAAAGCTCGCATCTTGCTGTATCAGTATGAATCAGCATGGGTTGGGGATCTCAAGGTCAAATCTTTCATGAGGGACATTGCGAAATCCATGTTGGAAGGCCTTCAAGCCAACCGAGAGGTAACCTCACTCGGATTATTCGGTGGGAATTTTGCTCATCAGAAGACAGGGAATCAGAGACCGCCCTATAGTGTTCATCGGACATAGCATGGGAGGTTTGGTCATTGCCAAGGTATGTAAACCGCGTCTAGCACGAGATCCGTAAGTTTGACAGACTACGCAGGCAATTACTCTCGCTGCAGACACATATAGGGACGTGTTCCCCAGGATGTTCGAGTGCATCGCAGGATGTGCTTTCTTCGGAACGCCCTTTGGCGGTGCTCAAGTTGCTGCCGTAGCCGCCTTGCTCGGTGATTTTGGCGAGCACTTGGGATACACCAAGTCTTCGGCTCTAGTCAAGATGATGACGCCTGGAGACGAGGGCTTGAATGAGCTAAAGAATGACTTCTTGCGTTTAGTTCGTAAGATCAGTCCTGAGATTCAGCTTTTCTGCTTTTACGAAAACCACCCAACCGATTTCACCCAGGAGAAGTACGGCGCTGCCATGTCGAAGATTGCCAAAGCGGTCGTACCCAAGAAGGTGCAAGACTTCGTCTCAAGAGAGTCTGCAACACTTCCAGGCATTGAAGACATGGCTTTGGCGGCGAATCACCGAGATCTCGTCAAGTTCAGCGACTTCAAGGACTCTCGATACCAGCTTGTTAGAGAACCCCTCAAACGACTCATCCACGGCGCCAGTCTTGTCGTGAAGAATCGCCTCAACTCGACACGTGGAATTGATCAAGAGACGGTCAATGGTGTCATGGAGCTCCTAAACGGTGGACAGGTTGTGAAGAAGAGGAGGATCCTTGCGCCCCAGTTCCCACCATCGACTTGGATCCCAAGGGAGACAGAGTATTTAGACTGGCTTAAAGACTCTGGCGAGGTCGAACCCGCTGCGTCGAGGTCTCGTGGGCAGGCCTTGTTCATCCGAGGACCCGAAGGAAGGGGCAAGACACGAGCGACCATGGCGACACTTCGCGACATCGACAACATGATTCAAGCCGACGAGAAGCAGAGCCATGGACGAGGATCGGTACTCCTTGCATATTTCTTCTGCGATCCTTCGTCGGATTTTTCGACTGCGGAGGACTTGCTGAAGTCGCTGATTCGCCAACTAATCAATCAACAACCTTCTTTATCCGTGTATGCGAAGCATTTCGTGAAGAAGAAGGGCGAAGACTCCTCAAAGACCCAGGCGAACTTGACGGTCGAAAATCTTTGGCAAACCCTCCAGGACATGCTAATGGACGAGTTCATTGGACGAAGGGTGTACTTTGTCATGAACAACCTGCATGTGCTACCAGAAGATGCCGAGTCGACCATCAAGCTAATGAGATTTCTACACGCGGAGATGGAAGAGCTCAAGCACGAGGACGAGAAGAGGGTCTCAACCAGGTGGCTCCTCACAAGCAGGGAAGTTCAGAATGTCGAGGATGCATTGAAGGTTGAGGGCATCCGGCTCATCGATCTTGAAGAAGACAAATACTCGGACCAGGTACAACTCGAGCTACGCAAAACCGCTCAGGAGAAAGTCCAGGAGCTCGGCAGTGCAAAGAATTACAACAAGGCACTCACCTACTTTGCCAGCAGTCTCATCGGCAAGCGTGCGTCCAACAGTCAGTGGATCAAGCTTTCCTGCATGCAACTTGCGGAACTTTCCGAGGCTGAGAGCGACCTGAGGATTCGACACATACTAGAGGGAATGCCCCAGGAGCTGAAGGCTTTGCTCGATGCTGCTTGGTTGCAGATTTTCCGTGCGAATGAGAAGGATGCAGACAAGATCAAGGAATTGTTGCGAACACTCGTCCTCACTTTCGAGGAACCGACAGAAGATGAGCTTGCCGTGCTGGCTGGATTTCCTGCGACTGAAGAAGGAAAAGCTGAGTTGCAAAGTTTGGTCAAGAAGTGCAGGCCATTACTGGTAGTGACACGCAGCGGAAGGTCAGAAAACACCATTGTTTTCATGGACACTGTCGTCAGGGAGCACCTCCTGGAGAAGGAGACCTCGAAGAAGACTCTGGGCATGTCTGGAGACGAAAGCAAGTGGCAACACGGCATCATTGCCCTGCGTTGCTTGGCCCATATCAAGCAAGCCTTCGATTTCCCGCCTGTCGAGAAGCCTGCCGAAGAAACCGATACAGAGGAGCATGGAGGCTCACAAGCGGCAAGCAGCGAAAATGGCGAAGAGTCCGATGCCGATGAGGACGACGGTAACGGAAGTGAGTCAGAGGAAGAAGAGTCAGACGACGAAAGCGATTGGGATGAGGATTCCATGCACAATTACCACCAAATGGAAGACGATGAGGTCGAGGAGGCGCAAAGTCTTGATGGCAAGTATTTAGCTTACCCCGTCAAGCACTGGCTACACCATGCAAGCAAGTCTACCATCGAGATCGCTGAGGATCTCAGCGAAGACGATTTCTGGGAGAAGGAGTCGCTCATTCGATACCGTTGGTTGCTCGTGTACATGCACACGACCAAGGCTCTGGTAAGCTTCCAGGCCAAGCATCTTACCGCACTCCACATCGCCGCTGCTGTTGGCTACAGGCAGCTCGTCTCGGCCCTGATTCAGAATGGACACGAAGATGAGATCAACAAGCGGGATGAACTCACAAACACCCCCGTAAGTGCTTCTTGCTACTTATAAGCTTGAGTTGTCCACTAATGTGTTGTTAGCTTCATTTTGCGGCTTACATTGGACGGCCCAACACGGTTGATGAGCTCCTTAAACGTGGCGCCAACATTGATGATGGTATCGACATTGGGCAGGAGACGCCGTTGCATATGGCTGCCAATGCCGGTCACGTCAAGATCATGAATAAATTGATCCAAAAAGGAGCAAACGCGAATGCTATCGCAGAAGACGTCGGTCCGGTGATGAACGCTGCCATCTCCTCAGGAAACCCCGACGCCGTCAGGCTTCTCGTCGAAAAGAACGTCTCCTTGGCCGTTGAGGACGACGACGTTGATTCTCCCCTGGCCTTGGCTGGTCTGCATGCTGATCTGTCCATGTTCGAGTATCTCACTCAAACTTACGCTGATAAGCTACCTCCCAAGGAGTTTGACAAGGCGTTTGTCAAGGCTGCCGTGTCAGGCAGAGTCGATGTTTTCAACAAGCTTTTCACATATGATCATTCTCAGGAGTGCTTCCAAGAGGCTTTGGAGGCAGCGGCTGAGGAGGAGAACTGGGAGATTGTCATGATTCTGCTTGAGAAGCGACAGGGTCTTGACTGCAACGAACTCTTCCGCCAAGCTGCGACTACAGCTGAGCATCAGGACAAGGTACTGGAGGCTGCATGGAAGTACACTAACGGGGACATTTCCAAAGAATCACTCAATGATAGCTTGTACGAGGCCACAGACCTTGAGAAGGAATCGACGGTCAGGCTTCTGTTGGAAACATTCAATGTCGACCCGAACGCTACCGGCGATGAGTAAGTAGCCTTCATCAAGGGATAGTAGACACTGCTAACATCGACCAGGTATGGTACAGCTCTGACTGCCGCTGCTTACGACGGCACCCTCGATATTGTCAACCTGCTCCTCGACAAGGGAGCCGACATCAATTCCCCTGACGGATGGGCCTTGCAAGCCGCCGCGGCAGAAGGGCACTACGACGTAGTCAAGGAGCTTCTCGATCGTGGAGCTGATGTCAACTCACTCACCGAGAATGAAAACTTCCCTCAAGGAACGGCGCTTCAGGCCGCCGCTGAGTCCGGCAAGGTGGAAATCGTAACGCTGTTGATAGAACACGGCGTCAACCCCGACCTTGGAGCGGGAGAAGACACCTTCCCCATCATGGCGGCTGCCATGAGAGGCGAGCAGACAATCTTGGAGCTGCTCGTCAACGCCAAGGCAGAGGTCAACGTCTTTGGTGGGCAGGATCACTCGACGGTGCTGATCGAAGCCGTGATCAACCTGCCGGTGGATGCCCTGCAGGTTCTGCTCGACGCTGGTGCTGATATCAATCTCGAGGATCGTGATGGCGATACCCCGTTGATCCTTGCAGCCCGCGAGGGCGACGCGGACTGCGTCAAGTTTCTCCTGGACCACGGAGCCGACATTTTCCACACGAACCACGACAATGAGAATGCTCTTCAGTCGGCTATTGAGTATGGCGGTGACGACGACTGCACCAAAGTCCTCATAGATCGTATCTCGGAGATTATGTCGGCCCTGAACAAGGCCATGCACAACGGCAACTCGGCCGTCACAAAGGTCGTCCGCAGCGTTGGAACCGGTCGTCAAGGTCTCACCTATGATGACTGGGAGGATCCCGATGACAGGATGTCAGAGGCATCTGACGACGACGACAGGAAGAGAAGCAGTTACGAGACCCCGCGAACAGAGTCTTTCCCGAACAGCGCTCGCAAGGTCGACGACTCGCCTCATGCACCGTCCCCTCTCAAGCCTCGCAGCGAGAAGCTGTCACAGGAACTGGAGGAAGCCATAGCCGCCCAGGTCTCGATGCTTCAGCAATTCGGAACATCTCCTCCCAAGCCGGAGAAGATCGAAATGTCCCCGGTTGAGATGCCCCCGACTACCATCGCGGGGCTGCCGTCTCAGAGGAGGTACTCCCAGCAGGTACAGCTGGAGGAGATGCTCTCAAAGTACGAGTTTGAACCGCAGCCAGACCCGGTGGATAGGTTCAACAGACCGCCTTACATCAAGGCACCACCGATGTCATGGACACAGTCAAGCGAAGCTCTCTCAGGCGAGCCGATGCTCTCTCCTGGTCAAGGGCCCATCAGACGCAAGCCAGCGCCATCATACGCCTTGAACCCCTCGCCCACACCTTCCAATCTGTCTGGAAGCCAGTTCCAACCACCCCCCGCGCAAACCTCTGATGCAAAGCCAGTTGTCGATCAGCGCCCTGCATATCAGAATGCGTCGTCATACCCTGGGGCTCCAATGTACCAGGCGGGTCTCGGCTTGCCATCGCAGTATCCTAAGAGAAGAATCTCGGAGGAGAACGACGATCTCGCGCCACCAATTGCTCCGTACACCGCCCCTTTCAACCCTTCATCATACCGCCCAAGCCCGGGGAACACGCCACCTCAGAGCCAGGAGCCGTTCCCTGATTTGCCTCAACAGATGCCAGGAGGATGGCAGAGTCCGCCCCAGCAGATGCAGCCGGCGATGCAGCAGTCTTCATTGAGCCTCGAAAGTGTATCGCCACCAAATTCTCAGCATCAGCAAGAGTTTGACTCTAGGTAAGCTAAACCCCGAAGAAAGTCTCCGAGCATGTATGTTCATGTGCTGACCTGAGCAGTAAACCTGACTTAAAGTCACATCGTACCTCGTTCATGGGGATGAAGAATACGCTTGACAAGGCAAGACAGTTTAGTACTGGCATAATGAATCGCAAGACGTCCGGCTTTTAGAAGGTAAATAATTGATGAGAAGTGTATGAAGACATGGGCTCTGGGAGCATACTTGGCGTCGGGGAGCAGGAAACTAATAACTAATGATACCTCTTTTGTTGAGCCATGACGGCAGTATTTTCTTCATGTAGTCTCTTGAAATAGAGCGCACATGTGTGCATGTATTTGCTGCGACTGAGTACAACCTATCGTTCTCCATACCGGCAATGTGCACGAATCGGAACATTTCTAGACATCCAATAAATGTCAGCTTTACGCTTTGGCTTCATGTTCTGTGAACTTTGGAGGCACCCGCAAAGTCTCAGAGCACACAGCAAGCTCGAGAAGAAAATATCGGATTGGTCCCTTGACGAGAAAAATTCTGCACGATGAACAAGTACATGGTCCAGGCAATGTTCCTGTGGTGTTGTTGGAGGAATGATTTTAGGTTGGCGGTGCGGTGGCTAGTGGCATAATAATGGAACTCGATTGTAGTGTGGCTAGTGCGGTGGTGGGATGTGGCTGGAGCTCGATCCAAAAATTTCGGGGACAATTCTCAACACTATCTCCAGCGCGACAATCGACGGGGAAATCAGCAATTCCGCCCTCAGCCACCGAGGATCCCGCCCACAATGGCAACAGCAGGGCAAGCACTCCGACTCTGCGTCCGCAGCTGTCGCCGGACACCGACAGCCCCAAGAATCGCACCGCGAGCCGCGACACAGTTCCCCCAGCAGCAGTTCCAGAGACGAACGTTTGCCGCCAGCCCCGCCAGACGTGCGCGCGGCGACGGAGACGAAGAAGGGGTCGACAGTTCGCTTTACAGAGTACAGGAAAGCGTCGAAGATGTGGTCAAGAAGCTGAAGCCCGCTGAGGTCGAGGCTCTGCAGCGGATGAGGAAGAGCGACCCATCGGCGCAGTCGTTGTCGCTTGAGGAATGGCTCGACAGGCAGTGGACGAAGGCCGACGAGGAGGCGGAGCGACAAGGGCCGCTCGTGACAAACCGTGAGTACAAGATGCTCGCTCCGAGAGTGAAGCCCAACAGGCAGTCATTCTGGTTCGACCCGGACGCCCCCATGGAGGACACTGAGAATATCGTCGACGAATTCGACGAGGATGACATGACGTCCATGGCCCATGGCAAGCTCGACGAGATTCGCGAGCACAGACATTACCACCGCATCATGGCTTGGGAGATGCCGCTGCTTGCCAGTACGTTACCCCCCTCCAATGCCACTTTTCTGGGCTCATGGTTTACTGACCACGACGACAGAGCTCGCCAAGCCGTTCGAGCCGCCCGCGAAGGATGAGGTGCTGCGATTCCGATACACCACATACATGGGCGAGCATCACCCCGCGGAGAAGAAGGTGGTCGTGGAGTTCTCGCCGGTCGATTTGGACCTCACGCCGGTGCAGGCCGACAAGCTGAGAAAGCTGGCCGGCCCGCGATGGAACCCGGAGAAGGACATCATCAAGATGAGCAGCGAGAAGTTTGAGCACCAGGCTCAGAACAAGCGTTATCTGTCCGACCTGGTGGACACGCTTGTTGCGACAGCCAAGGTGAGCACACAGGCAGGAAGAACTAGAGGAGCAGCAGGGCTAATAAACCATCCTAGGACCCCAAGGACACTTTCGAGGATATTCCTCTGGATACCAGACATCACCAGTCCAAGGAGAAGCCCAGGTTCCCCGTGGAGTGGCGCATGACTGAAGAGCGTCGCAAAGAGCTTGCTGCGTTCCGCCAGCAGGGCGAAAAGGCTGATGCTGCCAAGGTTGAGGAGGGCCTACTCGTTGACGGCATGGGCACGATCGAGAGGTTCCTCGAGCAGCCGGCGCAGGCCGAGGTCAAGGAGGCGGAGTTGGTGGCTGTTCGCCGTGGCGGCGCGAAGAATGCTCGTCGGTAGAGCACTGCTTCCGCTGCATCGAGCCCATGTCCCGTAAAAAAGAAAAAGATGATGTCTGAGGGATGCATAGCTCAAGGACCTCCAGACGCGTGTATGACTAGGCAGCTGGCTTTCTTGACGTTCAGCATGCCCGTGTAACATCTCCATGTATACATCCGTCCCGAGTCGGATTTATAGAAATATAAAAGGGGACGCGCACGATGACCCCATTGGATTTACTTAGTAGTCCCGGCGCACACGATGCTTTCCGGGAGCCTCGTGTACCTGGGGACTGACATTGCAACCCTTCCAACGATACAGAGTAGTCCGCAATGGCTGGTCTGGTGAAGTCAGGTCAAAGTGTGTGATTATTCACTTATGGGGCCTTTCAGATGACGGGATTGGTACATGGCTATGGTCAGCAATCCTGAATATCTTGAGCTTATCCTGACGACAATATCAAATGTCACTTGACCTCCTGCTCAATTGAATTTTGAACAATTCCCAATGCGCATGGTATTATCACATTTCCTGCCATGTGGATTCCGGGATCCCACAGGTCGGCCTATTCATTCTCGGCGGAGACTCGGACAGGGAATGAAGTCTAAGGAACGGATGCCAAAAAAGGGGACCTGGAAACAGGGTCAAGGACAGGGGCGTCTTTTTAGTCAGCCTGCGCGTTCATGCCAATGCCATTCCCGCTGTTCTGCCAAATTGATGCCTCGGCATCTTTTTTTTTCTAGCGCAGCGCAGGTGCTCGCGAGTCGCTGCGAGATGTGAGATGCGCAGGGGGTGGCGTTCTTTGGTTCTATCCCCGAAGAGAACGCGTTGCAATGCTCCATGTGGGGAAGAAGCAACCAAGCAGCGGGATTGGCACCGGGACCTTGCTGAAGCTCCAAGCTGCTCTGCTGCTAAAGTAGAGCTCTGGCGCATCATTGGAGACGGTCGATGAGGGCGATTCACCTGAAGCTCTGAGGCGTCTCTAAGCTCTGGGCTAACATGTTCTAGAGGCGTCAGTCAGCAATGACTAGAAGGCGTCATGACTTCGCAAACTGCTGTGTTCCATCAAGACAGCGGCCCATGGAAGGGTGGCCCAATCCGTTCCTCGTGAAGGCGAGGCCACTCCGTCGGGACATCTCTGCCTCCATTCCCTGTCCAAGTCCGATTCAACTCGACTGGCTGGTTCGGGCAAGAGCAGGTATCCATGCTCACACCATCTTTTCCATTTCAGAGACTGGCATTCGTTCACATGCAACTAGCGTACCGCACCGTTACCGTAGCTCCTGCTTTTTGGGAAACGAACTCGTTTCCAACTTGCAGCGCATTCGCCGCCCCGCAGCGTCGCGTCTTGCTGCTGCGTGTGTTCTCTCCTGCATTCCCATCGTAAGTAGATTCATGCCCTCTCACTCGCACTCGCAACATCGACTAGTCACAACAAACCGCCTTCTAGAAGGAGGAACACCAAAGTGAATGGTAATCCGGCCTCTGTTCATCCCGACCGTCTGCCCGTTTTCGCGCGCCGAGGTTGCTCGCCCCGGACCTGACTCCCTATCCGTACAATCAATAAAATACCTTTCGTCCCAAAGTACCTCCTCGAGTCCCTAACCTCACCTTCTACCTCCCTCCATCACACCCGGCGACGCGGAGGCCGAGCACACATCAAGTGGAGCTTTGTCGCATGCGCACCCATCCACTCACTTTAAGCTGTGCCTTACCGAACGGCCAGTCCGCTAGCTGCTGATACTGCTGCCATTTTACTACTCCGAATACATAAGTCGCCGCAGCCCTCACAACCTTAACTGCAACCACCACCACCACCTCTCCGCGGACCCGAACCCCGGCATTCCTTCTTCCCCTCACGAACCTCCTCTTTTCCATCCCTAGGATCGTTTCTTCGCAGACGACACCAGTAGCAGAAAGCCTGACATTAGCCCAATCATCACGAAATCATCCACAATGGCGCTTTCAGCAGACGTCAAGATCGCCGACTTCACTCACACGTCCACGGACGACATTTACCGCCTCACCGACACCCTGCGCGCCACTTTCCGCTCTAACAAGACCAAGGACCTCAATTGGCGCAAGGTCCAGCTCCGGAAGCTCTACTGGGCCATCAGGGACTTTACTCCCCAGCTTTGCGATGCCCTGCGCAAGGATCTGAGAAAGTGCAAGCATGAGGCTCTCCTCTCCGAGATCGAGTGGTGTGCCAATGACTGCCTATACATGATCAAGAAGATGGACCAATTCGCCAAGGACGAGACTCCCGAAGATGTTCCTCTGACCTTCGCCGCTCTAAAGCCGCGCATCCGCAAGGAGCCCCTCGGCATGGTGCTTGTCATTGGTGCCTTCAACTTCCCCGTCCAGCTCACTCTTCTCCCCATCATCGGTGCCATTTCCGCTGGATGCACGGCCGTTCTGAAGCCCTCCGAGAGCTCCCCGGCTACTGCCATGGTTCTGGCCAAGATTTTCGAGGTCGCTCTTGACCCCAAGGCCTACCAGGTCGTCAATGGCGCCGTGAAGGAGACACAGGCGCTGCTTGATGTTAAGTGGGACAAGATCATGTACACTGGCAGCACCGCCGTCGGCAAGATCATCGCCAAGAAGGCTGCGGAGACGCTCACGCCTGTCACTCTTGAGCTCGGTGGGCTGAACCCCGCCTTTGTTACCAAGAACGCCAACGTCAAGCTGGCCGCTCGTCGTCTCATGTGGTCTAAGTGCCTGAATGCTGGCCAGGTCTGCATTTCCCAGAACTACATCCTCGCCGACCGTGCCATCGTCGACCAGCTTGTCCAGGGCCTCAACGCGACCCTGAAGGAGTTCTTCCCCAGCGGTGCCAAGAACAGCCCCGACTTCTCTCGCATTGTCAACAAGAAGTCTTTCCAGCGTATCAAGAAGATGCTTGACGAGACAAACGGCAAGATCGTCATGGGTGGTGGTCTGGATGAGGACCAGCTCTTCATCGAGCCCACCGCGGTCTTGGTCGACTCCATGCTCGACTCAGTCATGAAGGAGGAGTCTTTCGGCCCCGTCTTCGCCATCATGCCTTACGATACCCTGGATGATGCCATCAACATTGCGAACCAGGTCTACAGAACGCCTCTGGCGCTGTTCACGTTCGGAAGCGATCAGGAGAACGAGAGGAGTACGTCGCACATCTTTATTTACATGAACCAAACTAACATGTGTCGCAGTCCTCAACGAGGTCACTTCTGGCGGTGCCACCAAGAACGATGCTTTCTTCCACGCTTCAATCTCGACCGTCCCCTTTGGCGGCGTGGGCGATTCTGGCACAGGCAACTACCGCGGCAGGGCATCATTCGACATGTTCACCCATCGTCGATCTGTTGCTCAGACGCCGTCGTGGCTTGAGAAGTTCATCCGCGTGCGTTACATGCCGTACTCTCCCAAGGAGCTCGCTCGCCTATCGAGCATGACTGCGGAGAAGCCCGACTTTGACCGCAATGGCGTTCAGGTCCGCGGTCTCGGCTACTGGCTGAGCTTCGTCGTTGGTCTCGGTGCGAAAGGTGCTAAAGGTGCGTTGTTGAGATGGCTGGTGGCCTTGGTAAGTATGTACACCCTAACCCTGCGAAGGAATCATTAGGACTGTGATCGGATAAGGAGACACTGAACACACTTCACACCTCCAAACATCTCTACACACTATCCATATTCTATCTACCACATCACAAACATCACCACACATGTCTTGTGCCATTTCCTTGTAAGTTTAGCCCCCTTAAACCCCTGAGAATGGGGTTTGGAAAGGTTCCACCATACACACTCGTTGGGAGGGACATCGCCTGTTGCCGATCGGAAAGAGGGGACCTCTAGGCTGGATGATGGGCCCCTGCTTCGGACAGGCTTGTACGCTATTGTGTCATATACCATTTCTATTTTGTCTACAGCTGGGTAAAGAGTTTGCCCTTTAACGGTCTTTTTCACACCAAGCCGCCTCTGTTGCCGCCATGTGATGTTCTTCTGCGAACCTCTTCGAACTTCTACCTCTATGGACTGCATCAGCCACTGCCACAAACTCTGCTCCAAGCACAACGGTCTCCATACATTAGTCGGTCTTTCTGATTCCTTTCCAACAAACACCCTTCTCAAGGGGCCGTGGCTTAATGGTAAAGCGCTCTCTCGTTAGGAGGTGGTCGGAAGAGTTCACACGTTCGATTCTGCTCATGCTGACTCGATTCTACTTTACATTGTGCGTTCACGATTAATTGTATCACGGAGGAATACCTGAGGAAAAAGGATAAAAAAGAAAAAACCAACAAAATATCAAGACGAACTCGGCGAGAGAGAAATTCAAAAGAAAAAACCAACAAAATATTAAGACGAACTCGGCGAGAGAGAGATGGTGGTTCGAGTCCATCTGGCCCTAAACTTTTTACATATTTTTTCCCTTTATCTTCTTGACCTTGTCCAGCCGCGCACGTTGGTATACATGGTCTCGCAAGTATTCTACCCTCTGTTTTGCAGTTCCACTGGGATGTTCATGACCAGGCTTTCGTGTCCTTTTCCCTCAACGCCAGCCGTCGCCCTGATGTCGTCGCCTCCCCTGGCCAAGGGCCCGTTGCGAAGCTCGACAGGCACATTCATGACCAACTCGTCCCCCTCACCCTGGATCCTCGCTGCCCCTGATGCGCCGACGTCTTCATGAAAAGGGTCGGGGTCGAAGTACCCGGGTTTGCTGTCGGACCGCTGCCGTTTGCGTCGTCTGGCCTCAGAGAGTGTCGAGTCGACGACGGAAGTGAACGTGCTCGATCTGGAGGCGTCACAGGGTCGTGAATCGTTGGTATTTTGTCGCTCGATGGCCAGTCCCTTATCCTTTGCTGCATGCTGAGAACCGTTGTGGCTGTTTTTGCGCTGCCCACTTGGACTTGCATCCCCCAGGCCAAAGTCGAAACCCGAAAAAAGCTCCGTGCCCTTCTTCTTGCCCTTGTCTCCAGTATCTGGCGTCGCCTTCTTGGGTGATTCTGGTGAAGCGGGAGGCCCCTCTGCACAGCGTTGCTCGACGCATGACTTGATAGTCTCAAGCTCGGTCGCCGACTTAGTCGACGGAATCTGCTTGTGGAAGCCATCCTCCACTGCCCATTTCTCGTCGCGTTCAGCTTTGTATATGGGAAAGTCTTCCTGGACGTGCGGGTCCTTGTCGACGTACCGCACCAGGATGAACTCGAGGCGATCGCGAAGGCGGACGAAGTACCGGTAGACTGACATTCTTGGTTCAGCCATTTGAGAGCGTGGTGGTGGTTTGTCCTTGGGCATACTGAATATGAATCCGAACCAAAGTCGTATCGTTTGCTTTATCGCGATTTCTTTTGGTCAAACGGGTAGAAGGCGGTGAATTTTCCTGGGCAAGGACGTAGACTTCTATGCTGAGTTGTGAGATGGGCAAGCCGGTACAGTGAATCACCCACTTTCAAAGCTCCATCTGGCGTCTTCATCGTCACGCAAGCCCCTGAGTTTAGATCGGTAGAAACGCCGAGTCAGCCCGTCCTGCCGTACCACAAGCGGCATCGTCCACATGACTGATGCCTCCACGTAACCCCACGGAAGAACCTCGACTATTCACAAAGAAGAAAAAAAAGGCTGTCGTTTCCATTCTATAAGATGAGTATGGTAGTACAGTTCCCGCCACAACTTCCGCCCCTCCCGTATTCTGCCGTGGAGGGGCCCTTTTCGGAAGGAGAGGTAAGTTTCTTACACTGAGAAAGGCCACCACCGCCCGCTCAGAGACCCCTGAGCTGCGTGTTGTCCCGCTCGTCAACCCGCTGATACCGTTCCGCCAACACCTCCTTGACCGTCTTGGTCAGCCCGCTCGGCTTCTCGTACCGTTGGTGCAGCGCCTGCTGCACAGGCGAACCCGCCGGCAGCACCTTCCCGTCCTCCTTGATGCTGACCTTGTCCTCGACGATGCCCGCCGCCTGCTGCACCTTCACGACAGCGGCGCCGGCCTCCTTCCTGCCCTTCTCCACGACCTCGCCCACGACGGCCTTGACCTCAGCGGCCTTGCCGTCCGCCGCCTTCCGCAGCTCGGCCGCCTTTGCGCGCGCGGCCTCATCGGCGGCGAGCGTCTTTTCCCTCGCGCGCTCCCACGCGCTCTTAGCCTCCTTGCGCAGGCTCTCGCCCTGCTCGTCGGCGAGGATGGCGCCCTTCTGCTTCGCGCCCTCGACGACCTCCTTCGCGAGCGGCGCGGCCCTGTCGCCGACCTCGGCGGTCTTGTCGATGGCGCCGCCCCAGAGCCTCGCGACGTTGCCCTCGAGGGTCTCGCGGACCTCGGCCCAGTCCGTCCGCTGCGCCCACCGGACGGCGTTCTCGACCTCCTTGTTCCAGCGGTACTTTGCCGACTCGACGAGGTTCTCGCGGTCCTTGACAGACTGCTCGGAGCGCGTCAGGGGAGGCGGCAGGCGGAGATTGGGCTCGAGGAGGGAGGAGAGGACGTGGTTCTGGGAGCGGAGGATGTGGGATTGGGCCTCGCGGTTGCGTTGGTGGGCGAGGACGGTTAGGTAGGCGACGCCTAGGGTGAGGGTCACACCGCCGGTCTGGTTTGCGGCTGTTAGTTGGGTTTCGTGGCTTATGGGATTGAGTGCCTTATGCGGGGGTTGAGAGACGTACGAAGCCAGTGGTGAAGCCCATGATTGCACTCGTCGATTTACTCTCCCGGTTCCGATTTCGATTGGGCGCAATTGAGTCTCGTATTTTCTGAGAAAAAAGTGACGGGCCTCACGGTATCATGTTGCGGACCTCGAATGTGTCCGTCGTCGGAGGCCGATTTGGGTCTTTCTGCTGTCGAGAAAGCGGGACTGGGTCGTCGGGCCCTTTTTTGATATCGGCGGGAGCTTTTTGTCGAGGCGGCGGAATGACGTTAATTAATCGGACTGGCCCTTCGGCGAGCGAGCGAGCGACTTTCAGCCTCTCCGGGCTGGTGGACATAGGTCGGTCGCTGAGCGGGCAGGGGTACCAGCCTGAGAGTGAACAGCCACAGGCGCTGAGGGTCCCGCACTAGCAGCGGCCAGGCCAACCAGAGCGGGCGGCTGCCCACCTCACCCCTCAGGGAACCTCCCGGGTGAACGCCGCCAGAGGCCAAAAATTTGGGAACCAGAGCGAAGGAGAAAAGGCTATCGCGACTTCCGACGACAGTTGCTTAGCTGCTGCACCTGCGCCGGCCCCCGTTTGACCACACAAAGCAGAGGCCATTGAGGAGGCTCACTGAAGCGACAATCACCGACCTCGCCAATCGATTGAGACGCCGAAGCAGCCATGGCGGGAGGTCTCACCAAGTACAGGCACTTGAGCCGCAACTCGTCGGCGCGACAGGCCCTCCTCCGCGGCCTCGTCACCTCCCTCGTGACCCACGAGCACATCCAGACCACCTACGCCAAGGCGAAGGAGGCCCAGCGCATGGCCGAGAAGCTCATTACTCTCGCGAAAAGGAACAACGAGGAGACCAAGCGGAAGGTCCAGGCCATGCTCTACGTACGCCACACCCACCACCGCTGTCTGGATGGTACCATGGCAGGACGGAAATTTGACTGACAACGATCTCTAGACCCCCCACGACCTTCTCCCCAAGGTCTTTGGCGAGCTGCGCGAACGCTACGCCAAGCGCCCCGGAGGCTACACCCGTGTCCTCCGCACCGAGCCCCGAAATAGATACGACCAGGCTCCTTCCGCCATCCTCGAGCTCCTCGATGGGCCGCGTGATATCCGCTTCGCCATGACGGCCAAGGCTGTCGCCAGGGACATGAAGAATGGCAACGAATCTACCGAGCTTACCCTTAAGAACAAGCAGAAGGTGACGAGGTATCGCAAGGACGGCAATCAAGCCTTTGACGCCTTGGTGAAAAGGTTCAACGAGCATCCACCAACCAAGCAAATCAGACTGGGAAAACCTTACAAAAAGAAACGTGGACGCATCCCAGGATCCAGGAGAGCGAAAAAGGAAACAGTCAAGGCTGAGGGTTCGTCAGGACCTGACCTGGACTTGAGGCAGTGAAGGCATTGGTGCGGTAGAAAACGCATGCTGAGGCAATGCAGGGACAGACGTGGACGGCGGGGGTGCTCAGAAAACGATCTGTAACTCTTTTTTTTTTTTTGGTGTATCATCAACGAAAAATACCTGGCCAGTCTATAGATTATGGTCGTGTGGGGTATACGTGTATACTATGACAAAACAACTTTTTCAAGCCTGCCAGTTGAGCAGGCGCAACTTCCATCTCTCTCTTGTATCCCCTCCCGATTTACACAAAGTCAAAAGTATCACCCTTCTCCTGGATCATCTTGCCTACGCGCTGCGTGCCGACGATGCGCTCCAGCCTCATGACATCGTATTTGGAGAACATGGCCCTGATGGTACCCTGTCCAGGCTCGATCAGAAGGTTCTGCTCGCTGTGTGCAAGGTAACCTCCAGCGATCTCGCGGTAGAAAATCGGGTTGTCCGGCAGGCCGTACATGATTACCCGCTGAACGCCGCGCAGGTTGTACCGTCTGAAGTGGTGCGCACGCTCCGTATACAGGAGAACCTTGTGCCGGCCGGTTGTGAAGTGAGAGCGAGCGCGGGATACTTCGGGGACCTCCGAGTATTCGGAAATGGTGCCGAAGGAGAGAACCCCGACAGCGGCATTGGTGGCGAAGTAGTTCCTCACGCGGACAAAGTCGAGGTAGGAGGGGATAAAGATGAGGGTTCCGCTGGTGTCCTTGGCTCGCTTGATGAGGGAGGGGAGGATCGCTGAGACGAAGTAGTCGAAGCGGGCGTCAGGCTCCTTGTCGATAGACTTGGCCTCGAAGCGGGAGAAGGTCTGACGCGCCTTGAGGCCGAGCTGCTGGAGGACGCCGGAGTAGTCTGCCTGGAATCGAATCTTGCCGGCCCAGTTATGGCATTGGGTGCGGAAGAGCTCCGTCAACTCCGGCGTGTTGAAGGCGGAGAGGATGACGGTCTGTCGGAAGTACTTTGACCAGTCCTCGAGGTACCAACTGCGCACACGACTGAAGTCACACCCGTGGGCGTCCTTGGGCTGGAGGTTCATGTGCTCAAAGATGTACTCGACATGTTCCCAGTTCTGCATGAGCTGGGCGTCGGCCTGGTCGACCACAACCAACTCAATGGAACTCAAAAAGTCGTAATCCATCTTCTTCTTATCTTCCTCGGAGCCGATGGCCATCCGCAGACCCAAGGGACTGGCGAAAAGAATATCCGAGTTGTAAAACTGGGAGAAGTACTTGATGGTCTTGCGGGTGAACTTCATGCCGATGCGGAACATGTCGTCGTCATTGCCTTCAAAGAGGTCGCGGAAATCTTCAGGCTTGTCGTTGCCAAACTTGACCTCTTCGTCTGTATAGGCTTCCTCGAAACGCTTTCTGTTTTCGCGCTGGTCGGGCGCGCAGAGCGCTTCGATGGTGTTCACCATCTTCAAGCACGACTGTCGCGTTGGCAGAATAAAGAGGACCTTGGGGCGTGTGAAGCCCTGATCTCTCAGCTCCAGGTCGGCGTTTTCTTCCTTGGCCAGCTTGTAGTTGTTCTTGATGACGCGATCGCGAGTTCTATAGAATGTTAGAGTAGCCCCTGAATTCTGTCGGTTTGTAAGAGGATCTTACTTGAAGACGTGGTTGACGGCATGTAAGCACACGAGCTGCCTCAAACCTTCCGAGTTCTTGATGTCGCGATTGTCATATAAAACGTCGTTGTAGTTGAAAATAACCGGTGCCATTGCTTGCTGCAACGTGTTGAGTGGCGAGATCTTTTTCGACGCAGACTCTTTGAGCTTCTGCTTGAGCTTGAGGCTCTCCAAGCTTGAGATTGGTGATGGAATTGACGGCGCTTCTGAACCTTCAAACTGAGGATACGTGACGACAGCCTTAGACACCTTAGACATGCTTCGCTTGAAAGTCCAGCCATTCTTCTGAATCGCCTTGACCTTCTTCGTGTAGGTGTCTTCATCGGGGGCCGCAAAGTGGTTGTCAAATGGATCCGTCGCATCAACATCATCTTCGTCGTCGCTTTCCGCCTCCTCATCAGCGAGATCGGCTGAAGGGTCCTCTTCCTCGGCCTCGTCAACCCTGTCGACGTCCTTCTCACCAGTCTCCTCATCTTCATCCTCGTCTTCAGAAGACTCCTCTGCTGCTGCTGTCGCCTTGGCGGCACTCTCAGGCTTGCCGCTGTCCAGTTTTCTCCTCTTTGCACTCGGCTCTGTGGATTCTGTGAACCCTTGCAAGAGTGCCATGTAAGGACGGGAGTTCTGAGGTTGCTCATCCACATCTTCGTCCTCATCATCATCAGACATGGAGACATCAGAGTCTTCCTCCACTTCGGAATCCATCTCCTCACCAGACTCAGAACCAGACGACCTGGTTTCATTAGTTTGTGGAAATTGACCCAGAAACATACAAACTTACTCATTTTCTTCCAGACGGGCAGTGTTGAAGCGAGATCGACCCGGGCCGCCTCCTCTACCTCTGCCTCTGCCGCCTCTTCCACCACGCCCGCGAGCACCACCTCTTCCTCCGCCCCTGAAGCCAGCACGGCCTCTGCCTCGAGGACCCATTGTCTTGAGACTTATTCACTGAAATAACCAAAACGAAGGTGAAAAAGTGGGAAATGAGACAAACAGACACGCATTCACATCGTCGCAAAAAAAAGTTGTAAGTCCGCCATGCTCAGCCTTGCAGAAATTCCACACCAAAGTCACCAGCCACAGCGGGGCCGTCCGACGCCTCGAAAAACTTCTTATCGGTGCTTATCTTAGCGCGCACAACCTAGTCCGAATCGCAAAATCCCGCCCGCCAAAGCGAAAGGGTACGCCCGCGCCGGTGCAGAGAGTTTCGAGAATTTTGAACGACCATTTTCCATCGCGAATAGGGACCCGAGACGAATCCACTTTGCCAGCAGTCAATTTTGGCCCGTCCACCACCGCCCAAACCCGCCCCTCCCTCCTCCTCCTGTCCTGCCTCCCCTTTCTCTCCCAAACGCAACAAACCTCTCTTACTCGGCCAACTATTTCGACAACATACCTGCCCAGCATGGCTGTCGCCGAAACTGAGAAGTTCCTCCACCTCTCGCGGCCCATCGCGCCGGCGACGGTTGGCCTTCAGGGCACTATTGCCCCGCTCACCGTCAACATCCAGCCCCAGGTACGAACTCCTCGAACTCATGCGCTACAGAACCTCCTCGTTTGCGCCTGAGCCATGCACTATGCAAATGTCATCATAGCTTTTGCATGCAGCATATACACCTCTTCAACCTTGGTCGTCGACCCTTCTTCCACTTCACCCCAAGCTAACGCTGCCCCTCCCCCATAGGCCATCCTCTCCATTCTCGACCATGCCGTTCGAAGAGACATCCGCGATACGCAATCAACCCGCGTTATCGGCGCCCTCGTCGGTGTCCGCTCCGAAGATGGCACCGAGGTCGAAGTGCGCTCCTGCTTCGCCATCCCTCACACCGAGAACGAGGACCAGGTCGAGGTGGACGTCGACTACCAGAAGAACATGCTCGCCCTCACCCTCAAGGCCTCCCCGCGCGAGTCCCTGTTGGGTTGGTACACCACCACCCACGAGCTCAACTCCTTCTCCGCCCTGATCCAGAACTTCTTCGCCTCCCCGGACACCGGCACCTTCCCCCACCCCGCCGTCCACCTGACTATCAGCACCGACCCGACCGCCGAAATCGAGGCGCGCTGCTACATCTCCGCCCCCGTCGCCGTCAACGCCGAGCGCGCCGCCGAAAGCTGCCTCTTCATCCAGGTGCCCCACAAGCTCATGTACGGCGACGCCGAGCGCAGCGCCCTCGAGGCCATCTCCATGGCCAAGGACAACGAGGACCGCGTTGCCCCCGTCGTCTCCGACATCGAGGGCCTCGCCCGCTCCATCGAGCAGGGTACCAACCTGATCGAGCGTGTCAGCGAGTGGGTCAACGGCATCCTCGACGAGGATGAGGAGCCCAACCACGCCCTCGGCCAGTACCTCATGAACGCCCTGTCTCTCGCCCCCAAGGTCGACCCCTCCCAGATCGAGCACGACTTCAACAACCACATCCAGGACGTCCTCATGGTCTCCTACCTCGCCAACACCATCCGAACCCAGATCGACCTGTCGCAAAGGCTGGCGACGGCCAACCTCACCGGTGGCGAGAAGGACGGCGAGGGCAAGGCGGCCGAGGGCGGCGAGAAGGGCGAGCAGCGGGGTCAGCGTGGTGGCAAGCGTGGTGGACGTGGCGGCGGCCGTGGTGGTGGCCAGAACAGAGAGCCCAGGGAGCCTCGGGAGCCCCGCGAGCCGAGGGAACCCACGGAGTAAATGCAGCTTTAATTGTCGACCAACCAAAAAAAGGGGTTTGCACAGTACATTCTTTCTCATGGAAAATTCTGTGAGAAGATGGGGGGACATAAAACGGGGAGAAGGGAACCGTCGGAGGTTGAAAGAGCAAGTAAGCCAGCAGGTGGTGCTGATATTTTTTCCATCCCGCCGCAAGGTAGCAAGCATGGCATCATGAGGAATTCCACACTTGAAAAACCGTCATGGCGTTATGGCAGTGGCAGGATAGACGGCCTAGGGTTAGAATGCGCTAGGCAGTTGCAATGATGATATTCACGCTTTCATGCACAAGTTCAGCATAACACACATATTTCACATGACCTTTTGAGAGATAAAACCTGAGTGACAATTAAGTTGCGTAAAGTGCTCTAGCATGCAATAGCCTACATGATCTGATGCCATCCTGTCCTCCGTTTGAACGCCAATATGCTGTACCTTGTAAACCCCCAGACGCCAGTCGTTCTACCAGAGACCATCTACAGCGACGTCAAACGCGCACCTAAACGCCCATGTTCGGCTTTTGCGGCAAAGTAGCAGGGTTGCCGTAGTGCGGCAGGTGGCTGAACGTCTGTCCGGCCGGGCCCTGAGGGATGACGGGTTTGTTAGGGATGTGAGGAGACGGGTTTTGGGGGAGATGTTGAGAAGGATGCTGCGGCGGAATGTGAGGACCCGGTGCTTGGGGGATGGTGTTGAGATGGTGAGGGTGTTGTGACGGCGGGCCGTGGTAAGAGGGAATAGAGTTGTTTGACCCCTGTCTAGCCATACTATAACCTGCTACAACGCCGTACGGTGCAGGCGGGACCGGTTGCTGGTATCCGGCATACGCCAGGTGAGGTGAGCCGATCTGGGGGCTGCCATGATGGGAGCCAGGGGCGCTGAACGGGGGTTGAGGCGGCTGCATTGGAGCCATGCCGCCACCCGGGACAAATGATTGCGTCTTGGGGTTGAAGGCGTGACGGTTGTAGCTACCCGGAATAGGATGCTGGCTCTTAGGGTCATTGGGGTTGACGTTGGCTGGCAGCTGCCCGTACATATAAGGCACAGTGCTCTGTCCAGGCGGAGCGGACATGCCCCGCGGGGTGTAGGATGCTGCATTAGGCCCGGATGGCGGCATCGCCGCCGGAGCCGGACCTGGCGCAAAGCCCTGCTGCCAGCCGGCTTGGGCGGGAGCAGGTCCAGGAGCAGGTCCACCATAACCCCGAGCAGCGGCGTTCGGAGGTGGCTGGAATGGAGGTTGGCTGGTCTGAGGAGAATACTAGCACTAAGTCAGAGAGGGATGAAATGCGAAGGTAGCAGAGCTCCTTACCTGGGCCATGTTAGGATACGCGTTATAGCCTGAGTTGGGCATCATTGGAGCAAAAGATTGCGTCGGAGTGGTGTTGTAGGGAGGAGGCTGTATCTGATTCGAATAGGGTTGTTGAACCGGAGCCCCGTACTGATTGGACACGGGGACGTATTGCGGCTGCGGCATCCAGGTCTGTTGCTGAGGACCCCAGTACGGGGTATAGTTGTGTCGTGAATCGAAGCTGTCCGAATCGTCACGTCTTTGCTTCCCAGTCTTGCCCCTCTTTCCAGCATTCGATTTGTCTCTCGCCGAGACCGAGCTGGCTCGTGAAATTCCATTTTCGCCCTCGTTGTCTGCAGTAGCTGTCAGCCGGAGGTGTCCACATCACCACATCTGTGACAACATACCAGGGGTTGACTCTCCGGTCTTCTCCGAGTTGCCAAAGATCCTCTGTCGGGCCTGCTTGTAGGCCTCCTCACGTTGTTCTCTCGATAGCCTGTTCTGGTCAGCAAAGAAAACTACTCAGCCAAGGGGCAATAACGCACTTTTGATTCCCAGCCGCATTCTTGTCCTTGGAATCACTTCCAGTTTCGGACGTGGGCTTCGATGGCGAGGCGCTGGCGGTTGCAAGCTCCCCATCCTCACCACGCCGCATGATCTTCCTGGGGAGAACGGCAGGAGGCGGTGGCGTCTCAGCACTAGTTTCCGGAGCCGCAATACTAGCTAAAGACTCGGGAACTCTGGCGTACGGAGTTCTGAAGATTCGCACAGATCCAATTCGTGCTTCATATTGATGCGTCATTCGATAGTAATCAGCCAACTTGTGGGTTAACATTCTGCAGAATGAGTTGGATGGAGGAAAATCCACATAAGGTTCCCTGTATTTGTCAATACAATGCTCCGTTACATTTGGCACCGGGACTTACTTGGAATTCTGAACAAACTTGATCAGTTCCGCCTCTAATCTAAGCAGAAAAAGTCGGTCCTTGGGAGACGCCATGGCTTCTAAAAGCTTTTCATCCGGTGCCTGCCCGTAGATCGTGTTCAAGAGATTGGCGGAGTCGGGTAAGTTGGCCGACAGCGCATTCGCAGAAGGCTGTTGCTGATCTGAGGACGCGCTCTGCGGCGTAATCATGCCCTGGCTCAATGATCCAGATACGGGTTGGGCAAGACGGCGGTCTGGCATGTCGCCGAGCTGGATGATGCCTCTAGCACGCGCGGCGATGTCTGACCCCATCCTAGAGTTGGGCAGGTTCGGCCCGCGAAACGAGAAGGCGTCATCGTCTTCGGCAGCAGCAGCTTTCACGCTGGCACTGTCATCGGGACGCAGAGATTCCTTCTCATCAAGCGCAAAGGTAGTTCCTGAAGTAATGCTCTTCCCGTCTAAACTAGCAGGCTTAGTGCCAAGCTCGGAGCTTGAATCCGCTCTCTGAGAATCATCCGATCCATCCTTAGTTGCGGATTTTGATCTCTCGGTGAACGTTGAGCCCGTTCCGTTAACGACAAGACTGGGAGTTCGTCCAATGTTCAAATCCTTCAGTCCATCGACGACGGGGTCGCTTGAGTCGGGCTTCTTGGGCGGAGATGGCTCGCGCTGAGTGGCCGTCGATGCGGTTTTCGTAGAGCCCATGGCGGCAGATGGGTGGTTATCGGCGCCGTTTGCAACAACAGGTGTGGGGGCGCCAGTCAGCGCAGGCTGTTCAGGGCGTTCTTGGGATGGCGCGGCGACTCGTCGCACGGTAGTGACAGGAGGATAATCTTTCGATGCTGAAGCAGCGACCTGAGAAAAGTGATCGTTAGCACGCGGCGCAAGGCAGGAGCTCATAGCCTCGGGACGAACGATAGACCGGGGAGGTATGCACCTTTGCGAAAGATGGTTTGGGTATGTCCGTTGGCATTTGGGCGGTAGCCATAGCTCAAGTCGATGGCAAGAAGGAGTTCGTAGGGCGTTGGATAATAGGATGGAAGTGAAGGTCGTCGTCTGATGGGTATAGTTGCGCTGGAAGACAGCAGCGCGCGGGGGGGACGAATTGAATTTCGGCTCAAGAACGATTAAAGACGGTATCCGAAATCAAGGAACAAAATGTATCAAGGCGGGCCTGCAGAGCGAGAAAGAAGTTCCGTGGATCATTGTCGGGAGAGGGCTGTCATCGTTGCTTTCGTATTTTCCGTCAAGGTGTTGATGTTTGATGGCGCCGGTACTCTTGTTCGTTGGAGAAACTGGCTGGTTGATGATGTCCGACGATGCCTCGACTAGGTCTGCGCCTGGCGGCTATCTGTTAGCGGCTGTAGCCAGAGCTTGTTCGCAGCAAGACGGCGGTAGGGCGCACGGCAGATTTGGCGAGGCGGCCAGAATTTCGGCGGGCTGCGAGGCGGATAGACCGTCACAAGCAGGCGTCAAAGGAGGGGGTGGTGGTGTGGGTGGTGTGGTGTGGGCGACGTTGGTGGGAGGAATTGGGAAGAGAGCTGTGTGGGTTTTTGGATTGCGCTGGAAGGGGAAAAAGAGGATGGGGAAACTGGAGAAGGCGGAAAGGAAGCGACACTTTCGCACCTTACCTCACTCACTCACCCACAGAGGCTCGCCAGCTGTCTTGCTTGCTTCAAGCAATGGATGAACAGACAGGGGGCTATAAAGTCTGGAAGACAACAAGAAGATGATTCCTGCTTTTCAATTCCGGGTCCTCTTCCGCTCTCTTGTTCTCTCACTGAGACCTTGAGTCGCTTAAAGTGCTCTGTCTCGCGTTGCGTGTTGAGCCGTGGGTCTGTTCGATCGCTCCCCTCGGTCGAAGAGCCGGAGTTGAGGAACAAGAAGCTTAAATGCCGACAGGTCCTTGACGTGCGGATAGTGGTCTCAAGTCGGTACAGATGGTGTCAGACAACTGCCATCCCCCTCCGCAACGTCTTGTGGGACGTCAGGCTGAAGAATGAGGTATGGTCACAGATATTCTGGTGAGGACTGAAGAGGTCTCGGGCCTGAATTGGCTGGCGATAGACAAAAAGGCCACAGCCTGAGCCAAAAGTGGCTTAGTCCCGGCAGATTCCTAACTCTGGAGTGTGGCTGGTGCACTGCTGGTGCACTCCACTGCGAAAAGGAGGCTGGAAGACCCAAGCCAAGCGAAGCGCGGTCACTTTTCCGTCACTGGCTGCTTTAGCGATGCCAGCTGGCACACTTACGTAAGGCGTGCCGTAATTCAGGGTCCACGAGCAGTCCAGCACTGCTGTCACCTGTGGATGTGACGTCTCCTTCTGCTGTTCGCGCCTGCCCAAGCCTCTTTCGGTCGTGAAATAATCGATGCCCAGGTCTCAGCTCCGTCGGAAAGAGTTCACATTCATCCGCAATCACATTCTTAGCCACAACGACGCTGTTACACCCAAGGCTTAGACTCACAGCAACTGGGCGAAACGAAACATTGTCCGACGCAAACCCACCTGCGACACTGCAGATCTAGGCCCTGAAATAGACGACAACCGAGACTGACTGACTGGTGCGGGACTCCAGAACATCAACAATCGACGTCTACCAGCGGAATCCACTATCATCGCCAATGCATTCCTATAGAGGACGCGGCGGCCCTCGCCAGCAAACACCGGCCAACGTCCAGTGTCAAAAGTGTCTGAAGAGAGATATGTACAGTACTGCCAGCGGCATCGCGAACTTACGCTGACTTTCGCAGAACGTCACTATTCATATGAGTGTAAAGAGTCAGCTGCAGCCAGACCCTACGTGTCTCGGCCCTCTCGAACGCAGCAGCTGCACAATCCCAAACTCGTGCCCAAACTGACAAATGATGTGCCGGATGATGCGCAGAGAAAGTCAGTCACACATATCAGCTTCGCGCCTATTTTCGTTTATCGCTTACCAAAGTACAGAAAAGGTGTGGCGGATGAGGAGCTTGCGAAGAAAGAGGCTGAGAGAGCCAGGAAGCGGGAATTGGAGGAGCGCGACGAAGAACTCATCAGGCAGACAGAGGCGAAACGTCAGCGATCGGAGTCGGTTGATTCTGTTTCCACCATCTCGACCAACCGTTCTGCCTCGCCGCCACCCAAACGTCGTTCCCCGTCACCCGCACCCGCTCGCCGCAGCTTGAGGTCTCCTGAAGACGGCAACGGAAGTCGACGCAGGTCCTTCAGCCCCGAAAGCGATGGTGATCGCTCTGTATCCCGGAGGTCTGCAAGAAGTCGGCAAACGCAATCGCCGCCTCGCCGCCGCCAACGGTCTCTTTCCAGAGACAGCCGCTCTCCTTCTGTCAACAGTGCCAGGAGATATCGCGAGAGAGGAGACGATTACGCAAGACCCGCTGCCAGACAAAATCAGGCACCCCAGCGTTCTCGTGAATCTCCTGGCTCCCGAGAGTCTTCAGTGTCGCGTGATGGTGGTGTTCGTGGCAATCGACGGTCTTTGTCCGCATCTCCTGACCGACGGGGCCCAAGATTTGACAATCGTTCAAACCGAAGCGGCGAGAGAAATTTTAGAGGCGCGTCAACTGGCCGATTTGGACGAGGCGGCAGGAACGACAGGCAAGAAAGACAACCGGAGCAGAGACAACCCCAACGCGAACGCAGTCTCAGTCCATTCAGCAAGAGACTGGCCCTGACGCAGTCGTTGAATACGGGCAGATAGCCGTGGGTATCAATTAGTTGTAGAATCGGTGACATACCCGTCCCCAAGACCATAATACAATGTACTTTTAATGTTCGCATACAATGCCTTGTTCAGATGGCCAGATCTTCGTCCAGCTCCCTCTCGCGTCGCTCCTCTTCTTCTTCCTCCCTCTCTCGCACACGCAGTCCCTCCACTAATGCGACGCCATCTACTCCCGACGCGTTGCCTTCTCCGCTTCCTCCCTCGACCTGCTTCGACTTCTGAGCATTGGTAATGCGCTCTCGTACGAGTCTTGCAATAGCGTTGTCCGTCCTAACATTGAGAACCTCCAATTTCTTCTCCAAGTCCCTCTTCAAATCCCAGTTCGGCTTCTTCGGCTGGAGCTTGAACAGATCAATACCCTTGTCGTCCTGCGCTTCCTCGGCTGCCTTCTCCTTCACGTCGGCTTCGATGTCTGCCGCCTGCTCCTCCAGCGTAGGCTTTTCCAGGTCTTGTATCGGTGGTGCCTCGAAGCCAAGCTTGGGTCCGCGCACTTCGGGGTCGTAGTTGCGGCCCGATAGGTGTATCCTTGCGACATCGTTCTCTATTGCCGGTGCCGACCCCTCACGTTCTGACTCTGGCGGCACAACTTCGTCTCCGGGTTGTTTTCTCTTGAGATTTTTGAGCTTCGCAAGGCGGGCCTTACGATCGTCGGCGGCCGCGCTTAGGCTCGCGTGTGAGCTCATTGTGGCGTTGTAGGTAGATTTGAGTGCTTGTGCGTGAAGTGACGGGTTTTCGATTCGCTGACCTCTAGAGTGGTCTGAGAGGTGCGTTGCTTTCTTAAGACAGGTTTAAATCAAGTAGGCCGCGAAGTCGGAGGTTGCCAGTTGGGAAAGCAGATTAGTTTCGTTATGGGCTGAAATTTATTGAGGTAGAGAGGTAGACCAACTGGAAGCTGGAACGCGGCGCACGGCAGGATTGCAATGCTTCTACATTGCGCTAAGAAACGGCTGCACGGACTAATTGTTGGCACCTGCCGCTGCGCTTAAGCGCGAAGGTAGTTAGCAGGGGTTCGGATCTCCCCGGCGTCATCTGAAAATCTACATTCAACGCTCAACGCTCAATTTCTCTTTTATTTTCTTACAGCAATCCATCCAGACCATATGCTGGATCTCTCAGTCTCACTGGTCCTTTGATAAACGCACCTACACATGCTCCGGGCCATTATTTGCAAGCCATGTCTGCAGCGATACAAGCAGCTTGGCCTTCGGCCTTTCACCACGTGCAGAGGCTATTTGCTGCCTCAAGATGCCGCACGTGAGGGGGACAAATTCATACAGTTTATCAACAAAAAAACAGAAGCTGCTCGCAAAGGAAAACTGCAACACACCACAACTGCTCCGCCTATAGAGCAACAGGAATTGGGCACTCAGGAACCTACCGTACCAACAGCTTCGTCTCCTCCTCACATGGTCAAACTATGGGTTCACGAGTCGAAACACAACAAAATCGATCAAGCCATCCGCTGGAGTTATCTGCACCATGTACTCGATAAAGACCAAGCCTTGGCTTGGGAAGAGTGGAAGCATGGCTTCTCGAACATCATCGAATGTCTGGCGGGACACGCAACCAGCAATCCACCGGCTCGACTCCTCAAAGGCGAAGCTTTCGAGAGCGCCATCAACGATTGGTCTTCCTGGGACAACAGGGAGAGAGAGGAGCTATTCAACACCGTTATTCTTTCTGCGCTGTGGTTCTGTCCTTGTAGAGCAGTTGATGTCCTGCAGACTCTCACACAGGATTGGCAGCCGCCAGCTTATGCCATGGTAGATGTCATCCACTTCCTCGCCATGTGGCAAATAGAGCTTCGCGGAGATGAGCTCCAGACTCATGCTGCAGCTCTGTGTGACTTCGTGATGGGGCATGAGTTTCTCGTGCGCAGGCGCGATAACGGGCGTTTCGAAAACATGCGTTTTCGGCAAAACACCATCCACAACCTTATGAGATACGTCGACCCTGCACGAATACATGCCCTATACGAAGTCTTATCTAAACAGGAGCATCCCCTGCATCTTAACACCCTCTTCAAATTTGCTCATCGGCTATCTTCGGCGCCGGTTTACAAGCAAGCGTCACTTGAAATAGCTATCCGCGCAATGCAAGCAGAGGGCAAAGAAAAAGGAAAAGGACAGGCCAACGGAGACCTCCAAGGTTCAGCTTGGCGAAGTCTTTGCACATCAATATTGTCTTTGAATCCCGGAGACGTCGCACACGGCGAATTTTCGGCCGCGGATGCGTTCAGCGTGCTACTAGAGCATGGTTTCGTCCCCAACATGATCAACTACACGGCAATGATTCGGAACCTATGCTCATCGGGCGCAACTGACAAGGCTTGGAAAGTCTACGAGGCGATGAAGGGGAGTGGCATCGAGCCAGATTCGGTGCTTCTCAGCACCCTGCTTGACGGCGCCAAGATGGAAAACTTGTCAGGGGTCATCAACAAGATTGTGGAGGAAGCCATCCGACTCAAAGCTGTCGACACCGTCTTTATGAACGACCTCTTGTACTCGATCCTTCACTTTTCTGAACTTGAGGCCAATGAGAAGCGGAAGCTAGGTCGGGCTGGCGTCGTACCAGCCTTCGGCCCTATGCTTTACTACTACTCCAAAGCCTTCAACCTAGCCCCTCTGCAGGCTCTTATTCCTATGAACCTGTCCATGCACGTTCAGCAATACGGAAACAATTTGCCCCCAGAACGGCAGTTAGCTCGGCAGGTGTTCCCCGGTCTCGACGCAGCTACTTCCGCGGTCAGGAAAAAGATGGACCCGACAGCCTCCACGCTGGGTATCATGTTCATCGCCTTCGTCAAGAATCTTGCGCAACCGATTAAGCTCATCTCCTTATACGCCTACCTCCGACAACTGATCATCAACAGGCATCCTATGGCAGTACAGCACGTTAAGGAGAAGGGCACCTTCATGTACGACGTGATTCTCAAGGCCCTAATGGGGCACAAACACATGCAGCGACCAGCACTGGACATCGTCGGCGACATGCTCCATGATACCCTCGCGGAACGGGAGGCCAGCGAGAAGGAGACAAACGCCAGCCAAGAGACACAAATCCATCCACCCCCGAGCATTTACACCTGGAACATTCTTCTTGCCGGGTTCCTATTCAACCGAGACAAGGAGACTGGCGGCAGGATTCGCACGATGATGATGCAAAAGGGCGTCGAGCCGAACGAAGTCACCTGGAACACCCTCATTTCAGGCTACGCTGGACTGCAGGATGTCGGAAAGACAGTGCAATCGCTGAAAGGCCTCGAGCGTGCCGGCTACGAGGCGAGTGATTTCACTATCAGGGGTTTCTCGAGGTTGGTGAACAAGGAGAGGGCGTTTCACCACATGGAGAAGGGTTTGGATCTGGCCAAGGTCAAGGAAAATGCGGCAACCATGACGAGTCTGGAGCAAGCCGCGCCAGACAATATCGGTTCCAGCGCCTGGAGAGTGAACCTGGACGACCGACCTCCAAACACGCCGAGGCACCCGGTTCGGATCGTGAAGGTGAAATATGGGAACCAGTTGTTTCGAAAGATCGAACGCCCGGGGCCAGTGTCTGAGAAGGCAAACAAGCAAGGGATGATCAGATTTGTATAATAGAAATGATACCAAGCGAGAGAGACAGGAAACATTCGCCTCTCAGAAATGAACCTCGTATGCGCTGATGAAGTACATTCAGTCTATTGACAATGCGATAAGTCCTTCCGCACAGGTGATTTCAATCTTACTTGATTGCGTTGTGCTTAGTAGAGACGTCCTAGCCGTCTGTTCAGCTAGACGTGTAAGACAGCGCTGTCTTCTCAGCAACTTACCTCCTAGATCGATCGTCTGTCTCTATATTATACAGAGGGCGACGCGCAGATTCCACGCAAGATAAAATGCCTACAGACCTTATACTTAAGGATTAATAGAGTGAGAGGGTCAAAAGAGTTCACCCCCCAGGTGTCGAACGGGGGCTACATCTCTTAGTGCACATGCTGGGACATCTCGCTTAGATCGATCGATCAGGGAGGGGAGGGGCTCGGTATCAGTCGGTCGGTATCGGTCGGGGGGAGGGCAGCCTGTCGTCGAGTAGGCATCGGCGGGTCGCGATCGGGTTTCGAATACTCGTCCTTGGCGATACCGCTTACTCAACAGTTTGACCTGAACCACTACGCCTTAGTGGAATGCCTTCTGCTGTCGGTGAGATCTCTTGTGGACCAAGCCGTGTAAGTAGGTCCTCTTCGTTGTTGTCGTTCGCAATGGGAAGGAGCGTGTGGGTAAGGGGGCTGGGTGAAAGGTGAAGGTGAAAGGTGAGTTTGAGTTGGGATGAAATTCGCTTGCGACAGGCAACCATCACAAACACATGGACGGACTTCAGAAGTAGGTTTTCCAGGTCGGGCCTGAGTTCAGGTCTACTGGAGATCTCACTGGGAAAATGCTCTATGGAAAAGGGGCTCGGCGTCAAGCTCCAGGAATGGAATAGACGTACCGTGATACCAAGGGACGAGATGGGAAGGTGCTCAGTGCGACGAAGAAAACATTCTAAGAAGCAATGGTCAATAAGCTACTCGAAAGTGTGACCCGGATCAACTTCGAATGACTGTGTGCTATGCTGTGGTATTCTTCTGGTAGTGATAACGATCCACAAGACTATGCCTCCATACCCCTGAGATCACCCAAAGACACCAAATTTCTCCCTATATCTACGACACGTACGGTCTCAGCTACAGTATATCATGACCCGAGCCATTTTGGATACTACCAGCCACGTCTTTGTAAGTCTTTGCGGCTAACACATTATTCGGCAGAGTGACTTTGAAAGAGGACGTGTATGCCATAATCCAATTAAAACGCAAAAGGATTAACGATGCAAGAAACATGATATTTCCGGTCTATACCTGAATCGGAAAGAACACCTTCTGGAACTAATCGCTTGCTGATAGCAGACAGAGGTGAAGACTGGCCATGTAAAACCCAGTAGAGCATACCAATTCGGACCATGAAGAGACGTAGGTTGGCGACCGAGGCGAGCTTGAGATACCAACAACAATTGCGACTTCAATATAATACGGATGAACCCGGCCACATTTCCATCGAAGCAACATGAGTGGAAGCAGCTGCTTCGGGGGGCTATCTGCCACTCCAGAGACAGCTTTGGGCGTTCTGCAGCCGATCGAGAGCAATATTGGAAGGCGTCATGTTCTCAGCTTTCAAGCGGACTCACGATTTGTTGGCCATCGCAGACGAAGATTTAATTGCATTGCGTTCCTCTTCCGCAGCCAGCCTGCAATCGGTACTGCTTTCAATACCTCTCTTGAAGTCAAGTGACACATATCGGATCAACACATGGTACTGCTAATTCAACTTTTGACATGTGCTTCGTTGACCGAGCCTCGCTATAGTAGCTACAGATGGTGTGTATATCATTACAGTCCGTTTCCCCAGCCGAGCCAACATGAGCATATCAGACAGGGCAATCAAACGGCCCTCCTCCAGTCCCGGCATGAATGCATACCAAGGTCGTCTGACCCTCCAAACTCCTGCATGCTCTGGTAAACCAAAAACTTCTCCTTTTTTAATTTCTTTACGTGAGCTTCTGCTTGATGAAGAAGGACCGCAGATGCGACAGCTGCCAGGTGCAAGTGACGGCAAGCACGACAAGCTGGATGAGCATCCATCGGATAACACGGGCGTTGGTAGACTCGGACTGGTCACGGAATTCGGCTTCGCGCTCCTATTTGGTGGTTAGCAAGGCACCGGACAAACCATACAACACGGAAGATATAACGTACACGCTGGAAGACCTGTTCTCTGCGGATGTCGGAAAGGCGGTTGTTAAGGTCCTTGACACGGGTGGCGATATCCTCGAGCTTGCTCTTGTCAGAGCTCTCAATCTCGCTGCTCTCGCCGATGGCGAGGTCCAGAGTCAGACGGATGCCACCGTTGTGGGAGTGCTGAGAGAGCCAGCCGGCGCGGCCAGAGGTGGAGGACGGGGTGAAGCAGAGCATGTGGTCGCCGGCATCGGCAGCCGTGAAGGTGAAGCGGCCAGAAGAAGAGCCGCGCTGGGAGACGACGCGGTGGTCGTTGTCGAAGGTTTCCTGGAAAGATTTACAGTTAGTTTTGGTCTCTCATGGAAGCAAATGCGCTTGGATCTTTGCAACTCGCAGCATCCTGGGTCTATGGAGCTCCAGAGGAATGATGCAAGCTCAGGGGGTAGCTTACATCGACAGAGATGTAGATGCTGAGACCATCGTGCTTGGCCCACTGGTTGATCCTGTCATCCCACTCCTCAGCCGTGTAGTGGCCAACAACGAGCGTATCCTTAGGGAGCTCCTCGAAGAAGCACTTAGGCGAGGTGCCGTCGATGTAGAAGTAGAGCGCCTGCGCGACGGCGCTCATCGAGAGCAGGGGGAGAAACGGTCTCATCTTGTGCGACGGTGCGAAGCGAATTGACGGGACGGGAGATTGATCAAATCGTGGGGGAGCAGTGGGTTCGCGATTTCGTGCTCGTCGACCGTTGTCCTTCTTCTTCTGCCGGGGCTCGAGGGGGTGGGCGTTGGAATTGGAGATGTCGTCTCGAACAGGTAGCGCCAGATCAGCCAGTTGCTGGTACCCACAATAAAGTCCCAACCTAGGTGCGCGGGAGGTCGAAGCTGCCACGTTCGAAAAATTGGCGGCCGACAAGGGTGGCATTGACCTTTTACAGGTGGGTCACGTGCGGTTCAGAAAGAGAGCCTGCGCGCTGGATGCGACCTCGCGTCGTCGATTTGAGAGAATGCAGCACTTCTGGGGCCCTTGCCGCCATCGATCAATCGACCTTTTTCAATTCTCTCCGTCACTGCGCACCACGACACGACAAAAATAAAACTTTATTACGAGAAAATTCCTGCGAAAATTTTGATACCCATATCCTTGATGCACGCGCCCGACTGGTGATGATTTGATGCGACCAAGTCGACCCGTCGCCGTCAATAAAAAATCCACCTCGACTGGCCGCCCGATCGTGAACGAACGTCCTTTCCACCGACTCACCTCTTTCTGCCGCCACCATGACTTCTTCCGACGTACGAGACGTGCTCAACCTCCCCGACAGCCATGGCGGCCCGCGTCCAGCAAAGAAGCAAAAGACCTCGGCCCCGCGCCCCAACCTGAAGGGTCTTGCGCGAGAGGTTCAGAACTTGGGCGGCGACAATCCTATCGCAATTGTACCCGAGGTCTCGATATTCAAGAAGCGGCGATTTGCGAGCAGGAAACCGGCCTCTAAGTGGGTGCTGAAGTCGTTCACAAACTCGGCACGAGGCGACAGCGGCGCATTGGTATTGAAGCACTGGCGGAGGAAGACGACAGGACCCGAGAATGGTGCGGCACCGGCAGAGGGCGATGCGGAAATGAAGGACGCGGATAGCGAGGCAGCTGCGAAGCCGGAAGACTCGTCGTTTGCTAAGTACAACGTCGAGGTGGACGTGCCGCAGTACAGCGAGGACCAGTACAGGACAAACCTGCAGAGCGACGACTGGACCAAGGAGGAGACGGACTACTTGCTCACCCTGGTCAAGGACTTTGACCTCCGATGGCCGATCATATGGGATCGTTACGACTATCTACCAGAGGCCATCAATGGGGAGGCTTCGGCGGACGGAGATGAGAGTAAGGCTATCATTCCCGTACCAAAGCCGAGGACAATGGAAGATCTGAAGGCACGGTATTACGAGGTTGCTGCGAAGATGATGGCAGTTCAGAAGCCCGTCCAGTACATGACTCAACCAGAGTACGCCCTCCACGAGCTCATGGCCAACTTCAATCCAAATCAGGAGAAGATGCGGAAGGACTTTGCGAACAACGCTCTTACGAGATCCAAAGAGGAGGCCAAGGAAGAGGAGTCCCTACTGCTGGAGATCAAGCGTATCCTCGCGCGCAATGACCGCTTCAACGAGGAGCGTCGGGAGCTGTACAACCGCCTGGACTACCCGCATACCGACCAGGACATAAGTGCCTTCAAGTCAAGTGCGGGGCTTCAGACACTGTTGCAGAATCTGATGAACGCCGACAAATCCAAGAAGCGGAAATCTATTATGGCGGCAGACGGTGCCAGCCCTGCTACGCCTGCAGGCCAACAAGCTGCAGCGCCAGAGAACGCCAACCGTCGCGAGAGCATCGCCGCCGCCGCCGCCGCCGCACCTGCGGAGAAGCCACACAAGGAGCCCCCCAGCAGCGCTGCTCAGACACCGACAGCGCCCGCCGGCGGCAAGAAGGGCCAGCAGCAGCAGGAACGCCGCAAGCCCTCCGAAGCCGAGCAATTTGTCTATGGTGTTTCGCACCACGATCGCTTGTCCAGCGGTCCAACGTTCCGTTATGAGAAGATCAACAAGCTGTTCACGCACAAATCTAACCAACAGCAGTTGCGTATCATGAACACGCTGAATGAACTCGACATTCCGCCGCGGCTTGTTATGCCCACTGCCGCGGTCACTGCCCAGTACGAACAGCTGTTGGGTGCCGTTAATAGCTTGCTCGACGCTAGAAAAGTCACGGACAAGGTTGATGCCGAAGTTAAGATTGAGATGGCCAAGAAAGCGGAGCGAGAGAAGGCCAACGCGCCACCAGAGCCTGAGACGGGCTCGGAAACTAAGGATGGCGAGGAAGTCGAGAGGCCTGCTAAGAAAGAGGGAGATAAGCCTGCGGAAGGAGAAAAGAAAGCAGAAGCGGCAGCCGGGGAAGCTGCAAAGACGGACGAACCGAAGACAAACGGCGAGCAAGACAATGCCGAGGCAGCCCCGGCCACGAACGGCGAAGAACCGGGTGCTGCGCCGGATGCCGCGGGCGACGACAAGGGAGACGCGGATAAGGAAAAGGAGAAGTCGGCTCGGCCGGGGAGTAGCGGAGCATCAAACAAGCGAAGCGCAAGCGTATTAGAGGGCGGTGGCGCAAATGACGACAAGAGCGCGAAGAGGCAGAAAAAGTGAGGTATCGTCGAAGTACCATATGACACCGAGGTACTTGTCGATGCTAGGCGCTGTGATGAGGTAGCCGAGATGCGTCACTCATGAGCAGGGACGAGGTTGAGGAAGATCCTCGAACGAACGAGGGCATCTTTACCACCCCTGGCTCTATGGTGCAAGTTGCAAGAAGGGGTGGATATCGCTCGAGGGCCGCATGTCTGGCCCGGCGTCGTGTCAGGATTGTTTGTAGAGATAGTGATGCCCAAGGGTTTACGAGCATTGGAGGAGAAACACCCGCCTCTAGATCCGATGACAGGAATAGAAATTTGAAACGACAAAATGAAAAGCAACTGCGGTCCACACCCTTGCCAGATGATGCGTTGCGTGGGGGATGTGATGTGGGCAGGGGGGTTTCTCTGGATGATCGGCCCATGTCTTTTGCTTGAGCGAGGTAGCAGTCATGATGAAACGGCCGAGATAAAGTCGAGCCCAGCCGGCGAGCCATATGGGCCACTGCATGATGTGTGTTGACGGGGATGCATACACGCGGCGGAAGGAGAGGAGGAGGCTGGTCTTGTTTCGGTGCCCGCCTTCTGTGGTCCCGCGCTTAGAAGTGCGCCATGAGATGATGTCAGGGGTGGCGGCAGGTCCGATGTTCCTTCTGAGACAAACGAAAGTGGAAATGGAAAAAGGGACTACGGCGGAAGGGGCCTTTGCCTCCTTTGTTCTTACGACATGGAAATCACGATAGATAAGGAGGGAGGGGGTTCACAATGGGCGGATGGGCAGTTGAGGTTGAGCCGGGACGTGACGTCTCATTAAGCAAGATGCAGCTCATCGGCGGCTGCAGGTGAGGCGACTGGCTTAATATAGCAACGGCAGCTAAAAATATCGACGTGGAGAGGCGGTTATGTTGGACTGACGTGCTGCATGCTTGCTCCGTCCCCGGACGGCGAGGTGACGGCAGGGGGTGGTTTGGGCAGATGGATTTCCCAGAAGGGGAGAGAAGGGTTCACGGGTTCACGAGGGCGTCCCGGATGTATGGTCCTGCATCGTCGAGGTTGCTCGAGCGGCCCAATGACGGGAGGTCGTCTGGACGAACTTGGTGATTGTGGCTCTTTCGACGCCACGATCAAGCAGGTTGGTTTGCTTTCAGGGTCTCCCGTCGGCGAGTTTCTTGTGAACACACGGATGGGGTGAGGCGTCTAAAGCAGGTCGCGTATTTGCCCATCTGGAGATCTTGGTCTGCAGGGCGTGGGAGAGGTGTTCGTGGGGATGGCGGTGTGGTGGTCGACGAGCGTGACGCTGAGGGGGTCCCGCTGGCATGGCCACGGAGAATATTGAGGGGCGTCACGCTGATGATGACGACTGGATGGTTGACTTGTTTCTGCGGGAACCTGTTGCTGGGCGCATAGAGAACCTGGCGGCTAGGGAAGAGAGTCTGTGAAGTGGAAGTTCGTCGGGATGGAAGATCGCCAATCTCGAGCTAGGGCGCGGCCAAAGTATGTGGCATGTGGCATGTGGTTGATCCCGGGAGTTATCAATAGGTTGTAGACGCTCCGGTGCCGCAGAGATCTCCGGGATATGATTAAATCCCATGTGGGGGACAGGTTCTAGAAAGAAGACAAAGGCGAGCAGGACTAGATGTTGAAAGAAGATGTTGTCGTTGAGTGAGCGCTTAATGGGCGCTTAGACGGAAGCGAGACACGCCATTGGCTGAAGGAGGGTGGACTGCCAGGTATCGTGTGATGGAGATGCGGTGCCGTGCATTCTCGGAGAATTTGATGATCCAATATTAGAAACAATTGTTTCCTTCATTTGCAAAAGACGGGAGCTTCGTTCTTGCTTTGGCTGCCAGAGTTCAAGTCGTTGCGTGGCAAGTGGGTAAGGTCGTGGCAGGTAGGTAATGAAAGTGGTGAACGGTGGTGGAAAGTTGCGGTCAAAATGAGGACGAAGCATGCCCTGTCCCTGCCAACAATTCCGTGCCAATGAAGCATGGGCCAGCCAGCTTATCTCAGGTCAGCATGCGTGAACAATCACGTGAACATACTACTTCCATGAGGTGTCTGCGAAGGTGCAAGCAAGAGAGACGCAGATGTTGAGGCTTGTGGCAGGAATAGTAATCAAGATGCATTGCAATCTTCCATGACAGCAGGTGCAATCACAGACAAGACACTGATGGACGAAAACCAAAGTGCATCCTTCCCGTCGTCAGGGAGCAGGTACGTACCGCGATGGGCGTTCCTGGTGCACCACGCGGGCCAGTGGCCCTGGCACCAGCTGGACTGACATGACAGGCAAGAACGGATGTGAAGGTACCTGAGGACTTGTCTTCAGGAGCGGCGGGCGGGGGCGACCTGGGCGTTCCGTCGGCAAACACGCGTCTAGACGGGCTCGCTAGCCCCCAGTTTACCTACAGGCTACAGGCTAGGTTGGTACCAACCTGGAACGTCAAAAGCGGCTCCGCGGCGTAGAATAGTCGCCAAACGCCAAAGAAACAGAACCAACACCAACAACTTGCAAGGTGTTTTTTTGTGCAACCATCCTCGATCTGACCCAGGCACACCTACCTGCCTGAATGTTGGAAGAGTGCCCTCGGTGTGCTGCACGGTCTTTTTGCTCGCTGAGAAGGCAGGTACGTACCTAACATACCCTTTACCGCGACTCGACCCTCTCTCAAGAAAGGTATGGAAGCAGGCAGGACAGGCATCTCGCAGCAAACCTCCACCAGTGTCGCTTGTCGCATGCCCGAGACGACGTGGACGGTGGACTCCATGGGCTCCCCGCCCCATCATTTCCCCCCTGCTCCCGTCGGCGACCTGATGTGGAGGGACAGCGGGAAAGACGCCGATATGAGAGAGACGCCTGGTAGCCATGCCAGCTAGCCACGGTACCGAGGCACACAGCTTTTGACGTTGGGCTCTTTGGAATCATGATTATCAACCTCAACGTGTGTTGGTGCTGGCTGCCTCAGGTGCTGCTGTGCCCTTCTTCGCATCGCAATTGCTTCTTTGAGCAAAGTCACCGACTACCTTAGAGCATGCCGGCCCACCTGCTTCCAACAGGTCATCTTTCGCCATGCACATACCATGGTTCGACCAACCAACTGACCTGCGTTGAGCAGCATCGGCAACCTTGGATCCAAAGAGTACCTGGGCTACCAACACTGACGCTGCATCAGGCTCGGTGTCGCTTGCATGCAAAACGTCCGGAATGGGCCGCCAACCTCCTGCTGCCCAGCACTTGGTCCTCGGTGGCATCAGTCATCGAACGCCAGGAATAGAATCGTGCATAAGATCGGATGGGACAAGACTGCCCTCGCGGATAGTGGCTACCTATTCAAGAACCAACGGCATCCGATCCAGCGGCCTTGTTTTCTCCAGCCCTCGCTCTCGCCCTCCCCGAGGAGGGCTCGAATTTCAGTCCATACGCGGGCCTCCGATCGCTGAGGTGACAGACAACAACGCCGACGCCAGCCAGGACCCGGACACACACACAACCTTGCCTTGCCTTGCCTTGTCTCCAGGACCATGCAACTCTCGCTCTCACATCCTCATCACACATCCCTGGCCGCCCGACCTCATCGAAAGTTACCTGCCAAAGGAGATTGGCCCAACCTTCTCCTCCACATTTTCATCTCCTCAGAGGCTCTGCGCCTTGTGCCGTCCTGGAACCGTCTTCCTGCCTGCTTGCCCTGGGCCTGCAGCGAGGAGGTGGGAGGCACTGTCCACAATTCATACCGTCACTTCCGTCCCCCGTCTGGTGACGACACGATACCACAGAAAACGGGACAAGACAAGGGTTTTCTTTCTCGACTCCTCTCCTTCTCGAATTGAAGCTTGCCCCACCCTTTTCTTCGTTCTTCCATCTTGGCCTTACGGATACCTACCATCCTCGCAATCGTCAACCATCCTTGCAACCTCGGTCCTCCGAGCGGCGCTTCACTCCATTTGATCAAATTGATCTGCTTCCATTTCCCCGCCCACCTCGCTCACCCACCACCCAAACGCCATGCGACGCTGCAGATGAAAGGCATGCTGCATTTGCTAGCAACTCTCCAACCCTTACCGTCAACCCCGAGAAGCCACGAGCCATCGCCGTGTCATATTGCTCTGGGTCTCGCGGGATGATGCCCAGACGCCACCCAGAGGCGCAAAGTTCAAGGTTGTTGTCTGTTTGCTGCTGTTGCCACGACCCGGTACTCCACTACGCGGGTGTCATTCCGCATTGGTCTGATCTTTTGATGCGACACAGACGAACGAGAGACGCGGCCCGGAGAGGCGACTGCGGCCACACTCATTTAATTCAACTTACCCATGCCCGAGCCATCTCTTCGCCAGACCCCCGCCCGTCTTGCTTGCTCGACGGCCCTGCTACGTATCTGCCAGCATCATGATACGACTTTCCCTCAATTTCTGGTCGTCTCATTACCGAAGCAGCCATGCATGGCGACAGCCCGGGAGCTCCACCGGAGCCAAGCCTTGAACTCTCCGACCAATCGATCGGAGGTAACCGACACGATGCCAGACCGAGTGCGACATGACATGCAACGGAGTCATCTAGGAGCCGTTCGCGCCAAACTTTTTTGAGTCCTGAAGAGAATAGTCACTCCTCAGTCATCGATTACGGCGGCCGATGCGGCGTCTGCCGGAAATGGTCGAGCTAGGCGACCTGACGGCCTCTAATACGGATACGCATTCTGCCTTGCCTTGAACGTCAAACTCGGCACCTCTTCTTGGCTGCAAGTCCGGCTGGGTAAAGCATACCACACGCACTTCATGCGCAATAGACGGTGAAGGAGGTGTGCGCGTGTGTGCGTCTGAGTGTGACTGTATGTCAGCACTTGTGCAGCAAAATCGCGGTAACCGCATCAGCGTGTTTGCGGCAGACTGCGCCTATGCGGACCGCATCACGTCGCCCACGGCACCCTAGGCTGACTGCCATTTGGACTGCATCGTTCGTCCCCTAGACGAGAAAGAAAACTCTTGACGGAAGGTCAACGCGGCAGCTGAAGCATTGTGCCG